TCCGAGTACAATGAAAAAGTACTCGAGTACTGAATACAAGTACTCATATATAAAAGTACTTGAGTACCAAGTACAAGTACAGTACCGTTGTACTCGAGTACCCATACGAGTACAAAGTACCGAGTACACTTTAGTTATGAAATGTTGGGAAAAATTCTAGAGAAATGGGGCGATTAAGAAATGAATTTAGAATCACTAGTGCAAAACTAAATACTAGCCGGCCTATTGCCTTCATCAAATATTGATGTTTCGCTTTATGTTAATTATCAAGGCCGGCGAGTATTTTGTTTTACTTTGCCTTAGCTTTATTTTTTAATTATCTTTTTGAGGAATATTGTCACCTTATTTCTACCTATAAACAAAATTACATTTCATACATAAGTAAAAACCTTTTGTTCAATGCTCTTTCCTGTGTCTTTTTATTTATTGATTGAGGCTGTCTTAAGGCTGTCGTGTGAGGCAGGCTGGCTGAGGCTGCCTCAGGCAGCATGTCCGTAATTTGACAAGTCTGAGCAGTGTTGCCAAATTTTCAACACCCACGCACATATTTGCACATATGTATCCACGCCAACCTCACCGCATAAAAATGTACTCGAGTACACGTAAAAGTACTCGAGTACACGTAAAAGTACTCGAGTACATTTTTGCAATCTTAAATGTATCAAGTACAAGTATAAGTACATTCAAATTACCTGAGTACTGAGTACCGAGTACACTGAAAGTACTTGGAGTACAGTGTTTGAGTACTTGTACTCGAGTACCGCACAGCTCTGCTTATAACACCTTTTTTAAAGTTGCAAAGTCTTTTTGGCAACCAAGTTTTACTTAAATGTTTATTACTTTATAGTAACCATTTAAAGAAAGAATGAAGTTTCTGTTACAAAATATTGCTGTTTAAAAGTTAGAATTACTTTTAAGTAAAAATTAAAGTAGCTGTTTGGTATACTTAAAGTTATCACCACTTTGGTAATGGTTTTTGGAACCAAAAATGCTGCTTGGGTAAGTAATTTTTATCTTTAAAACAGTAAAGGGGTTATTTCCAAAAACATACATTTTTCCCCTGGGTCACAAGTATCCTGGACAATTCCAAAGAAATAAATTATAATATATTTTTGAAATAATAATAAACTTATAGGAAAGTTTCGTCCTTTCTGTTTCTGACAGTACGTAGCCAATTTAAAATAATGTCCTCCACCTTTTTAATAGTAATTTTCCTAGTCAATGTATTTTGCCTCAAAGAAGCTGGAATTTTTTTTTGGTAGTTCAACGAGACAATGTTTATATTGATTTTTTATTATTATTTTATTAATATTACTAATACCTAAAACTTTTTATTAATTTATTGCTCGTTAAATTGGACAAGCTGGTCCCAGATAAAAAAACAGAAAATATATTAAATATACTTATGTACATATGTAAGAAAGTTGAGAAATAGAACATATATAGTTTTTGCTTTTACTTAGTTTTGTACTCATTTTTTTTACTAATAATAAATGTAAGTTCTTTTTTTTAACAAATCCCAGTGTGCATAAAACATTAAAAGGATTAATAAAAATCAAAAAAAATATATTTTCACCCATAATATAACAAGTGGTATGATTATCATCGATGATATTTTCGAATTGAAACTGGTTTCAATGAGTAAATATCATCGATAATTAATCATACCACGAGTTATATTTAGTGAGAAAATATAATGAATTTTAGGATTTAACGAATTGTCAGTTTGACATTTGAAATTAAAATGTGCTTTAAAATATAAAAAGACTTTAATAAACCTTATTTATTTAAACTTACCTAAATTTTATTATCGTTTACACCAACCCATCGATCTTTTAGAGTTTATAATTCATTATTTTACAAACACAGTATTTAAATGTCAACAAATGTCAAATCAAGAAAAGTGTCAAAATCCTTAGCAGCGTGTAAACAAGGTGATAAAAAATATTGTCGCTGTGATAAAATGCGTAACTGGCATTTTATTGGTTTTAATTATAATGAATATTTAAAAAAAATCCAACTGCCCACTATTAGAGGTTAAATAACACCCCTCAATAAACAAAATTTGGAAAAAACAGGTTTGTAGATTAAGTTTCTGTTTTTACTTTTTTCTTTAAATTAATTTACATGTACAAGAATTTTGAAAATGATAAGACTTATGTGTTTGCTGTGTAATTTGCATTATAAATTTTATTATTTATATTTAAAGTTATCCATTATTGGAACGATATGCAACCCATTGTAAATGCACAAAACAAAATTTTTATTTGAGAAAACTGCCCGTAACGACAATATTCGTACGAAACAATGCATGCAAAGGCATTGGCTTGCAACAGGGACAAATCCAAAAAAAGAAAAAAAGCAAGACTGTTTAATGTACTTTAGAGGCTATAGAAATATAATAAGGGGTAAAAGTAGTTGACAGAAGAATAATAGGTTTAGATCTATTTAAAATAGGGGAGTGTGAAAACAGTGCACGATGCTGGGCATTCATAAACTACCATTAGCTCTTTAAATGCATTCGATTTTTATTTCGGAAAACAAAGATGTGTTTTATTGGGCTCCGTGCATTTTCCCTTTCACCGGCTGCTTCAGCGGCGGCTCGTGGGTGCAGAAATTTTACTAATCGAGACAAAAACTATAAAAGATCAGGCAACAGTTTTAAATAATTTAATGTGAATCAAAACAAAAACACCCGCTCTAGACACATTGCAACACAAACTGCCATCCACTACATCTTCAGTCATGTTATCTAAAACCACCAATTAGAGCAAGCCCAAGCTCACATTCTCTCGCCTCAAGCAGCGACAAAATTTAATATACGCGAATTCGCCTGATATATACGAGGTGTGTTTAGAAAATAACGGGAATTGTTAAATTTCGCAGGTTCGGAGGGTGCGGTTGTCATAAAATTTTCTTTATTATGTTGGTATACATGCCCCCGAAGTATGATAAAAACTTTAGCTGTTTTCATTGTTTACTTTGTCTGTGGCAGCCGCTAAGGTTAGACGTGTTTTATGAGCTCGGCGATTTTTCGTTCGTTAAAAAAAATGGATAAAAGAATTTGTATCCAATTTTGCTTTAAAAATGAAATAAATTCTGTGAAATGTTAACAAAGGCGTGAGTCTGCTATAAGTAAAACAAGAGTTTCCAAGATGGCCGTGAAGACGTTGAAAATGACGAACGCCCCGAACGCACAAGCACATTAACAACCGATAAAAACATGGAAAAAGTGGAAGAAATGGTTATAAACCATCAGAGAAGTCGCTGATGATGTTGGTATATCGATTGGCTCATCCCATTATATATTTTTTAAGTTTTGGGTATGAAACGCGTGGCAGCAAAATTTGTTCTAAAATTGTTAAATTTTGAACAAAATTTTTGGCCAAAAACAATACTGTAATGATGCCCCAGCCTCCATATTCGCCAGACATGCCTCTGTCTGACTTTTTCCTATTCCCAAAAATAAAGAGAACCTTAAAGGGCCGTCGTTTTGCAAGCATAGATGACATTAAAAGCGCATCGCTGAAAGAACTAAAGGCTATCCCAAAGATCGAGTTTTAGAAGTGTTTCGAGTATTGGAAGAGAGCTGGCACATGTGCATAATATCCAATGGGGACTATTTTGAAGGCGACAACATTAATGTAGACGAATAAATAAATATTTGTTTCAAAAAACGAAAATTCCCGATATTTTCTGAACACACATATATATTAGTAGGTAAATAGTTTACGTTCTTTGCTGGTAAGTAGGAGCTTGACAGGCTATACAAATTTCGCCTCTACCATGTATGCTTATAGTATAATTCATCGTTTTTTATTTTGTAGAAATGTAGTAAAAGTACACTTGTAAGAAAAGAAGGTAAATACAAAGGGTCGTTTGTTCCTTCATTTTGACGAGCCGCCACTGGGCAGCTTGATCGATAAAGGCTTGCAGTTCACACAGTTTGGAACCTGGATGCAGTCCCATTTGCTCGTTTTATTTATATTTTTTTTTATTCTTTGTGCAGAGATTAAAATTTCTATTTTGTTATTATGATTCTGAAAAATATGCAATTTTACTCTCTAAAAATGAATTAGTCATGGTTAACCATGGAATACCATGGTATCCCAAAATTTAACAGCCAATTGTTATGTAAAATTGTCACCTGAATCCGAACAGTTTTTGAGATATAGTCAATTCCATAATAAATCAAAAATTGACTATATCTCAAAAACTGTTCCACTTTTTTAACTTTTGACGACATTTTCGGATTCAGCGAATATTTTATAGGAATTGACTGCTAAATGTCCTGGATACAAATTGTTGTTGACGAGAATTATTATTGGCTGCTCTTTCGCTATGACCTTTTTGAATAATTCATTTTTAGAGAGTAAATAATATAGTGATTTCTTAGTCACAGGACATTTTGCAGAATAAAATTAATTTAAATACAGTGCATGATAGAGAACATAAAATTTATATATGCCGTTGTTTTAAAGATTTTAGTTTTTTTCTTATAAATATATAAAAAGGATAGTTTGTTTAAACTTTATTTACCTTTACTTAAAAATAAGAATATTTGATTTTTTAATAATAGTTTTATAATAGTAATTGGACACATGGGCCATGGTTATTGGACATTATATAAACATAACAGCTTTACATCAAATAACATAAATTGTTAAATATGTTTTAAAGATAAATTGCTGTTTTAGGTATTAATTTTTATTTCGCTTTTGTAAATACAATATAATTCATATATTTCTTTCTCGGATTCCTCATTCCTTTTCTGGATTCTGAAGGTAACTACTAATTCCTTGGTCTGACTTCTGAAATACTTTGTTGCAAATATCATTAAGTGTGGTATCTCTAGTTTTTGAACCATTTATTATGTTTATATATCTAATATTTTTGCGGGTGGTATGTTAAAAGTATTTTCCGAATTTATTAATTTTGTTGCCATTACTTTTTTATGTTCTCTATCATGCACTGTATTTAAATCACTGTTATTCTGCAAGATGTCCTGTGACGAAGAAATCAAATGTCATAGCGAAAAAGCAGCCACTAATAATTCTCGTCAACAACAATTTGTATCCAGGACATTTAGCAGTCAATTCCTATGAAATATTATTCGCTGAATCCGAAAATGTCGTCAAAAGTTAAAAAAGTGGAACAGTGAATTCCTATGAAATATTATTCGCTGAATCCGAAAATGTCAAAAGTTATAAAAGTAGAACAGTTTTTGAAATATAATCAATTTTACATATAACTATAACTATATCTCAAAAACTGCTTAACTTTTATAGTTTTGACGGTCTTTTCGGATTAAGGGGAAAATTTTACCTAAGAATTGGCTGTTAAATCTTGGGATACCACGGTATTCCATGGTTAACCATGGTACAAGTGAAAAAGCAGCCACTCATAACTATTAAATTAGTCATTTTTGACTAATTCATTTTTAGAGAGTGGAAACGTCTCGTATTTTGCTCTAAGTTAAGAGTAGGGTTACCAGATTCTGTCAAAAAAATCGGGACATTTTGTATGAATTTATCTTAATTACAAAATTGACTAATGATACAATGCAAATTGTAAGTTTGACGTTACTTAATTATTGTTGATAGTGTCATTTTTGTAATTAAGGTTAATTCACACAAAATGTCCCGATTTTTTTTTACAGAATCTGGTAGCCCTAGTTGAGAGCTAGATGGAACTTTACATTATATAACATGTTTTTTCTACGACCACTATGTAAAAGTCACTTTTCATGATGGCATCGTTGCTTAGAAAATGAATCTTTTCATTGGCAAGGCAAAACACGAATGTAAAGTGACATTTCTGTGTGAAAAGTGACAGGTCTGTGTGAAAAGAACCGGAAAGCATCGTTTGACATTCAGCTGTCAAAAAAGTTTTTAGGTTATTTTGTTTTATATTTAAAAATAATAAAAAATAAAAGGGTCGCAGAAAAAACATTGTGTTATACTTGTGAGAAAAGCTTTCTTCAAGCTCGTGTTAATGCACACTCGGCCTAACGGCCTCGTGGGCAAGTTAAAAACTCGCATGAAAAAGTCGCTTTTCAACACTATTCATTTAAGCTTTTTGGTTATTGGTGTGCAATTTTTTTTAAGACGGTGAATATTTTTATTCACCGTTTTTTAATACATATTTTTTGGACCGTTTTTTAATACATATTTTTTGGATTTGTGTTTAATGTCAACACGATGTCATTATCATTGGAACATCAGATGGAGAAAAATTATTTTTTACTAATTTCTTAAAAATGTCAAAACTTAAATATAAATTATATATTATATATATAGGTAAATTCTGCACCAACAAATGTACCGAATTGGATCCTTTGGCAAAACATGAAAATGCAACAATTTAGTTTTTAAATTTTGTTTACAATTAAAAACACAATAATTCATCATGATCCCTTAGATAAAATACACACTCTAACGTAACTATATAAGCATTTAAGCGTTGGGTTTTTTAATCAATGATATAAAGAATAATCAATTGAAATCGAGTACTAAAACAGTTTTTAGTTTTTTCCTTGCAACGTAAAACACAAATAACGTGCGCGATTTAGCTTTGCAGTTGAACAAAATTTGTCGAGTAAGACTTCTGCCTTCCTCTCTTTTTTTAAAAAAAACTACCTATTTATTTAAAAATGATGTATAATTTGTGCTTTAAATGTATAGTTGACAATTCTTAAATTCACGCAATGCATTCGAAGTCCACCAGATGGCGCGCGCGTTGCGAAAACCCGATACTTCTTTAGCGTAGGTACTATAAAAAAATCATTTTGATTATTTTAATAATTTCCTTGATAAAATTACCACAAATAAGCAATTCAGATAAATTAAATGTGAAAAAACGTATAGCCAGGTGCGAATGCATTTTTCGGCAGCAGCAGACGCAATTAAAAGATCTTTCTGGCTGCGGCAATTTTAAATTATTTATATTCCAGCCAAGGTCGAAGCGCCAAACAACAAATTGCGCGTGCCTAATCGGTCCGTTGTTTACCAACCAATTTTTCTACGGGCCACGAATTTTTGCTGCACATAATTTCGACTGCACACCTGAGCCGAAGAAGAGAAATTTTGCAGCGGACCGGTCGACCGGTCTCTGAGCGTCTCTGTGCATCGCATTGGCCGATTTATGCGAACTGTCTCGCCAGCTTGCCCAGGCCACGTTGCCGAGTTACAATTTGCACTTGTTTACCCAATCCTTAGCAAAACAATTTGCTTCAAGTTAATTGCACCATGTTATTAATTTGTTTGACTTTGCTGTAATTTATGAAGCAAATGGTATATTATAAAAAATATTTGTTAATTTTAATCAAATATTAACCAGATTTATATAACTTTATGTTAAGTTTACAACGAACTGTAATCTATGGCACGCTGTTTTAACATACAGGGTGAGTCAACTTAATCTCAGTTAGTATGCATTTTACAAAAAAATTAAATCTGATTTTTTTAAGTACCCACGATTTTTTAACTAATATTTAAGTCTCCTTTGGTTTAAGTTTTATACATTATTTCATTCGGTGATAATTATCAATTGCGCACTATGGTCTCTTTTTACCTGCCAGCATTAAATCCTTTAATTTAAAGGATTATTGTACTATTTTTAATAAAAATACCTCATTTAAGGTAAAAAAAACATTATTTTGTCAATTAATTAATTTAATCCTAATCAATTTAGTTCGAAGATTAATTTGCAAACAAAAAGACCTCCTTTCGTTAAGCAGTTATTCATAGTGGATTTTTTAACAGTGGAAGAAAAAATAGAAATGGTTTTGATTTATGAAGAAGCAGGCAGGAATCTTGATGATGCTGTTAATATCTACGCTCAGCGTTTTCCGGAAAAAATCGATCACGTACTTTATTTCACCGTACAGTCAAGCAGTTTACTACAAACGGGAGTGTTCAACTGATAAAAAGAGTTCGTCGAGCAACAGTCGCAGGTGGAAATAATGAAATTAATGTATTAGCAGCAACGGCCGCTAATCCTCGTGCAAGCTCACGAGAATTATCTAGAGATTTGGGAATATCCCAGAGCAGTGTTGGCAGAATATTAAAACGAAATAAATAAATAAATTTAAAAAATAAAACCAAGTATTTTATTCAAAAATTATTGGAGAATCGTATACAGAAGAAAAATAGAACAAAAATGATTTTTTTTCATTACAAATATGAAAAAATGTTTTAGACAAAATTTACCTATTTTTAGTCGAATGATCCGAATCTGCAATAAAAAATAGGATGTTCAATTGGAAATTTTAAAGTTAGCCACTGTTCCCCCTATAAGGAGGAGAGTATGAGGACCAATTTTAGTACTGATTGATTTTCCCCCTCGAATCATTTGATTTTTATTTTAAACATTTTTTCGTAAAATGCATACTAACTGAGATATTTCAAAGTTTCAAGTTAAATGACTCACCCTGTATATTAAATAATTTTTTACTTTTTAATTTTATTGGTTTTCCAACCAAAAATTTAAGATTTAAATTTATAAATTTAAAATATTATTAACTATCATGTATTGAAAGACAAAATTTAATAACAGTTCACTTCTGTATTAAACAATGTTATTTCCAATCATTTTTTGCGAATTTTTTAAATCTTAAATAAATATTTTATAAAATTATTTAGATTACATTGGTAAAGTTACATTTTTTAGTGTTTAAACATAGTGTCGAGACATTTAAAATAAAAACACATGTAAAACATTTTTTACCAAAATAGTTTAAAAATTAAACTCAAAACAATTGAGAATCAAAAAATATTTTATATATAAAATGCAAATGTTTTATATATATATATTTTATATGTATATAAAATACAAATGGTTTTTTAAAATTGTAGTATTAATATTTTATTCTACAAAATTATTGGTTTAAATTTGTAAAGAGTCTTTTAAATAATAGTCGATAAATTTTTAGTACAAAAATTCTAGTTTTAAATTTTAAAGTGGTTATTTTTGAATTAAAAATTTATCGACTATCATTTAAATGACTCTTTACAAAATTAAACCAAAAACTTTGTAGAATAAAATATTTGAACTAAAATTTTAAAAAATCAATATTTTTAGTTTTACAGTTTTATTTTATATTTAAAATTCAATTGTTTTGAGTTTAAGAAAAATTAACTTTGTATATTTCCGTTAAAACATCATTAAAGTGCTAAACTTTAATCTTCAAACTATTATTTAATAAATGCTAAAACAGCGTGTCATAGAAACCAGTAAAAACTCAACCCAGGATTTCCTCTTGAAAATTATTATTATTTCTAACATTTTCCGGCTTTATACGCTAAATACATTTAAAGCATACGAACTGTCATCATTTTTAAATAAATAGGTAGTTTTTTCACAAAAGAGAGTCTTACTCGACAAATGTTGTTCAATTGCACAGCTAAATCGCGCACGTTATTTGTATTTTTCGTTGCAAGGAAAAAATTAAAAAAGCTTTTTTAGTACTCGATTTCGATTAATTATTCCTTATATCATTGAGAAACTCAACGCTTAAATGCTTACATAGTACGTTAGTGTGCGTATTTTATCAAAGGGATCATGGTGAATTATTGTGTTTTTAATTGTAAATAAAATTCAAGAACTTAATCGTTGCATTTTCATGTTTTGCCAAAGGATCCAATTCAGTAACTACATTTGTTGGTGCATAATTAAGTAATGATAATTTTACCTAATATAATTTATATTTAAGTTTGGACATTTTTACGAAATTAGTAAAAAATAATTTTTGCACAAACATAACCTTAAAATCAACCATTTTTATATTTAAGTTCTCTAAAAATTGCCGACAACTGTATTTTAAACAACAAAATATACATACGAATTCATGGAAACATAATATTATATATATGATACATAATATAATGGTATTTTACCGTTGAGTGGAGACTTTAAAGAATTCTTAATCAACGCTTTTAATAATGCTAAATGGTGTTTAAATTTAGACAACTTATTTGTTTGACGCTTATTACTAAATTGAAATGTTTACACTTTTCACGTTAATTATTACTAAAATGTGTATTTATTGTAGCTAATAGATACAATTTATATTTACAGGGACTGTATTAAATTTATTTCTTCATTGGGATTAAAACTGTTTTTTAACATTTTCCGGCTTTATTCTCAAAAACACTCGTTTGTAACACACGCGTTTGACAGCTGATTATCAAGAGTTGTACTTTTGTTGATAACAGCCGAGTGGTGGCGCTACTAGCGATACTTCTTTAGCGTATAAAACTGGCACACAAACGCAGGCTAAATGACTTTTGCATTTTTAAGCATTCACCAAACACAACATACAAATCACAATACTCACTAAAGGAATTATATACGTCAATCTAATAGAAATGCTATGACAGAATCTAATTTATTATTATTTATTACAGAAGTATACACTGACAAAAACAAATAAACAGCCATACAGTGTGATTTCAACGAAAAACAATCAATTAATCAATTAATTCTTGTGATAATCAATTGTTTACTATACCATACCTATAGGTAAGACGTATTATTTTAAAATTTAAAAAAATGATTATAATGAAGGTAACATTTTTATAAATAATAAAGGTAGAATTTTTTAACACCCCAGCAAACACATAAATCTGATTATGTAATGGGCCATTACATTTTTAGCCAATGCTTTCCTTGTAATGGGCGTTTACAGAAATGTTTTAATAAAAATATTAATTTTAATAAAAGACAGTTCCATTTTTGTAAATATTTAGAAGTATTTTTAGACACCTAAAAAATAAAAAAATATTTAAATTTTATAAATCACTATGGTGACAATAAGGTTGATTTGTCCGTTAGCATTTAAATTTTAAAAATCACACGTATATCTCTCATGATCCATTGAGAACAAAAGGGTGGGAACTTGCCAAATCCGAGAAGAATGAGGCGAAAAAAAAACCTTGCGAAAATAAAATTGTACTTGTCTTTAAAAAATCCTACCACCCCAATAAGCGGTGGTACTGCCCAGCGCGCGCGTTTTGTTGCGTCTTGCCCATAGTTATGGGTCTTCGGTCAGTGCATTCACCTTTAACGAACTTTACGACGTTTTATTGCAGCTCGCATTCGCGCAGTGTTGCCATTTTGAGGCGACCTTCGCAAGACGTTGTTTTAGAAATTTGTTTTACTCGTTTCTAGCGAAAAATATCACGTTGGTGCAAAGTTTAATTTGTTGCTAACGAACGATATTTTAGCATGGGCGTCGACAGGGGGGGGCAAAAAATTTTGTACCAATTCAGGGTGCAACTGCCCCCCTTGCCGGTGCCCATGGATATTAGATAGGTAGGTATAATGTAAAACAAATATTACACGGAAAAAATAAATCGACAGGTACACAAACTTTCTTAACAATTTTTCTTATATGAAAAATTGACAAGAAAAACATTATAGGGTAAACCACATAGTTATTGGATACTTAAGGAATATTATTTATTTAAAATTTATATATGCCGTTGTTTTAAAGCATTTAGTTTTTTTCTTATAAATATATAAAAAGGATTGTTTGTTTAAACTTTATTTACGTTTACTTTAATAATAGTTTTATAAAAAGTAATTGGACATTTTATATAGTAATTGGACACATGGACCATGGTTATTGGACATACAATTTTTATATAAACATAACAACTTTACATCAAATAACATAAATTGTTAAATATTTTTTAAAGATAAATTGCTGTTTTAGGTAATTTTTTTATTTCGTTTTTGTAAATATCATATAATTCATATATTTCTTTCTCGGATTCCTCATCCCTTTTCTGGATTCTGAAGGTAACTACGAATTCCTAGGTCTGACTTCTAAAATAGTTTGTTGCAAATATCATTAAGTGTGGTATCCCTACTTTGTGAAGCATTTATAATGTTTAGGCCCGAACAGGATAATTTATTTATATCTAATATTTTTTCGGGTGGTATGTTAAAAGTATTTTCCGAATTTATTAATTTTGTTGCCATTAGTTTTTTATGTTTACTATCATGCACTGTATTTAAATTACTGTTATTTTGCAAAATGTCCTGTGACGAAGAAATCACTATAGTACTTACTTTCTAAAAATGAATTAGTGAAAAATGTCATAGCAAAAAAGAAATCCAGGACATTTAGCAGTCAATTCCTATGAAATATTATTCGCTGAATCCGAAAATGTCAAAAGTTATAAAAGTAGAACAGTTTTTAAAATATAATCAATTTTACATATAATATGATATTGATAATATTGACTATATCTAAAAAATTTCTTAACTTTTATAGTTTTTGACGGTCTTTTCGGATTCAGGGGACAATTTTACATAAGAATTGGCTGGTAAATATCCGGGATAGAAATAGAGTATGATATTGGACATATGTCCAATGATAGAAATTTACATTTTTTACCAACCAGTAATTGGACACTGACCATTTTACTGTATGTTTTCAGAATTAATATTAAAATGCATTAAAGTGACAATGTTTAAACCATGAGGAACACATTTAAACCACACACTGATCTGTACACTTTTTAGAAATATTTTTTGTTTTAAACACAGCCCTGCTCTTAACAAAAAAAACAATAATCTTACCACCAAAGTAACAAGTTTACAATATTGTTAAGAGTAACGTCGAATTTACAATTTACATTGTATCAGTTTTGCAATAAAAATAAATACAGGGTGTTTAATAAAAACGAGAGTCTAGAGAAGTTTATAAAACGAGTTGCATTCTATACTTTATCTACGATGACCAAAAAGATTTTAAAGCCTATTTGATTTGTTACACATTTGACATATGTCAACTTTAAACAGATTTAACCTTACTTTTTAGTAATTTATAATAAAGCTAACTTCAGCCTGTGACTAAAATTCCCAAAAGCCACTATTGATAACTTCAGCCCGTGACTAAAACTCCATAAAGTCACAGCTCGTCAATGTAGGAGTAGATAAAATACATTTATTAAAAACCAAATCGTGGTAAACCATGTAATCTTTAGTTTTCTATAAATTTATTTTCTTAAAAAATATAAAAATTAATGAAAACCAAATAATTGTGTTGTATTTCAGCATGTTTAAATAAATTTTTTGTATAATGAAATAAAAGTGATATTTAAACATCCACTATAATTTTAAATTATAAAACAAATAAATCTAAAAGTGTTAAAATTGGACTAAGACGGGTAAAAATAAAAAAAACATAATAAAATAATTATAATTTTATTTAAGCTAAATTAAAACACAAGGTGTAGGATAATTAATATTTTGTCTAATTTTAATTGACACGGAGTGTTAATAGTTCTAAATGTATTTTTAAACATACACATAAACACCTAACCGTGATATTTATAAATTACGGGAACAAAGATCTCTCAGAAAATATTATTAGAAAACTAATTAGGTTCTTAACATTGAACTAATGATTGATGATAGATTATTTACATAAGTTCATAGACATTTTTTGACAGAAAACATATTCAACTTAATAAAAAACAAATAATTCAAACACCCAGTGGATATTAAATAACCAGTAATTATTTTAAACATTTAAACTATCTATAATTTATTCCTACAATAAATCTACTTTAACAGCACAAAAAAAGTTAAAACTTTCCAGTTAGAATAAATGCAAACCATTTATTTGCAAATACCAATCTATTTATAAGTTTAATTCAGATAAATTGGAATCAAACCGGATATTCTTATCATTCTAGTTGCATTAGTAAATGTACGATTTTTATTGTTAGAACCACATGCATGTACATTCAAAAAATAGTCCATGTATATTTTTGACTTAACATGGACACATGTGGATTTATCGTTTTTAGAAACCAACCAAAAGCGAAAAAACTATGGTGAACAATTTGTTGGCTTCGCAAATGTAAATTAACGCCAGACAACGTATAAAAAAATAAACCATCCCATATGGCCCAACGGTAAGGGAAAGTCGAACGTGTGTGTATGTAATGCTTCGTACAGAGGGAAAAAAAAAGAAAAATGTTTCCTTACTTTTGGTATTTACTCGCCCAACAACTGCACTTAGCATGTGTTAAACTGTTGTTGTGCAAGTTACGACCATTCAACCATATACAAGACGGGGAAAAGGCAAGATAAATTACCAAGATATCTCAAATTGGATTTTACCCTTTTACAAAGTAAAGTATGTTTGAAATTAAATGAAGCAACTAAATTATAACAGTAAAAATATGGAGGACGAGTTTAACCAACTAATACAAAAAATTACAAAAGTTAAGCTCTAATAAACTGTCTTCCAAATTTAAGCGTAAACTGGGTTGCCTAATGTTAAAGTAAAAAACATTCGGTAACGAAATTGTACATCTCGCCGCTGCTCGCGCAGCCCCGCTAACTACATATACAATCGATAGGAACCGTTAAGCAGGTTCTACCAAGTCCGACCGCGGGGTTACGTGCAGAGTCCCTGGTGACTCCAAACACCCTGGGGAAGGTCCCCGGATCTCTGGTAGAAAGTACCGCCGGATGTTTCCGGTTAGTCGTAGACGACGTCGCACAAGATGGGTTATTCGGTGTGCGGCATGTTTGCGATGTTGGTCATATCAAAGACATGTCGGAACCACGTTTGGCAACACAACGGGGCCCACTCTGGTAGAACTTTTTTGACGAAAAAATTTATTTTATTTTAACATTTTTAATTTAAAACTTTCTGATTCTAGAAATGAGGCCTGTCATAGCAAAACCGACAATCTCCACTTTTGGTCAAAAATTATATTTTTGGCGGAGACTGTACTTCAACTAATTATCTATAAGATGATAAAGTTTATGTGCTGCAAAAGGAGCTAAATCCTGCCTAAAATCCTATTTTAAAAATGACATTCAGTGCAAAGTCGACAATCTCCACTGATAGATTTGCAGCAAAGTATACAATCTCCAATTCCACCATTAGAAATTAGTAATTTGTGTCATCCTAACATTTGATGTTATAACGTATTTTAGAGATTTAATTTTGTATTTTTTTACTGGTACATACTGTTAATTTCTATTGCAGTAAATAATTATTGCACTTAAAAATATATTTAAAATAGGTATATATACGTTTTATTGTTTTAAGAATTATAAAAAAAGTTTTTTATTTTGTGCTATTATACCATAATAAGACGTAAAGGTAAAGCAAGAAAAGGCTGATAATGTCAAAACATTGCAAGTAAAACATTACGGGGCAAAGTGGGAAGAAGATGATGAGTTGTTGTACTATAAAAACTTTTTTGCACGAGACAACCTGGTCCCAGATTTAGAAGAAACTCCAGATTTATGTGGTCCAGTTCAGAATTTTTCCACATTGATTGTATAGTTAAATTTTATAACCATTAAAGGGAGAAAAATACAATTATTTTTTTGTTTATTTTTCTAAATCTCCTTAAACGTTTACAACAAAATGAGCAATCTCCAGCAATTCATATCAAAGTCAGCAATCTCCAATTTATAATTACAGATTTCACCTATACCATTGAGTAAGGAACTTCCTTACTCAATGCCTATACTATGCATCCTGGAGACCTTGTAGTTGGCTACTATACTAACAACAACAATATTTCAATATAATATATAAAAAAAATACAAATCTAGAATTTAAAATACCAAAATCAATTATCTCAATTTACTCAGTTTTAGTCTGACGGGAGATTGTTGACTTTGCTCTGACAGGCCTCAAATACAAATGGGCAATATTTATCTAATTTAGGTCCTATTACTTAAATAATTTCCCAGTTGTATGCATTAATCAACATGCTATTCATACATACAACCTGTTAAACTAGTTTACATAAATAATTTATAGCAATAGCATAGCAATAGAGGCGATTATTTTACTCAAAAAAAAAATATTTAACAAATATCAAAATAGGAAAACTTTATGGGTCTTTCCATCGACCAGGCAAAAAGGGGTAGGTCGTTATTTTTCAACGAATGAACTAATTAGTTACTCAAAACTTTTGAGTCAAAAGCATCTTAGTTACTTAAAAGTATCTTAGAAACTTTCGGATAGTATCTTAGATACCTTTTAAAATATCTTGTAACTAACTAAGTTATTTTGTTTAAAGTATCTTAAGATAGGTACTTTTAAGTATGAATAAAAGCTATAAAATTATAAAAAATTCAACAAGTTGTAGGTTAAGCAATTTTCTCTAAGAAAGTATCTAAGTTACTTTAAAAAGTATCTTAGTTACTTTACAGAGTATAGAGATGCGACTTGAAAAAAACGGTCTGTTTTTTTTGTTTTTTTTTTTGAATTTTTTTTTCATTGTTTTTTTTTCAAATGGTTTTTTTTTTCATATTTTACTTTTTTTTTCAAGATTAGTCCCATTTGCCTATTTTTTATGTTTCCAGTCCAGTTCATGGACTAAAATTAGCCGCTAAATTTGGTCCTAAAAAAAGTAACTACCTATAATATTTTTGATTCAGCTCTTGATTTTTCAAAAAGCTACCAAAATCACTTTCTTCATGATTTTTCAAATTCATGTATAGTATGGAATTTTTTTCTTCAAAAAAACAATTGCAAGTTCTTGTAGAACATTTATTCATTGGTGGTTAAGTCAGAACTTTCCGTGGACCAAAAAAGAAAGCCAAAAAAATTTCGATTTTTTTTATTACGGTATTCTTTAGGATGGAGCGTTGCACGTTTTTCATCTAAAAATCTCAAAACTAGAAACTTCAAGCTTCAAATTGCTTTTTTTACGGCTCCAATACGACCATTTTTAACGAAGATACAGCCATCCGAAAAATCGCAAAAAAATTGAATTTTTTTTTTATCCTATAATTTTTTCTATTAGTGTAGAAGTTTTACATTGCTATTGGTGTCTTATGTGGAAACTAACAAATAATAAGAAATCAGATTTTTTAGTCTCGGTCAAAATTTTCAATAATGAAAAATGTAATATTTTCTACATTTTTTTTAAAAATTACTCCATTTTTTAAGATTGATGTTATTTATTGGCAGAATATGCTTTATTGTAGCGGATTTGAAAAAAAAACAAAAAATGCAAGTTACAAGAAACTTTTCGAAAGTAACTTAGTTTAAGATACTTCCTGTCCTATATAAAAAGTATCTAATATAAAGTATCTTAGATACTTTAAGTATCTAAGTTACTTTCAAGTATCTATTTATTCAAGATACTCCCAGCTCTGTGTAGTAAACATTTACCTATAATTTTAAAAAAACGACCTACCTCTTTTTGCCTGGTCGCTTTGAGATGAAATACTATTAAGTTTACTTGTTCAAAAACTAATTTTTGAGCTTTGTTTCAACAATAATAGTAATAACAATTATGTCATTGACTAAATTTCTTCACTCAACGATTATGTTCTTGACCCCTTGAGTTATTTTTTTATATATTACTTCGCTAAAACAATTAAAAACAGAGATAATCTGTTAAAAATATCAAACAACAAAGAAGTAATAAATGGAGATAACGTTGACTTAAGAACGCAACACAGAATACGGCAAGTAGCATACTGGGTTGCCTATTGCAACGGTACCACTTGTTGATTAATTCTTCTACGCCCATCGCCCACACAGGTGTCCCCACCATTGTTGATGACTGTACCTGTGTTGACTGTTTGTTGGGCAGGGCGCATTCGTAACCTAAGAATTCCTCCAACAATCGAAACAAAGCAATTAAAAACAATTAGTTTGGTTAGTGAGTGGCCGCGGTAAGATGTTATTGTGCTGAATCGCGATGAAGTACAAAAAAGAGGAGATAATGTGGTTGCTTGGCGTTTTGCTGTGTTTGATGGGTGTCAACGGTCAATACGAGTGGCAAGCCAGGGACCCATTCGACGAAGTTAGCAGGGCGATGAAGAAGATAAACAAAGATAATTGCGAGATACAACATGTAGGCGACTTGTACCTGCCGGACGACGCCGTTTCGCATCTTCCCGATATCAAGGATATCAACGTGAATCCAGTTTTTCCGAATAGAACGCAATTGATCCATTTGCATAACATGGCGTTAAATCGCGGTTTCTACTGGAGCTACATCCTTCAAAGTAGGTTTATTCGACCCACAATCAACGACACCTACGACCCGGGTATGATGTACTACTTGTTATCAACGGTGGCCGATGTATCCACTAACATGCACGTAAACGCTAGTGCTGTTTACTTCTCCCCCAACATGTCCTACTCATCATCATACAGAGGATTCTTCAACAAAACGTTCCCTAGATTCGCACCCAGAACATTCAGGGCGGACGATTTCAACGACCCCATTCACTTGGAAAGAATTTCCACGCTAAACACCTTCACGGTCCACGATTTGGGGGCTGTAAACCCCGACACAAGCAGCGACTACACCTCCGACTACTACAGAATAAACGAGTGGTACAAGAAGTGGTTGCCCGACAAGGTCTCCGAAAGGCACGATACAAAGACGACGTATCAAATCGAGATTCGGTACGCGAATAACACGAACGAGACGTACACCTTCCACGGGCCACCGGGGGCCGATGAAAATCCGGGGCCTGTCAAATGGACGAGGCCCTATTTCGATTGCGGGAGATCCAACAGGTGGATGGTGGCAGCGGTGGTACCCATCGCCGATATTTATCCCAGGCATACCGGGTTCAGACATATAGAATATCCAACGTAAGTAAATACTGTCAAATTGACAGTAATATTTATTATTGTAATATGAACCAATCAAAAGCCTTGAATTTTCGAATAAATTTCGTTTAAATAAGCGATTAAATCACTAGAACTATTTAACAGCGATTAAATTTTACCTCCATATTGGATTTTTGTTTACGATTTTATGGTGTTATTTACAATTTTAACAAACATTTTTTTAAAAACAATAAAAAATAAGTTATCTAGTTTACGAAATATTAATTATTACTTATTACATACCTTAAATTAATGGAATTTTCTTTAAAAAAATATTTATAAATTTTGACACATACGTCAGATTTTATGAATTGTCAAATAGTTTCCTTTAATTCGAGAAATAATCTAGACGTATATCACTCAACCTATAAATTTAATCTGTCAAACTATGCTCAGTAAGTTTTTTATTTGATTTTTCTTTTTGGAAAATAGTTTCATGCAAAGTAATTAAAAAAAAATGTATTAAATTATTTTGCATTCAACATTTTCCAAGAAAAACCAAACAAAAAACTACTGAGCCTAGTTTAACCGATTAAATTCATAGTTTTCGTGATATAATATATGATTATTTATATAATAAAAAGATAACTATGCCAAAAATAATATCAGATTCTAAATTAAAAGAACTTTTAAGGGCAAAACTTAATTTCGATGAAGTTATGACAAATGCCTCAATGGCAGAAAAAGTACATCACCTTATGGGTATTTCCACGAAACCTTACTCCACGACAAAAAATCAGATGTGTTATTTAACAAAATAACAACTATCTGAAATCTGAAGTCAAATAGTTTAATTGCGACGTAATTTATAACCTTAAAATATTCGTACATTGTGATGCTAAGAAGCTAACATTAAGAATAAACACGGAAGAGTTTCAATACTCGATAAAATGTTCAAATGTCGCACCCGTTACATTTAGAGAAAATTTTAGAAAATAAAGTATACAATATTTGTGCATTTAAAATACGTGCTTAAGGTTACTATTCAAGTTTTACACAAAAAATTATTACTATATGCTTTCATCCAAAATTTTACAGTATTAACTTTAGAAGCCAACTTGGTCGCATTAGCCGATTTTCCAAGGGCGCGCCCGTTACGCTATTCATGACGATATAAAAGGTTTTCTATACAAGTTTTGTTTGAGTTAAATACATTTCTTTACCTATATTAACGTATCTTCATATATATGAACAAACACTTCCCATACAGCACAAGATGTCCAATGGACATCTTGTGCTGTATGGGTTTATTATCATGAAAAAACGCAGTTTTAGTGTCGCACCCGTTACAATGGAAATACCCTTATGGACATTTTTGGAGTAAAAAAGTAACGTTTTTGGTTTTACAAATAATAAATCACACATTATTTTCAGCTAAGCAAATCAAAATTTTTTAAACTTTTAAAAAGATAAGGGAGAAATAAAAAAATACAAATTATTTGTGAAAAATATAGTAGTTAATTTTCCTGTCTTTGAAAATAGCATCCATTTGGTTTGAAAAAGATAAGCAATAATCACGAAACATTTTTCTTCTTTCAATTCACAAGTTACTGATGATTAATAGTCCTGGACAATATATACATTATAATTATTATTAAGCCACAACAAGTATTAACGTCCAGTGGCTTTAACAAAATACCCATTCACCATTGGAGTCCAATAATTGGACATTCACGTGTGTTCACATAATATTTTAATTTCTTTTATATAAATTCATTTTAAAGCGAAGATTATTATCCGCTAGGAATACTTTGTCTCTTCTGTGCCATAGTCACCTATATTTAACTACTTTTTTATATAATTTTACTCATCTACGCACCACCAAAGCCAAATTATTTGCATTTTTAACTACGAATTTTGACAAATTAACTTCAATGTAATTTAAACATAACCACAATTCATTATAATTACATTTATAACTGGTTTAGTTTGTTTTAATCAATGCAACCAATTTTGGTTCCGTATTTACCAACCAAACCCCTACATTTGCAACGTTGCCGCAGTCCAGATAAAAAAAAGAACTTTAACTTGACTATAATAATATTACATTGGCACTACTTTATAAACAAATAAACTACCGTCCGCCACTATTATTTATTTTTTGTAAATTCCTTTATTATTTTATTTAACAAAATAAGCAGTTTTTCTATGCATATGAATTTATTTAAATAGTGTCAAGATATTATTGTGCTTTAGTTTTAGATCTTTTAAGTGTTTTTTTAGATTTTAGAAAATTTTTTAAAAACTGATTTAAATCATTGATTAAAAAAATCACTTGATTTAAATTTAATGATTTAAATCAGGCGAACCCTGAAATTGGTACTAAGTATGGTAATGAGATGCTAATTTATCTAATGATTATGATTATTTAACAATTGTAAATGACTTTTTACCTGAAACAGACTTAACTATGTGAGGCAGACTGCTTAAATTGTTCTAAATGATCATAATTTAATTTTTTTTCAGGTATACTGCAGTGTCTGTGGTGGAAATGGACTTTGAAAGGATAGATATTAATCAATGTCCTCCAGGATTGGGTAACAATGGTGCGAATAAATTCGCGGATACAGCGCGATGTAAAAAGGAAACCACTGAGGTAATTATACCGTATTTATCATGTTTGGTGTTAACAGCTGACGCATCATAGCAGCATTCTATTTTTAAAAGTGGGGGGAATAATTCAACACGGTGACGATCTTGTCTCTAAAGATTTTAATTTTGACACTAACTAAATTCGTCGAATACATACACATATGTCATTTGTCAATTTTCGACAGGTCAAATCATTTATTAATTAAATTTTATTTCAATATCTAGAGTGCCTTGAATTTGCTTTACTGCTTCATGTTGGGCCAAGTAGTCTGTTTTTCCAATGCTGGTTTAAGGACCTTTCAAAAATTGAAAAACCATACTTTATGCCAATACTTTTTTTTAATATAAGATGGAGGTTAGTTGGTCATAAATTTGATACCAAATATTAATGCATGTTTTAACAATATTCCTTTCAAACAGTTTAAATGTTTATTAGGTTTTAAAGTGTAAATAAGTAAATAAATTAATAAGGCTTGAAAAAAAGTATCAGATATGAAAGTTCGTTAGTTTGTTTTGCTTGTGAGTGAATATTAACATTTTATTTTACTATTAAAACATACGCTAAAACTTTTTATAAAATAAAATAAAAATAATTGAGGTGGTTAGAATCAAAGGGGTGTAGGTAATTGCTCAACATTTTTTGTTTTTTAAACTACTAAATAAAATCATTCAAATATTTTAAAACGATTATAAAAAGTTATATCTAACTGCCCCATAGTGTGGTCATTGTAGGGAATATCTTGCAATAAATAAAAAAAAGGAATATGAAATCAAATAAAAATTTGTTATTTCCAAACATAATTAAAATGCGCATTAGTTTCTGGACCTCTTAGAATTTTATTATATTATTATTATTATTATTATATTTTTGCGATGAACCTCGAATTTACTAAAAAATGGCATTTGCATTAAAAAATTAATAAAAGTTGTTCATATTATCAACTTCAAATGAAGAAAATATGAAGTAAAAAAATGTGGCAATGTCAAAGATTTTTTTTTTGCATATTTTAGAAAAAACAATTTAAAAAAAAAATTGTGAATTCACTTAATTGTTTATATAAATTTTCGATGAATTTCAATCGCAAATAACTTTTTTATTATGTCGGATTTAAACAAATATTAAAGAATATTGCAGATAAAATGGAGAATCGCTCACATTTTAAAAAAATTACTAAAAAATAGATGTATGTTTATAATAACAGGTTTAAACAAAAAGAAGTTTTTTACCATAAGTTTAAGACACCCTGTAGAGTGGCTAAACCGTATATTGTTCTAAATTAGGTTTTAATTATCAAGTCACATCTATTCTTAACAGTTTTGTTTTTGGTTCACCTCAATATAATTATTTTTGTGGAAAAAATGGATTTTTTTTCTTCATACAGAAAAAATATTGGAAATTGCAATGTTTTTTAAAAATCAATATTTTTCACAAAAATAAATACCTATATCAAGGTGAACCAAAAACAAAACTGTTAAAAATAGATGTGACTTGATAATTAAAACTTAATTTAGACAGAGTGTCTTAAACTTATGGTAAAAAACAACTTTTTGTTTAAACCTGTATATTATAATTTGCCAACCCGCCGTGAAGAAAGAATCGTATCAAGTTCGTGAAATTATTGTATCGGATCGTATTCTATTTCAAAAATTATCGTATGCACGATCGTATCAGCCAGGGTGGAAGAAGGAGGTGATTCAACTCCGTCGTTGAAGGCGGCCAGATAAGTCAGTATTTGTTAAAAGTCTGTATAGATGGCGCATTGAAGTAGAACCTGTTTTAATCCCGGTGCACAACAAACTTTTCCCATTTTTAGTAAAATTGCATTGATTAACTTCACTAAGCTTAATTAAAATTCAAATAAAACCATTTCAACGTCACTTTTGTGCCTTTGTGGCGACTGTGCATTTTGGCAGAACAGTTGGCAATACTACAGTATTGCCAATCGTTCTTCAAATTATTATAATAATGCTGTAAGAAAAGATGTAATTTTCGTTAAGGAGGGTAGAAGACTCTCCTTGGGTTTTGGTTATCTTATAATTTGCTGTTAAAAGTTAAGTTGTTATAGAATATATGGATTTCGTTGGTAAAATCTTAGGTTCTTCTTTGACTCGCCATCTAACGAACAACGAACGAAATACTGACTTATGTGGACGCTGCTTCTTTACTTTAGAGATAGAAGCGATATCACCTCCTTATTCCACCCTGGTATCAGCCAAAAACTTAAAACTAGCTTTTATTATAATAAAATCCACTAATGGTCGTTTTTTTAATCACTACGGATACTAACAATATATCATGTACGGGCCAAAATTTAAGGTTACATTAAAACGCAATCCGTACTGTCGAATATGGACAAGATAACAGGAAAATTAAAGGGTCGCGTTTGAGCTGAGACGATTAATAAAGACTACGGAGGACCGAGGTTATGGAGGTACAAACCATCACGACTTCTGCAAGGTGTGTAAAAGGTGTTGAACAAACACACAAAATACAAAGACTACAAATTTACTACATTCGAAATAGTATGTAGTACATACATAAGTCACAAATACAAAAAAAAACTTATTCATAGAACTTATTTATCTGTCATTTTTGCATTGTGATCTGTCGATTGTCATTTGTGTGATTTTGTTTTTAATGCTACCATAGAAAATAGAATGCTGCCAACTGTCATTCTGATTCATTATATTTATTTTTTTGTACAATGGCCTTTGCTCGGGACAGAGGCAGCCTTCACTGAGAAAAAAGTTTATGGTTCCCAAATAAAAATAATAATTAAATATGGGACAGAAGCATTGTTTATTTATCCTAAATATATTTTTATTCCTGACACATAAAGTTTTTCTAAAGTAAATTTTTCGTTAATATTTCGACTATTTACTATATTCACTATTAATAAAAAGTATTAGCTACACAGTTTATTTGTCCCATTTTTTCTCAGTGTTTATATGCGCAGTTTTCGCTAGAGGAAAATCCTGAATAATTATTGTATAATTATCGGATATCGTAAAAGGAAAAATTACGTTCGCATCAGACCTCGAAATTATCGTATAATACGATAATTATCGTATAATTGGCAACGCTGATTATAAAGGTACCTACGTCTATTTGTTACTAATTTTTAAAATGTGAGCGATTCTCCATTAATGCATCTACAATATTCTTTAATATTTGTTTAAATCCGTCATCAAATAAAAAAGTTATTTGCGATTGAAATTCTTCGAAAATTTGTGTGGATCGATTATTTTGCCTGTGAGTGTAGTACATACAATTAAAAACAAAATGTAACGATCAAAACATTTTTGACAAAAAAATAGTTTTTTGTTGATTTTTTTAATAAAAATCATTGATTTTTTATTTTTTTAACCCTGTTAAACAGTAATTATTAATTTGGCCTTTTGAATAAAATGTATTTGTTTCAAAAATAATAAAAACATTTTTTTTATTTTTAGTGCGAACCACTGCACGGCTGGGGCTTCAGACGAGGGGCGTACCAATGCAGATGCAGACCGGGCTACAGGCAACCTCTACAAGTCCGACGCCCGTACCTGGGCGAAATAGTGGAAAGGGCCACCGCAGAGCAGTACTACAACGGATTCGACTGCACGAAAATCGGTTGGATACAAAAAATGCCCGTGCAGTGGGAAAAATCGCAACCCTACATAAGAAACCTGGTCTTGGACAGGCACAGAGAGTACCTGAACGCCACGTACGGACCTGCTTCGCTCAAGCAACCCAAAATCAACATCCACAGAGTGCTGGACTTCATTTTGAACATGAACAAGGACAACTGCAGGAGGTGGAGGAAGGAGGAGTTGCAGCTGGACGGAGGCATAATGTTCGGCGCCGAGGAGTTCTTCCAAAACGAGGCCAAGATGGCGCTGAGGCTGGCCAACTTCATCAGCGCGTTTCTGCAAGTGTCCGACCCGAAGGAAGTGTACTCGGGCAAACGGGTCGCCGACAAACCCTTAACCGAGGATCAGATGATCGGAGAAACTTTGGCCATAGTGCTGAGCAACACCCGCATATGGTCGGCCGGCACCTACTGGGACAGGAACAAGTTCACCAACAGGTAGGGTTGAAAGTTTCAAACTTCATTTAGTTGGAAAAGTGAAATTTTTAAAAATTTCAAGTGAAATTTTCAATTCGAAAATTTCAACATTGCCTGTGAAAGTTTCGGAATTTTCATTGAAAGTTTCGCAATTTACTGAAAATTTCGCATAAATTTCACATGCGGCCTCCCCTGGGACCTTTAATAATAATTTACAACAGATTCCGAATCGACCAATAAGAACGAGTTATCAAGCGTCTGGGCGTTTTTGTTTAGTTCGGCTTGGATTTGAATACACTATAAGTAATTTTTGTTACTTATATGCATAAATTAATTTAAATAATTTAATTCACTTACCAATTTAATTTGTAAATTAAATCAGACTTTAAAATTTTTTTAAAAGTCATGATTAATTTAAACTTTTACTTTTTCTATAATCGCATCGGAAAACGGATAAAAAATGCCTTTGGATCATAAAATTTTCATGAAGTTTCTTCAATTTTCGTAAAATTTCAGTAAAATATTTAATAATAATAAATATATATAAATAGAAAACAATGAAAGTGGCACAATCTCATTAGCTTACCAAAAAGTGCTATATCTCTTTTAGTTTTAGTAATTTTAAAAATATTTAAAACGAAATCTCAAGAAATTTGTGATAAACATAGGTATTTACTATATATATTATTGGCGCAGGGGCCCACAGAGGGGTATGAGGGGTATTTCAATATTAATATATTACATTTAAAGTGATTGAAATTTATTGAAAGTTTCAATAAATTTCATGAAATTTCAGACATTAAGGAAATTTTAATAAATTTCATAAATGTCATGAAAATTTCAAGTGAAATTTCAAGTACAACCCTACCAACAGGACGCTGTTCGCTCCGTACGCCTACAAAAAAATCCCCAGCCCCAGGAAACTCAACATCGAAGATCTGGCCAGGCTGAACAAGACCGACGAGGTGTACCTAAACAAGCCGTGGTTCTTGTTCTTGAAGCAGCGCTGGGCTTCGAACTTCGACAACCTGGAGAAGTACTACATGAAGATCAGGATCAGGTTCAACGAGACCGGGGAGACGACGAGGAAGTACGAGCACTTTCCCAACTACTACAGAGGCGCCAAGTTGGAGCACGGTTATTGGACGGCCCCGTATTACGATTGCGATGGCAAGGTGCCAATGTGGAAGATCGATTATATCGCGCCGTTCTTCGGATGGGACAGCCTGAAAGTCAAGCTGGAGTTCAAGTAAGTCTAGTTTTAATTAATGTAATATATTAAACATTTAAAAAAATATTTTCCCAAAGATAAAGAAAAAATATGCATTAGAAGTTTTTTATATTGCTTAAATTTACTACAAATTTTTCTTGCGAAAAATAAATAAAATCTCAATAAATACAAAAGTTTTATGCCCTTAACTAAGGTTTCGCGTAAAAATCAAACAAATTTTGGACGTCTGTGATGCCAGAATTGAATATATTTTTTTAACCTTGTTTCTACATCTAAATGGTGCATTTTTTTCAAAAAAAAATTTCATCCATTGACCACTGCGGTTTTCAGGCCTTAAGTCACTCTGTGTTAAAAATAGATAAATTTCGATATTTTTTAACATTTTTATTTAAAAACGTATCGATTTGAAATTAAGATAAAATGTAGACCTGGGGACAATTTAATTTAAAATTTTACCATTTTTTAAGGGTTAAAAAGTCGAAGAAGCAACGTTGTTTAATAATTTTGAGTATATCACGTTAAAGTACCGATAATTAACTATTATTTGATTTATAAACTTCTACATGCAAAATATGTTTCTATGAGAGACACCATTTTTAAGTAATGCCTTCAAAGAGCATAATACTAACGTGTTTTACAAATAATATATTCTTTTATCTAGTTTTATAAGATAATATATTGTATATTACATATTATACATTATATATTTCATATAATATATTATATATAACATACAATTTTTACATATTTATTTAAAAAAATCGCCATTGATGGAGCTAAAATTACTTTTATTTATAAATTTTTTCAAGTTTACTAATTTTGATCATAGTAGGCATCATAGACTTTTCTCTATGGTAACCTACCATTGGAAGCATAAGTTGCAAATGACTGATTGCGTTTCAATTTATAAGTGTACTACGAGCCCTAACCACATAATGTTCGGACACTTCATAATTTATACAGAAATTTTTTCCGTGAATACTATCTCAAAATTATTAGAAGTTATGAAAAATTCAGCTTATTTTGGCATATACCCCTCGAAGCGATTTTTATTTTTAAAAAGTTTACCTTTTATTTTTAGCTTTTAAAAAAAGGCTAACTTTTTAACTTTTTTTTGTATGAGTAAAAAAAGTTATAAATGGACCCATTAAAAAGAGCATAAAATATTATACAAACCCTGAAAATTTGGTAAAAATTGTATAAATAATAAGAAAGTTATAGCGATATATATATCTGCAAAATCTCCCGTTTCCTAAGAAAATTGCAAAAACTCTTTAAAAATAGCATTTTTAAATTACTTATACTTTTTTATAACTTATTTATTTTTTACCAAATTTTCAGGGTTTGTATAATATTTTATGCTCTTTTTAATGGGTCCATTTATAACTTTTTTTACTCATACAAAAAAAAGTTAAAAAGTTAGCCTTTTTTAAAAGCTAAAAATAAAAGGTAAACTTTTTAAAAATAAAAATCGCTTCGAGGGGTATATGCCAAAATAAGCTGAATTTTTCATAACTTCTAATAATTTTGAGATAGTATTCACAGAAAAAATTTCTGTATAAATTATGAAGTGTCCGAACATTATGTGGTTAGGGCTCGTATAAACTCAAAACATTAATTTATTAAAATTAATAATAATTATAGACAGTGTCAGCAAGTTAGAAATTATAACCTACTTTAATTTAATTTTTAACTCGATAAGCCAGCTTCAATTTTAATTCCAAACTGAGGAAAGTAATATTTACCCAATAAATAAATTAGAATAAAGACTTTATTTTTTATGTTGCAATCGGCTATTTATATATATCTATATTTTGTATTCAGTTGTTTTTCGATTTTTTGTAATTAGTTATTTTGCATTTTTTTTATATAATGTAATGTTATACAGGGTGTTTCTGGAGAAACGCAAACGATATGGATTTGAAATTTTAATAGCGTACCTATACAATTTGATTTAGATTTTTTTCTTTAAAATTTTGCTAAATGCACGTTAATCAAAAACAGTATCTAATTTTTTGTTATTATGTTTGCTGACATGGGGTTGGAATTTTAGGAACATTAAAACATTGTTTAAATAATTTAATTTTTTAAATGTTTTTCAACAAATACCTTGAGAAAAACCACTTGAAATTAGGCAAACTTCAAACAATAATAACGTTTTTATTATAAATATAAAACCCTGTATGTTTTAACATAATCAAATAGAACATTAAAGAATCATTTGATTTCCTAAAGTTAAAATTTCAGAGACATTTAACAATTTCTAATATTTTCAATACTATTTTGTATAAAAAAACCTGTGAAATTCTACATGTAGTTTAATGTGACAGTATCCATGGTTACCACCAAATCAGTAATTGTTTAATTAATTAAAATATTTGATTGAAAAATTAAAAACTCAAAAAATATTGACTTTAGGTATAGGATATGGTATAGCCATTTTAGTCAGAATTTTATGTAGAATTAAAAAATTTTAAAATATATGAGGTTACCTGTTTAAAATACCAAAGTTAAAGACATTTCCGGTAAAACAGGAAGTATTATTTTGCTCAAAATAATTTAGGAAAAAAGTCTAAAGGGAATAATTTACGCTATTAAAATTATAAATCGCGATTCCCTAGAAACTTCTAACGGACTACGTACGTGAAACACCCTGTATATTAAACGTCATTTATGTGTTATGCTATACTTAATTATTAATAAAAGATACAACAATAATTGTATAAAAATGACAAAATGTACTAAAATAAACATTTATACTGCTACTGCTAATTCAAAACTTATCCTGGCCACAGAAACATCATTTGCTTAAAAATTAATAGTCAAATATCAATACGTGTTATACTCCAATTTATTAATTAATTTATTTACCCTTTAAAAATTGTTAGTTTAATTTTAAACTAAATATCACCTGCGCCCCCTGTACGTCAAAATCTAAATCTAAAAAATAAAAATAAAAACAAAGTTGTCAATGGACGAGATTTTTTTGAAAAAAGTACTGCATTTAGATGTAGAAATAAGGTAAAAAAGTTTATTGCACCCTTGCAAATCGACCGTTCGATCCTTTCGCGACACCGTGTAAATAAATCCAAAAACACTTCCCTTAATTAAGATGTTTACAATTTGGGCACATAACCTAAAATTTGAAAGAAATGCACTAGATTCTGTCATAAAAGTTGTCAGATTTTGTTTTACTTTACCTTCATTACAAAAATGACATGATAAACAATTAATAAAAACGCCAAATTAACAATTTGCATTGTTGATTTTGTTATTTTTGTAATTAAGCTAAATTTAAACAAAATTTGGCAACTTTTTTGACATAATCTGGAAACGCTGGTTGTTACCAACCATAACATAATAAATTAAATTAGGCAACCAGATTAGCCTAAAGTTCCTAGTCGATCAGTGGCGTACTTTTTGGTAGGATAAAGGTTATTATAAATTAGTCTTTAGAATTTAGAAAAATAAAGTTTCAAGTGCTTCTTTATGGACCCTAAGGAACTACCCATTTTAATATATTACATTAATTACATAACACCCTGTAGAAACGTGTTGCAAAATTTACTTTTTTGTGTTACAGGGGTGTGGTGGCTGTTTCTATGGACATGTTAAAACTGGACATAAACCAATGCCCAGACAAGTACTATGTACCGAATACCTTCAAAGATACCAACAAATGTGACGCCAAAACTTCTTATGTAAGTATAAAATTGAAAAATATTTTGACAAAAAACTCCCTTAACCTCAAAATCATTTTAGTGCGTTCCGATTTTGGGTAGAGGCTTCGAAACCGGGGGCTACAAGTGCGAGTGCAAGCAAGGCTTTGAGTACCCGTTCGAAGACCCCATCACCTACTACGACGGGCAGCTAGTCGAAGCTGAGTTCAGCAACCTCGTCGACAACAACGAAACGCGTTTCAACATGTTCAAGTGTCGACTTGCCGGCGCAAGCAGCACGCAGGCCAGTATTATCACGATACTGCTGCTAATATTTGTAACCTTTGGGATTTATGGAAGATAGGATTTTTTCTACACCCTGTATATGCAGAATGATTCCTGTTTTATTGTCAAATATTCTACATCAAAACATGAGAACATTGCCCTAGTAGCAATGGAATTGGACAAGATTCTTTGTCAAGATACTTGGAGAAGCACTTAGTAAAGAATTGGACAATTCTTGACCAAGACTCTTGATCAAAATTCTTTATCCAGACTGGTGGCAGACTTGGACAAGTCTGTGACCAGAATTTGACCAGATTCTTGGCCAAGAATTTTTACACGATTACACGTTAAATAGGAACTTTCAATTCAAGATTTTTGGTCAATACAAAATTTTGTTGAACTTCAAAAGTTAAGAATGTTACTAAAAACATTAATTTTCCACGATTTCTTTCCAGTAAATTCGGCTTTTATCCATAAATCTGGTAAACAATAGTAAACAAAATAAATTTTGAAAGAGTTAAAGTTTTTAATTTTCTAGGTTAAAAAAAAACCAGGTGCCCGTAAAAATAAACATGTATTTTATAATCTTTCATGTTCATAAAGAGTAAACTATAGTTATGCGTCAGAGCTGACACACACTTTTTTTTTAATTTTTAATTTTTAGAAATAACAATTTTTATTTTTCAAAAAATCAATTTTTTTCTCAGCTAGAAGACGAATCCAATAAGCTCTTATTCGTATTTTTACATAAACAAAAACTATACTCATTTCCTACAGAGAACTCACTTCTCGTCTAGTATACATTATTGTGAATGATACTACTGTAGAATGAGAACCTCTACTCTATAGGATAGTCCCAAAGTTTAGCAATAGATGGCCTCAGATTTCTGGTCAAATTCTTGTCAAATTCTGGCCATAGTCTTGCCCAATAATCTTGGCCAAGAATCTGGAACAATTCTACAATTCTTGAGCAAAAATCTGTCCAAAGTATCTTGACCTATGCTGGGCCAAGACTTTTCCGGAATTGCTACTAGGGTGGTACATAAATGGCAATCTATGACCAGTTGAACAAACAAAAAACTTATATTTTTGACATTTTTTCTAAAAATGGTTTTGATGTAATTTTTGATACGTAAAATACTTAAATTATAACGCAGGAATCACCCTGTGTATTTAAATGCCTCAAATATAACAAAATTAGTGCCTTTAAGTTAACAAATTTTTGCACAAAAAAATACTCTCCATTTTTACTCTATTTTATACTGTATTTTAGGAAAATTATAATTTTTACCGTCCAACATATTTTTATCATGTATTATTAAGTTAAATGTTATTATTAATTTGTTGTATATTATTGTATCGTACTATATAGGCCGAGATGCAATTTATTGTATATATTTGCGATTTTATCTTAAAAATGAGTACAAAATATGTATTTATAATACAGTGAACAAGGAGAAAAATATAGAAAGTAAATATACAAGGTGTTTCAAATATAAAGAAAAAAATCGATTTTTTCATCACCCTGTGGATAAAACAAGTAAAATGGATTAAATCGACTTTTTAAGCCTTTTATCAAACACCCTGTATAATTGCTCCTAAACACCTTGTAAACCAAAGTATATTGTACTTTTTTAATCTCTAAAAAGAATCTTAAATACTTAAGTCTGAAATGTAATCCGTCCACGAACGCGTTTTATTTTATTTTTGTAAATTTTATATTATTTGTAAGTTACAAATTGTATCTACATACATAATAGCATGTTTTTATATTACGATTTATCTTTTTACATTGTTAGATTTACAAAAGTGAATGTGTTTTAATAAATCCATTTAAAAATTTATATTATTTATGTGCATGGAATCTCAACCCCATTTTTTTTTAAATATTAATTAATCACCACTGTTTGATGATAAAGTTAAAATCTTGATTTAAAAGAAAATACATTATGGAATAATAGGTCAAAGTTTTTTATGCTCTTGCTATTTTGCCTGGAAATAGGTTTTCTTAAACCAATAGTAGTTATTTAAGAACATAGGTAGGTAAAATACAATACTGAAAAACCTATAAAAAATCATCATAAAACAAAGTTTATGTGACCAATTTAAAATGGTCCAATTTCGTGGTTTGACATTATTTTTGTTGCTTAGTTAACGATAAAGTACAGAAAATGCAAATGCGAATATAAATTAAGTATTAATACATACTTACTAAAATCCTAATATACTTGGTATAAAATCAGGAAACGCCACACAAGAAAATAACATAAAAAGTTTTAAACTATTGAAATAAATGCTTAACAGAAATATCGAATTGGTTCCTAATACTTTTCGCGTTATTTTTACCCTTTTATACATAAAAAACACTTGTTAATTGTTAATAATCACAAAACGTGAAAAATGCAACCGCCATTTCTACGTCAAAATGAAGGCTGTCATTTTTTGAAACGTCAACGGCCAAAAGCGAATCTGTCATTTCGACTTTTAAATTTAAAATTTTCACGTTAAAAGCAGCGTTTTTGCAAGCAAAATACAAAATTTGTCTACTCACAAAATTCCAACATGATGTAATTTATTCCAAATAACAACACTACCAGCTTTTGAATTTATCAACTCACTCACCAAAAACTATAAAATAATTAAACAAATTGTTCTGTTGCCTAAACGACGGCATCGAATTGCGGAATTTTTTTACCTGTCAGTTTTCAGGAATTCTCCAATATACCGTAAATGTAGAGAAAAACCAGAGTTATTCCCACATAAATTACAATAAAAACGATCACATACAGTATGATGAGTTTGTACAATATCTCATTCATTTAATTGTTTCTTAGGCCGCTTTTATTTTATTGAATATGTTTTACAGTCATTGAGACATTTCTATTTAAATTGTTCTTATTTAGGTATGTATTTCATTATTTTTAAATTTAAATATATAAAACTATTGATTTTAATAAGATTATTTTTTATAGATATAGGTGAAACAGCAATTTTATTTATTTAATACCTACCCATTTCATTTCTCAATTTTAATCGGTGGGGGAAATATCATTTTGCTACCGGGCTGAAGTTAGTTTTAAATTAAAATTGAAAAAAGTGGGGTTAAAGTTGTCAGATTAGAGCCTTAGATAAAATATAATTGGTTTTAAATTCCTTGTGGTAGGTATAGTTGTATAAAATATTGTGTGCAACTAATGGGTAAAAAGAGGAGATTTCTTAATGTTGTTCGCAAAGTTTCAATTGCGCACGTTATTTGTGTTTTGCCTTGCAAGTAAAAACTAAAAAACTTTTATTTGGTTTAGTACTCGATTTCGAAATAAGAAACTCAACGCTTATGTGCTTATAGTTACGTTAGTGTGTGTATTTTATTTTAAGTTATCCTGGAAATTATTGTTCTTAATTGTAAATAGAATTCAAAGAACGAAATCGTTGCATTTTCATGTTTTGCCAAAGGATCCAATTCGGTACGTATACAGGGTGTTATGTAATTAATGTAATATATTAAAATTGGTGGATCCTTGACAACCATAAAGAATCACCTGAAACTTTTTTTTCTAAATTCCAAAGACTAAAAATAATTTATAAAAACCTTTATCCTACCAAAAAGTACGCACTGATCGACTATAGTCAATAGTTCCTATAGGAACTTTAAGCTAATCTAATTTTATTTATTATGTTATGGTTGGTAAAAACCTGCGTTTCCAGATTCTGTCAAAAAATGTTGCCAGATTTTGTTTAAATTCAGCTTAACTACAAAAATGACAAAAACAATGCAAATTAATTAATTTAATTAATTAATTAACAATTGTTATTTTGGTGTTTTTATTAATTGTTTATTATGTCATTTTTGTGTTGAAGGTAAATTCAAACAAAATCTGGCAACTTTTATGACAGAATCTAGTGCATTTCTTTAAAATTTTAGGTTATGTGCTCAAATTGTAAATATCTTAACCAGGGTGATCTTAACTAAGAGCCGTTTCACATGCGACTGATCAGTCCTGATGATACGGACTGACGGTCATGGCCATTGTTTTACAAGCAACGTATACTACGGAAATGTCTACTACGAGACAGTTCTTAGCGCCTCCGGAACTGCGCTGTTGCCGCTTTTTGTATAAAGAGAATAATACAACGCAAAAAAGTTATTTTTTGCTTCCGCAAAATTTTCAAAATCCGGAACTACTATTTCCGCTACTTCTTCAAATGCTTTGTCTTTGCTTCCTATTTTTGTAGTTCTCATCATCTGCATACCAGATGCATCTTCGCTGTTCGATGCTACTTATTACAATTTCAGTATTAATGCGTAAACTACTCATTGTGCAGCACTGTTTCTGCTGACCGTACGTACCATATGAAATACTCCATATAACTAACAGCCCTTAATAGTCCTGACGGTACGCTGTGCGCACGGGCTGTCCCGATGCCCGTGCCGACGAATCAGTAAACCGATGATACGCAGTGCATGTGAAAAAGTTCATTTAAACAATGGCCCCTAATCATCAGGACTGACCGTCAGGACTTTATCAGTCGCATGTGAAACGGCTCTAAAGGAAGCATATACCTATAACTCTATACCTATAACTTATAGTTATATGAAAGGAAGTGCTTTTGGATTTATTTATACAAATTGAATGTTTAAAGTTTAACCTGTGAACTTGTCCTAATTTCATCTGAGTAAACAGAAAGAAAAAAAACGATGAAAAAATTAATTTTGTGGTTATAGAGTTTTTAAAATAGGTACTAAATTTTCTAATCATTGCTTAAGCTAATGGCTGGATGCGTAAATAAATACAGAAGGGTATTAGAGCTTTAAGGGCATAACAAATTTGTATTTATTTCTTGCAAGAAAAATTTTAAGTAACAATTTTGTACGCCATGGATGAAAATTGTTGGTCATGGAATTCTCTACAAAAAATGTTAAATGCATTTTTCCGTATAACGAACCGCTAAAAAGATCCTGGTCACGGCACCAATCTGCCGCGAGCACTTCAAACCGCGATATATCCGTGACGGTTGGTTTTACGTAAAAATGCATTTTAACTTTTTCGTAGATAATTAATGGATGCACAATTTTTATAAATCATGTTTTTATGTGCGACCAATATTAAGCTTGATATTGGTAAAAATGTGTTATGTGAGGGCTATTATTTACATAGTAGTTTATTAAGTTTTTTTGAAACATAATTTTAAAAAGTTTTATAAATAAAACATATTATATATATTTGGACGTAAAAAATACAGTAAAAAATAAAAATAATAATATTTATTTAATCAGTTGCTTCTCTTAATAGAAACATTAAATTTTATAAGATGGTGAAAATAATAGGTGGTACAGTCCGTTATTTTTTCCAATGGTCGCTGTTTTCTTTCTTCTAAGCAAGTAGAATATTTTATTAAGGTCCATTCTAATGGATGATTTAAAATTTTTACTTCAAAGGTATACAAATTGGGGTTTTCATTGGAGCAAACCAATTCGACAGCCCAATAACAATAATCCGAACCAAAATACGATATTCTAAATAATTTTGAATCAAACACCATCCATTTGAGGGTTTCTTCCGATCCAAATGTATCTTCTATTTCCGTAGTAAATTCCATATCCTTATGGTTGGTCTTTAAATGTTTCAAAATGAATTCAAAGTTTCCAGTTTCAAAACAATCCATCGGACATTGATAGATACGTGACGGATATTTTGCTTCATGTTTCCCTAACTGACTTTCGATGACAATTTCGTTGCATCCCGATTTTTTATATTTGCATGGATACTTAATATTTTTCGTAAAGTTTTCCATGAAGTAGTTCCTAATATTGGCCCACCACCCCTTACAAGTTGGACATTGTTCCAACTCTTCTTTGCATGAAAAGCAAACGCTATGCCCGTTGGAACACAGATAAATTGGCGCCCGCATCGTCTCCATACAGACGGGACATTCCAGCAGCTTTAAGATATGTTCGTCTACTCCTTTGGGATTTAAATTAAACTCGTTCGAAATCGTATTTTTTTCGTCTGCAAGGTGGTTCAACAGACCGATGTCCACCGCAGTAGCGTTAGGGTTTTTATCCAGGTTCTGTTCGTTATAAATACCGTTTAGTTTCGTTAGAGTGCCAGCGGTTTTTATTACCGAATGGTTTGTTGTTTCGATACTTTTGTGCTCCACCGAGTATTCCATATTTTCTTCGGATTGTCCAAGTGGATTCAAGGCGTAATAAAATTTATCATCGACAACTGAAGTCTTTAAAAGGCAGCTTTGGAAATCATCAGATAATATCTTAACGTTGAAGCGTACCCCTAGGGATGTTTTAACCTTAAAAATATTGTTCTCGCCTTTAATAACATGTTCTTTATGTTTTTTTAATAAATGTCCACCAAATTCGGAATTGCTTCCACTCCAGTCACAAGCTGCAACATTTTTCATCGGGCACTGTTTAGTTTTAAAATCGCAACTACCGATGTGCTTGGAATAACTTTTGGACTCCAACCTCTTGTTGCAGCCCTTGGATTTAAACTTGCACGGCAACATCAGCCTGGCTATAATTAAGATGAGCGCAGTGTTTAATTCGGCCCTGGATTTCATTTCCTCCCCACACCTTTCTTCGAAACATCTTCCACAAACGTTTCCTTTACCTCGGACCAGGAAAATATCGGCCGTGCAGAGTTCATCGCAAATCTGGCAGTGGAATATTTTTTCGGTCAAAAGATCGTCAGTGAATTGATTCATTGTTTTGTTTACCGCCTGAAAATAAAGTAGTAGATGTAAGTGATTGCTATGGGGTAAACCACATAGTTATTAGACCAAATATAATGCTTAGGCCGAAACAGGATGATTTATATATATTAGGGTGTTTCAAAAAAATCGACTTTTTGTTTTTCTTCAAATGGTCGGCAAATTCTTTCAGAGGATGTCAACATAAAGACCTCGTCAAAATTTAAGCTTTTAATTTGAAGATTTAGAGGTCGCGGATCGCAATTTTCTATTTCCCATTTAAATAACATGGGAATTTTTTTTTTTAACTTTGAAATTTTATACGTCTGAATCAAATCAACTTATGTCATCATCTTAGATTTTCATAGTAAATTTAACGCTCTACAAAAAAGGTCTCCTATAATTTTTCTATAAATTGATTCCTTTCAGAGTTATTCGAGGCCAAAGTTTGATTTCCATCGAATTTTCGCGTTTTTTTAACATTTATGGTACAATTATCATTATACGGGTGTCCCGAAATCAGGGGGCCAAACTTAAATAGTGCATTATTCGTATAAAAATAACACTTTTTTTGTTTAATAAACATGTATCAAAAAATGCTCCCTAAAGGAGCTACGGCCGGCCCCCTGAATAGGAGCCTAAGAGGATAATTTTTTTAAAACTATTCCTAGAGGGTTGAACATGAACAAATGAATTTTCGGTACTTTGGTAATTTTGACATGCTGAATCTAGATCTATGATCAAAACTGTTAAAATTTAATCATAGGCGTAACATTTGGAGGGGGCAAAGTTACAAAAATAGCCCCAACTTTTTTAATTTAGTTTAATTTAATTTTTTTATGAAATTATGAGAATTTACAGTTTTTTACGAAAAATAGGTACTCTTGATTTGAATTGCTCAGATGCACCATTTTCGAGAAAAATGCATTTATAAATAAATTACTCTGCATATTATACACATCTCATATTTTCATTAAAACTTTGTAGTAGGCTTTGGAAAAAAGTGACGTTTTTTTTGTTTTTTTGTTTTTTTACAACACTTCCTATGTTTCAGATATAAATATGTGATTTTTTTACTACATGATGCTAAAAGTTGAAAAAACGAGAAAATTCGATGGAAATCAAACTTTGGCCTCGAATAACTCTGGAAGAAATCAATTTATAGAAAAATTATAAGAGACATTTTTTATAGAGCGTTAAATTTACTATAAAATCTAAGATGTTCCTTGCCATAAGTTGATTCTATATAGAAGTATAAAATTCCAAAGTTAAAAAAAAAAATTTCCTATATTATTTAAATGGGAAATAGAAAATTGCGATCCGCGACCTCTAAATCTTCAAATTAAAAGCTCAACTTTTAACGAGGTCTTTGTTTTGACATCCTCTGAAAGAATTTGCTGACCATTTGAAGAAAAAGAAAAAGTCGATTTTTTTGAAACACCCTAATATATATCTAATATTTTTTCGGGCAGCCACTAATAATTCTCGTCAACAGCAATTTGTATCTGGGACATTTAGCAGTCAATTCCTATGAAATATTATTCGCTGAATCGGAAAATGTCGTCAAAAGTTATAAAAGTAGAACAGTTTTTGAAATATAATCAATTTTACATATAATATGGAATTGACTATATCTCAAAAGCTGCTTAACTTTTATAGTTTTTGACGGTCTTTTAGGATTCAGGGGACAATTTTACATAAGAATTGGCTAGTAAATGTCCGGGATACAAATAGAGGATGATATTGGACATTTGTCCAATAATAGAAATTTACATTTTTTACCAATAGTAATTGGACACTGGCCATTTTACTGTTTGTTTTCAGAATTAAAATTAAAACGCATTAAAGTGACAATGTTTAAACCCCGCACACTGATCTGTACACTTTTTAGAAATATTTTTTATGGTAATTTAAACACAGCCCTGCTCTTAACAAAAAAAACAAAAATCTTACCACCAAAGTAACGTGCAAACTTTTTTGTCCTATATTGGACTCAAAATAAAGTAGTTCTATATTATTACCGACTGAGATAGTTATAATTGTATACAGCGTCATCTAATGATTTGACTTTAAGGTAACTATTTACAGAACTCTTGTTTTTACAGTAGGTATTAATGTTAATTGTCCAATAACTATAAAGTGTCTGATAACTATCTACTTTACCCTAACTATAACTGAATTTTTGTCTAAACTAATGTTTTGTTTTTTTAGCACAATTGCATGTTATTAAATAGTAAAACGCGTTCCACAGAATAGCCCATATGCAAGTAATCTTGTGGGGAATCCCCCAAACATGGCCACACCCATGGGCACTGCAGTGCTCAGATATTTATTTATTTTTTACTCCCAAAAAAATACGAACATTTTTTCCTACAAACTAAGCTAAAAGGCTTACCTTAATCAATTCCAGCAAATCAAAATTTAAGAAACAAGTTATATTTTTTCGACAACAACTTTTGTACTAATCTTATCTTACGGACTTTACCACAGGTGGGGAGGATAAGTACGACTCGAGATGGGCTTGATTATATACCTATAGGAAAATGTATTTTGAAGCAGGTATTATAATAAGCGAATAACTAGGTAATAAAGTAACAGGTATGGACTTGGATCTGTTATTCTACGTGCTAGACAGGGTGCCTGGGACCCTGGTGCTAGATACCTAGGAACAGCTGTTCCCAAAAAATACTGTTTGTTTCATTTTTAATTCCAAGGTCATTTTTAATGTACGAGGAACAGTCGTAAATGTGTTACGAGGGTCATTCAAAATAAATGTCAAACATATATTGTACATTTCAACAATGATTCACCTAACTTATGAGTGATTCCAAATAAAAACACCAAATGGAGAGGATGATCTTTTAGGTATCAAATATGTAAATCCCTTACCGTTTTAATTTTTGGATTCTTTACTTTTAATCGGCACCCTTTAGAAATCTGAAATCGTGTCAATTTCTTACTCTCTTATCTAATCTTATTGAAATTATTTTAATTTTGTTTTACTGTTCAATAAGTGTGTTTTCGATATAAATTATTATTATCCAATTAGTTAATCTCATAAAAGAATGGTAAACCACTAAAGATTCATGATAATTTGCCAATTTTTGTGATTATTGTCTGGCTCCTACTAAATCTAGAAAGTTATTTTTTTTCAGGTATCAAGTACTTATACAATAGAAAACTTAACTATTATTTTAAGTTTCTAGACTATCATTTTCTTTATTAAAAAAATTATTAAAACTTGATAAATAAAATTAGTCAATTTTGCCTTCAGAAATCATTATGTTGAGGAAAAAATAAAAATCTGAAACCTTTAGGAAATATAGTCCCAACCTTCATCTTTTCAGTCCAGTTAGTCTTGTTTTGTTATTTTTATTCCTTTAAAAGATATAATAATTTTTTTAATGCCCGTTTAGTAGCGATATTGTTAGTTTTATTTATAATTTAAAACTTAGATGGCTTTCATATTTGGTGGAGAAGTGACAGAACTGTCAAAAATATTTCATAAATATAATATATTATAATATAATATAAACAGTTCTGATATATTTGGTAGTTATGGTATATTTTATGTATTGTATAATCATATATATATATATATATATATATATATATACAGTGTGTCCGTAAAGTCCCGGAACATGTGATTATTTTGAAAACGGTAATTTAAAAAAAAACGCTGAAACACGTCAACTTTTATATTTTTCTAGCAATATTTTAGCCTATGTAGTTGTTCCAAAATCTGCCGCGTGGCGGCGCCCCAATCAAAGTAAGTTTTTTTTTTTTAAATTACAACCCTTTATTTTTGTTGCATTTTTGTATAGCTACCGTTGTCCTAGGACAACTCAGCTGAGTACATTGATATGCTACATGTGGAGGGTTACATAAGAAAATTTTTGAGAAAAGTAGGTTTTTGCCGCTGATTGAGATTTTGGTTTTGACGAACTTATTCGCTGTTACGGGGCACCACCACACTATGCATTGCTAGTAAGAGATTATTTAAATCAGGTCTTTCCCAATCGCTGGATAGGTCGAAGGGGTCAAATTGAGTGGCGAGCGCGATCGCCCGATTTGAACCCTTTAGACTTCTTTTTATGGGGACATCTTAAAAACCGCGTCTATGTAAACAGGCCTTAAAATTTGGACGACCTAAGACACCGCATTCAAGCCGAGATCCAGATGATCACTCCAGCGGTACTGGCAAACGTACAACGCTCGTTTGTAGACAGGCTGGCCCACTGCCAAATAGTTTACGGTGGACACTTTGAGCAACTGCTCTGATTGGCTTTCCAAAAAAGATTAAGCAACGCATAGATTGTATTTAAGTTTGACAAAATACCAAAATCTCATTCGGCGGCAAAAACCTGCTTTTCTCAAAAATTTTCTTATGTAATCCTCCAGATGTGGCACATCAATGTAATCAGGACAACGGTAGCTATTCAAAAATGCAACAAAAATAAAGGGTTGCAATAAAAAAAAAACTTACTTTGATTGTGGCGCCGCCACGCGGCAGAATTTGGAATAACTACATATGCCAAAATATTGCTAGAAAAATAACAAAGTTGACGTGTTTCAGCGTTTTTAAAAAAAATTTACTGTTTTTAAAATAATCTCATGTTCCGGGACTTTACGGACACACTGTATATGTATATATATATATAGATATATATATATATATATATATGATTATATATTATACATTATATAATGAAGTATTTAATTGGCTAATTGGTGTTTAAAGAAGAAGAATGTAACAAATATATTCAAGATCCTTATGGTTTATATCGTAAATTATAATTATTATAATATAATTATTATTATAATATTATAAATTATAATTATAATAAGTGAAATTAATAAAGAGTTAATTTAAACGTATAAAAAATGCTTTAAGCAGTTTTTTGGAATTTAAACCAAGTTAGTCTTGTTTGATCCCTTTAGTTACTAAAGTTTAGTAAGGCACTGAATAGTTAAAAGTTATATGTACCTATGTATTTTAAATGTTAGTGTTGGAAAAATTTACACAATCTGTAAATACTATAGTCCAGTCATCTAGGCATTTCACCTCGGAATCTAACGGAATAAGCTGAATTTTTGTACAAACCTTTAATTTAGCATTGCAAATGTTGTCTCAAAAGTCACATATGCCAACGTGTGAGCGGCCTTAGATATTCAAGGTCAAAGGTCGCAAAAATCAATTTTTTGAGAATATCTCCTTTTCTCTGCCTCCTATCATTTTTGCATTTATTATACAAGTTGTAGAGAATAAAATTCTCTACAAATTTTGTTTACAAAATTTTTTTATACGTCTAATAGTTTTTGAGATAGAGTAAATATTACTTAAATAACAATTTATTACCTTATATTTATTTTTATATATTTTTTTAAAACAAATAGTCATTAAATATTATTTACTTTTGACATAAAAATAATTAAATAACGAAGTGAATCATTCTAAATATATTCTAATATTATTCTAATTAATGATAAATGCATTTTAAGAAGAAAAGACATTAAATGAATTTGCCTTGAATATGTCTCTGGTCATCTCTTGGATCCAGATATTGCTTTTAAAATAACAGACCTGGAAATACTATAGTGGGCTTGCTATAAATAAAAAGGTTAGGTATACCTATATTTAAAGCAAGGTGTGACCCTAGGTATACCTAGGTCTAGGGTTGTGACAGGTAATATTCGTAATACTTTAAAGGTTAACATGGCTGATTTGTGTTTTATTTGTAATAAGTTACTTTCTGAAGGTGATTCTGTGACTTTTGTGCGCGGTATAAAGACTTTAAAAGAAGCAATTATTGAGAGAAATAAACATAAACTACCTAAATACTTTGACTTCTGTGAACGTTCATATTGAGTGTCGAAAATCGTACGCTATAGCGTACTATAGTAAAATTGCAGCAGCAAAACGTCGCCTTGAAGAGACTGGACCTTCAACGTCATCAACTGTACCTCGTAAAAAAGGGAATGATGTGTTTGATTTTAAAATATTGTGCTTATTTTGTGGTGAAGTCGCAGATGAGGCAACAAAGGCAAAAAAATCAGCAAAGTACAAACGCGTTATAAGTAAGTTTTTGAAGATATGACAATTAATGTCAATGATAACGAGGAGAGTTATGATGATAATGAGTCTGAAATTGCTGGCCAACCTGAAGAAGACGAGGATGAAGAAGATAAAGATAAATAATAATAATAATATTGATATAAATAAAAACATTTTTTCCTACTCCGATCCAATTATCCTTCATTAAAATTAAATTAAAATATAAGATATATATGAAGATAAAATATATTTGATTTAAAAGAAATATAACCATAAGTATAAGGTATTAAATTTTTATTTTAGTAAAATTTATTATATAATTAATTAAAAAAACGGTATAATAGATTGGGATTCCCGATTTACCTTGCGCTAAAGTACGTATGGCTGAGCGCTCCACACTCTGCGCCCTCTATCTCAAAAACGGTTCGACGTATAAATTTTTTTTTTAAACAAAATTTGTAGAGAATTTTATTCTCTACAACTTTTATAATAAATGCAAATACGATAGGAGGCAGACAAAACGAGATATTATCAAAAAACTGATTTTTGCGACCTTTGACCTTGAATATCTAAGGTCGCTCACACGTTGGCATATGTGACTTTTGAGACAACATTTGTAATGCTAAAATAAAGGTTTTCACAAAAATTCAGCTTATTCCGTTAGATTCCGAGGTTGATCCCTTTTTTTGACTAAGATGACTGTACTACTAGTATTTAGAAGCTTCTTTAAATTTTAGTTTTTAGGTCACTGGTTAAAATAAAACATATGTTATAATAAAGGGGTTAATTTAGAATACTTTTTTGTTTTTGCTTATTTTTAACAATTTAAAACTTCTTAGAATATTTTCTATGAGAAAGAGGTACAAAATTATGATATGTTCTTGCATTTTTAATTGAAATTAAATTCATTAATCTCGAACACTCCGTCATTTATTACACTTGCAAACTTTTTGAAATCACTATTTAAATACGCACATATAGGTAATATTTATGAAATATTTTTGACAGTTCTGACATTTCTCTACCAAACATGAATTGACTAAGTCAAAGCCATCTAAATTTGAAATTATAAATAAAACTAACTAATATCGCTTTTTAACTGCATTAAACAAATTATATCTTTTACATGGATAAAAATAACAAAACAAGACTTTTTCCTGAAAGTTTCAGATTTTTATTTTTTCCTCAACATAATGATTTCTGAGGGCAAAATTGGCTAATTTTGAAAATTATCAAGTTTCAATAATTTTTTTAATAAAGAAAATGATAGTCTAGAAACTTAAAATAATAGTTACGTTTTCTATTGTACTTGATACCTGAAAAAAAGCAACTTTCTAGATTTAGCAGAATAGGCACAGGAGCCAGACAAAAATCACAAAAATTGGCAAATGATTACAAATCTTTAGTGGTTTACCATTCTTTTATGAGATGAACTAATTAGATAATAATAATTAATATTGAAAATATACTTACTAGGCAGTAAAATAAAATTATAATAATTTCAATAATTGTCACAGAAAAAAAGTTTTAGCCTCTTATAAGAGAGTAAGAAAATGACACGATTTTAGGTTTTTAAAGGGTGCCGATTAAAAATAAAGCAACTAAAAATTAAAACGGCAACGGTTTTTCAAATATGATACCTAGCTTGACATAATTTTTAAAACGCTCGGGGAAGAAAAACGGATTATTATTATTATGACGTAACTAACGTGCCTTTAACATTTCGAATCGCGGCACGTTAGCGTGCCTCTAGTCACTGTGTAAAACAAAAAATTTCATCTAATTTTGTATTTTATTTTACTGAAAATTCCAAGCTTCCTTTTGTTTGAAGTATGTTACCAGAAAATGAACCACTTCATTGTAGGTTTTAGTACACAAAGAAAACAAAAATTGAGTTACAATAATTTTATTTAAAAATTAAACGTATAATAAATCTGATAAGCTTATAATTTACACTGGGCCCAGTTGCCTTACTTGTTTGTTTGAACTCTGTCAAGTAAGGTAAATGTTTATTAGGTAAATGGACAATAACAGAAAAAAGAATTATCTACATAACCTGACTAACTACAATTTAAAATAATTTAACTACCAAATCACAAATACAAAATTTACACACCGTCATAAATAATAGCGAAATAGCATAAAGTGCTGGTGGCTGGTGTCTTTTGGTGTGTTAAATTTTTTTGTTTTTATAATTTTTTTACATGTCTAGTTTGCTGTGACGTCAAGTAGCTAACTTCACCCAATCAAATAGTGAAGTTGGCTACTTGACGTCACCGCCCCCTGTCGTATGTTTTGTCAATTGAGGAGTGATCAAACAAAACGCGATAAATCCATTTTTAACATTTTTTTATTGTTTTGAGTGGATTTATTGTGTTTGTTGATCGCTCCTCAACCAGTGTTGAGTACTTACTCTGTCTTAATTTCTGTATCGTTAATTTTGACAAACATTAACATAACAAAACGTTAAACAATCTGAAAGGAATTTTAATAGTGGTTAATAGAATTGGGGGTTTTTTGATTTTGATTTGTATTATTTACAACAACTACACATTAAATTTATATCCGCGTCGGCATATAAATTTATTGCTTACCCTTTTCAAATCGAAAAACCCTGATATCTTATTACTCTCATGACATCACATGCTATAAAGGAATATAGTTATTTTTATAAATACACTTTATTAATTATATTATACCTAATATATATAGAAAACTGCAACAGAGAAAATATGAGATGTTTTATACAGGAATTAAAAAAGGAATCGAATAGCGACGTTTTTTTTCTAAATGCGCGACGAAAACATTTAGATTCCATATTTACTATGTATAGTCTATTCCATGAGGAAAAAACGTTCTTGGATGATGGCGTAAGGCATTGCAATATAGAGCACCTCAAATTTTTAATGATAAAGCACTTTTAAAGATTTTTAACTCATAAAATAGATACGCATGAGTAAATATACCTATGTATAAATAAAAACAGCACAACACAAGTAGCCAGTGATTTTAATAGTTGTATCTACTTGATGTTTCATCCTGAAATAGAAAACATGGAATAGAATCAATAAAATAATTATTTTGTAATGGTTGCTAATTAGTTTAATTGTTTCGACCTTTACTTGATGAAACTCCATGTCACTTATGCATAACTAGATAAAAAAACAAACACTGTTTTTTGAGTTTCACCAATTTATTATAATTTAATTTGACAATTGTTTCTTTAACATAGTAGCTTCTTTAGAAACAATTCTCAAATTAAGTTATAATAAATTCGTTAACCTACTCTGCGCGCCAAAATTAACGCATAATAAATAAAAAAAATTCAACTCAAAAACGCCTTTATCAATCTTTATGAAATTTTGTATAAAAATACTTCAACTTATATCCCAGTTTACGTGTTCGAGGGTTTTTCGAGAAAATATTGTTAAAACCTTCTTATTTAATAATAAAAAAACGTTCAAAACTAACTTTTAGGGAATTTCTTCTTTAAGTAAATCAAAAATATGCTGTTAAAGATGTAGGTATTTTTGTTAGTATACCCTGAAAATTTTGTACAAATCAAACGATCAGTAACGAAGATACAACGCTTCAATGTCGGTAAAAATGACCCCTTTTTGATTATTTCGCTGAAAAATGGTCATTTTTGACGACTTTGAAGCGCTGTTTTTTCGTTACTATTCGTTTGATTTGTACAACATTTCAGGGTATACTTACAAAAATACGGTCTTTCACAGCATATTTTTTATTTCCTTTAAAAAAAATTCCCCATAAAAGTTTATTTCGAGCGTTTTTTATTATTAAATAAAAGGGCTTTAAGGATATTTTCTCGAAAAACCCTTGAACACGCAAACTGAGATATATAGTTAAAGTATTTTTATCCAAAATTTTATAAAGATTGGTAAAGGCGTATTTTGGATTTTTCTTACTTGTAATACGTTAATTTTGACGCGTAGTGTATTTAATTAAACAGCATAAAAAATTATGAGCCTTTGCACCTTTTTTTAATGGGTCTTTTTTTTAAAATATCCTTTTATTGTGTTGTGATAAGTGGCAAAAATGTTATGAGTAAAACTTTATTAATTTTTTAAGAATAGCTAAAAAGGTCATGGACAGCAGAAAAAAGGTATTGGTATGACGCGATGTCTTTTGTTTTGTTAAAATTGTAAAATACAGTGTGACCCATTTGTTTTTTTTACCCTTGTTAAAATCTTTATTTATAGTGTAGATCTTGATAAACTGTATTTTTTAAGCAAAAAAAAACATATTTTTATAAAATACAAGGCGATCTATGTCAGTTTTTAAGAGTAAATTTTTAAGAATTCATATTAGCGATTTTTTTTAACAAAATCTAAACACGGCCACGGACTCACTACCCCTCAAAACGACCCTTAACTAAATTTTATTGAAAAATTTTAAGAAAAAAAATTCACAATAATAACTACAAAAATTTATTTTGTCAAGTTATCCATAAAAAAAACATTGAAATAAAATTAAACTAATAGTAACATGGTACTATTACTATAAGTTCAATTTTTTTCAATGTTTTTATCATGGATAACCTGACAAAATAAATTTTTGTAGTTATTTTTGTGCATTTTTTTTCTTAAAATTTTTCAATAAAATTTAGTATAGGGTCGTTTTGAGGGGTGGTGAATCCAGTGCCATGCTTAGATTTTGTTTAAAAAAATCGCTAATATGAATTCTTAAAAATTTACTCTTAAAAACTGACATAGTAAGCCTTGTATTTTGTACTAATATGGCGTCTTTTGCTCCAAAAATATAGTTTATCAAGATCTACACTTTAAAACAAATCCGTTTAAAATCGCACAATAAATAAAGATTTTACAGGGGTGAGTCGCAAACACTGTATAAATAAAAATTACAATGAGTTTTTTTATATTTTTACTACACTGTTAAAAATAATGGTAAATATACTAAATTGAAAAGTATGGTAAAATTACAAATCTTAGTTTTGAGAATGATCATTACTACTCGTATACTGAATCAGTATATTTACATAATGTAATAATTATTGTATTCTTGGTATTTTTTTGTAAATTTACAAAATCAACCTGTAAAAAGTAGAAAAAATACAATACTACCACAGTAATATTACTTATACAATTAGGGATAAAACTTCCTAATTGTTTACGCACGGCTAAAGCCGGTCCTGCTTAGCAATTTAACATTATATTGTTTTTGTTTATACGCGTAAAAAACGTTAATTTTAATATTGGCGAGAACGGGCAGAGAGTCGGTTTTAAAACGTCGGACGACAACCATTGCTATGTGCGAAACTAGTAAATTAGAATAAGTTATAAGTTTAGATTATTAAATTTATTTATTGTAAAGTAGAGATAGAAATTTTTAACAGTGTAATAGTGTATTCCTGAAATTTAAGCTATTTTAAAAGCTGGGTTGAAAAAAACCCGCGTTTTTGTATATAAAACTCAACCCACTGGGATTTTTTTGGTTGTATAGATTGTTTCTTAAATTATATATAATCGTAAAAAATAAGGTAGTGAAATTTTCACTACTTTCTTTTTTATACAGATTTCTCTGTGAAAATACTTGATTTTTTTTTTAAGTTAATTTAAGGTTAAAACAAAATACTGTTGATAAGAAAAAATGTAGTATTTATCCAGAGACATCTGTATAAAAAAAAAGGTAGTGAAAATCCGTAGGGAGAAAACAGATCGGCAGGGGAATCCCCAAACATTAGTTTTATCTAATTACTTAACAAGTTTGTGCTTTTAACTAAAGACTTGAGGTTTTTTAACATACATAAGAATGTGTTGTATAATGTTTTATTTTTTTTACAAAATACAAAAACATAAAATAGTTTAGGTTTAAGAAACATGAAAAAAAAGGGGTTTCTCCTTTTTTACCCCTTTTGCGCTATTTTTTTAATTTGATTAAATATAATTTAAAATATTATGCTTTTTAAATTATCCACTTAAAACTTGCCATTTAATTTATATATTGGTATTAATTTTAAGTCTGTATTATGACCATTTAAAAAAAAATGCAAACACAAACAATATATTTTTTAAATTTAATTGAATAAATTATATAGTATATTGTTTTTTTAAATTATTTAAAATTTGATATTTAATTTATATATTTATTGGAATAATTTTAAGTCCGTATTATGGCCATTTTCAAAAATATGCAAACCAATACAAATTTTTTAAAATTTGACAAATACATTTAAAATATTATGGTTTTTCAATTATCCACTTCAAACTTTTAATTTACATATTGGCATAATTTTTAAGTCTGTATTTGACCATTTTCAAAAATTATGCAAACAAACAATTTTTTTTTTAAATTTGATTAAATAAATTTTAAAATATTATGGTTTTTTTAATTTTTCACTATTTAATTTATTGGCATAATAATAATAAAAGTCTTTAATATGCCCATTTTAAAAAAATATGCCAACACAAAAAATATATATTATACAATTTGTTTTTAATTTGATTGAATAAAATTTAAAATATTATGCTTTTTTAAATTATCCACTATTTAATTTATTGGCATAATAATAATAAAAGTCTGTATTATGACCATTATCAAAAAATATGCAAACACAAACTATTTTTTTTTTAATTTGATTAAATAAATTTTAAAATATTATGTTTTTTTTATATTATCCACTATTTAATTTATTTGTTGGCATAATTTTTAAGTCTGTATTAAGACTATTTTTTAAAAATATGCAAACTCAAACAATACAATTTTTTAAAATTTGATTAAATAAATTTTAAAATATTATGCTTTTTTAAATTATCCACTTAAAATTTGCCGTTTAATTTATATATTGGCATAATTTTTAAGTCTGTATTATGACTAGGGATGTGATTTTAGTTATTTTACCTTTTTCAACCGATGTAACTATTTGAAAACCGATAATGCCAAAATGTGTTTTAAAAGATTTTCTTTTATATGAACCTAACTTGTTTTCACCTTTTTTACCTTTTTTGGAGGTTTTTGCTTTAAACTACCTTTTTTATACTTTTCTTACCAATTTTTTTAACTAGTTTTCACCTTTTTTACCTTTTTTGGAGGTTTTTGCTTTAAACTACCTTTTTATACTTTTGTTACATATTTTTTAATTTGTCAGTTTATTTTCACATATTTTTTATCTATTTTTACGTATTTTTACTTATCTAATTTTTTTGTGTTCTTTTTAAATTTTCCGCCAATATTTTATCCAGGGCGTGCAACTCAACGGTATAGAATTTTTTCTTATGGTCACAGCATAGAAATTATTCTATTATTCTAAATTATTTCTATGGGTCAGAGACTGTAACAGTAACTTTCTTTACAGTATTTCTTTGTATTGAGCTCATAGAATTTCTGTGTAGTGAGTGTCACTCAGTGAAACACAGTTTATTGCATAGAAATAGTTTATTGTGGGTATGTTCTGTGTTTGGGTATGCGGCTAAACAAAATTGTAAAAGAAACTTAAACTTTTAATGTTTTTTAACTAAAATGCTGTTTTTTTAACCTAAAATACTTTTTTAGTACCTTTTTAGTTACCTATTTTTCAGTTTTTAGTACCTAAATATCCCATCCCTAATTATGACCATTTAAAAAAAATATGGTGTTACAGAAAGTCCTAAAATGACCTCTTAAAACAGCACCGTAAACTATGAAAGAAAGAAAAAAAAGAAGTAGCGATATTTACCTGTAAAATATTAAATAATATATATTGCTATATATCTGTGTAGGCGCGATCGCAACTACTGGCAGCACTGCTTGCGCACCCCGTCCGAATTGACGGTCGGCTTGACGTCGATCGGCTCGACGTTCTGCGGCCTGATCACGTCGCCTTCGGGCGGATCCCTGATCTGCTTCTGCGACACGATCCTGTAGATAGAGATGTAAAAAAACGGGTTTTTTTCAGAAGTGAAAAAAAACATGAAAAAAAAAACGGTTTTTTTTGTTTTTTTTTCAAAATGAAATTTTGAGTAAAATGTAGAATATATTACATTTTTCATTATTGAAAATTTTGACCGAGACTAAAAAATCTGATTTCTTATTATTTGGTAGTTTCAACATTAAAAACCAATAGTAATGTAAAACTTTTACACTAATACAAAAAATTAAAGGATAATTTTTTTTTGCGATTTTTAGGATAGCTGTATATTTGTTAAAAATTGTCGTATTGGAGCCGTAAAAAAAGCAATTTGAAGCTTGAAGTTTATAGTTTTGAGATTTTTAGATGAAAAACGTGCAACGCTCAATTCTAACGAATACCGTAATAAAAAAAATCGAATTTTTTTTTATTTCTTTTTTGTTCTGACCACCAATGAAGAAATGTTCTACATAGAGATAGAGATGTAAAAAAAACGGTTTTTTTTCAGAAGTGAAAAAAAACATGAAAAAAAAACGTAGAAAAAAAACGGTTTTTTTTTGTTTTTTTTTCAAAATGAAATTTTGAGTAAAATGTAGAATATATTACATTTTTCATTATTGAAAATTTTGACCAAGACTAAAAAATCTGATTTCTTATTATTTGGTAGTTTCAACATTAAAAACCAATAGTAATGTAAAACTTTTACACTAATACAAAAAATTAAAGGATAATTTTTTTTTGCGATTTTTAGGATAGCTGTATATTTGTTAAAAATTGTCGTATTGGAGCCGTAAAAAAAGCAATTTGAAGCTTGAAGTTTATAGTTTTGAGATTTTTAGATGAAAAACGTGCAACGCTCAATTCTAACGAATACCGTAATAAAAAAAAATCGATTTTTTTTTTATTTCTTTTTTGTTCTGACCACCAATGAAGAAATGTTCTACAAGAATTTGCTATTGTTTTTTTAAAAAAAAATTCCATACTCTACATAAATTTGAAAAATCATGAAAAAAGTGCTTTTGGTAGCTTTTTGAAAAATCAAGCGCTGAATCAAAAATATTATATTTAGTTAATTTTTTTTAGGACCAAATCAAAACAAGCGCGGACCTTATAAGGTTTTTTTTCAAATGGTTTTTTTTCACATTTTAGTTTTTTTTTCAAGATTAGTCCCATTGCCTAATTTTTTATGTTTCCATGGACTAAAATTAGTGCATAACACAAGACTGTATTTACATTTAATAATTGTCATTTAGTGGCTTATTTTAGTCCATGGAAACATAAAAAATTAGGCAAATGGGACTAATCTTGAAAAAAAACCTAAAATGTGAAAAAAAAACCATTTGAAAAAAAACAATGAAAAAAAACCTGAAAAAAAAACAAAAAAAACGGACCGTTTTTTTTCAAGTCGCATCTCTATAGTAAATTTAAAAGTAAACTACGTACACGTCATCAATAAAACAAAAATTTTAAGCATTGGTACCAACACTAAATGACTAAATCGAAGTCTGTAATTGAATATTTGAATGCATTTTAACCAAATTAAGTTGGCAACAATTGTGATGTTGTCATGTTTACATTCAAATTTTTCATATTTAAATGACACATAAAAAAGAATTTGACGTTTTAGAATTTCGAAGCTGTCAGTTGTGTTTTTGAATATTTCGTTTAATTCGTGTATTATTTCGTTTATTTTGTTTGTTGTTTGTGTTATTTTATATTGTTTAAGTTTTCATTGCCGTTTTTGTGTTTGTTATATATCGTTTTTTTGTGTTTCCTATATTTAAAATGCCGAAGCATTTAAATAGTCGGAGTCAAGAGTTGGTGTCATCCTTAATACGCTATTTTGAGGCAGAACGGGATAATAATGGACCTTTGTAAATAGGATTATTATTAATTATATATTAGAATATTTAACAAAATATATGTTGGATACATGAAATAATAATATATATACCAGAGACTGACTTTAGATGGCAAAATTTTTGGGTTTTATATAAGAAAATGTCTTTAAAAATGGCTAAAAACATACTTTTGGCGGTGCATCATATAGGTTATAAAAACTCAGACTTTTGACATTTTGGTATTATTCATGTAAACGCCATCTATCGCCCTGTAGTTGCACTACCACTTTCCCTTGATGCAAGGATTTTAGCATCACATTGACAACCGTGCCCGATCAGCTGATTGATGACGTGTACGTAGTTTACTTTTAAATTTACTATACCTGTAGATCTCGGTGAGGATGTTCTGGAAGGCGGTGTCGACGTTCGTAGAGTCCAGCGCCGAGGTCTCGATGAACGAGAGGCCGTTGCGCTCGGCGAACGCCTTCGCCTCCTCGGTGAGGACGGCGCGCAGGTGCCGCAGGTCAGACTTGTTGCCCACCAGCATGATGACGATGTTCTGGTCGGCGTGGTCGCGCAGCTCCCGCAGCCAGCGCTCCACGTTCTCGTAGGTGAGGTGCTTGGCGATGTCGTAGACGAGCAGGGCGCCGACCGCGCCGCGGTAGTAGGCGGCCGTGATGGCGCGGTACCGCTCCTGCCCCGCCGTGTCCCATATCTGCGCCTTTATCGTTTTGCCATCGACCTGACGAGCAAACATGGAATCGTTACTTTTCCTGCCTTATTTATTTATCAAAATTAAATGAGGAGCATCCGTGCAAAACCGGCTAAATCCATTTTATTGAGTTTTTGTTTTTTTTTTGATTTCGCATCTTTGGGTTCATTTCTATCGACAACCAAGATAATTCTGTTTAAATCCGACTAAATCCATGTTAAAATCACAATTAAAAGGTAGCATTAGGAGTAAAACCGGCCAAATACTACTACTAAAATTTGTTCTGTTTTTTCATGTTTGCACTATATTTATTTTTTGAATAATAAAGGTTTTTCTTACATTTTATTCGGTTTTCGAGCAAAACCGGCTATATCCAAAACATTTTTTGGCCTTAATATAAAGTTTTTGAAAACGAAAGTATGTCTTATAAATTAAGTACCACAAAGCCCACAAAAGTCAAGTTTACTTTTTCTTTTATCTGTAAAGGCCAGGAAACCGAGAGTTTTTGCCATTTTACCAACATTTTATTAAAGTGGATATAGCCGGTTTTGCACGGATGCTCCTCAAATACTGTAGGTAAAAATTAATTAAACTGTAGGTAAAAATTAATTAAACTTATATAAAAGCCATGACTGTACTATGCTCCACACCTCAAAGTGCCACCACGTGACCACGTACGGAACACAGTCTTTTGAAAATTTGGCATTTAAGGCTTTTAGGTTATGTATCTGTCAAAGTATAGTCAACGAAAGAAATACTATAGTTAGAAAATCATCAACTCTTACTTTTTGTGTTTACTAATCATTCATTTTATTCTATTGATGAGTTTTTAATTTACTTTTCAATTTTGTCCTTATTTTATTGTATTCTTTGTTTAATTTGTATTTACAATTTTTGTAATATTTTTATATTTGTATTTTTCTGACGTTGTAAACCCTTTAGTAATAGCACTAATAAATAGTATTATTATTATTAAATTTCATTTAGTTAGGAAAGCTTCTTAAACCCTACAATTTGAGTCATAATTATGGCATATCCAAAATTTCTGTCCTATCATGTTCAAAACAGTTTTTAAATAATAATTAAAGTAATATGATCGCAAATCGTGGCCTTTTAAATACACATTGACAAGTTGTGGCTTTACGGCGTTTTAGTCACGGGCTGAAGTTACCGAAAGGTTTTTAGTCGTGTCTAAAATGGCGTTTATAAAACTTGATACATAATATATTATTAAAAAACGCTGTGGCTCCCGTCCCGAGGCGGGACTTAAGTTCAGTCCCGAGTGACGTCATAATTTTAAGATTTGTAATGATACGATAAAACTAAAACAAACCAACCAACCCAACCCAACACTTTTTAACAAAGGAACAACAAATTTATAAAATAAAAAAATTTTGGTTTTAAAAGTGGGCGATTTGGCTAGGAATGCCCCATATACAGGGTGTTTGAAAGGTTGTCAAGAAATTTACCAGGTGGTATTTAGGCAATATTTAAAAAATTATATACCAGGTTAGTTTTTGTTACAAGGGAATATTTTAATTTATTTGTCAAGTGTCCAAAATCCATTTAGAAAAAAAGTGACTAAGTGTTTGGAAGTTTCGGAGAATTTCTCAGACATGACAGACAATAAATTAGTTGAAATTTAATTGTCAATATTTTTTAGTATCTTATTATTTAGTAAATCTTGACAATAAGTTTTTGATTTTTAATTATATTTTTTAAAGTTGGAAAATTGATTTTATTTCTCATTTTTAGTTAAAAAATATTAAATTTTATTTTTAAGTAATATCTCAAAAATTAAAAAAATACAATCATACAAGTTTTAATGTAATGTTTTATTTCAAAATATTGACATGCTTTGGAACGTTTTAGAAACTTTTGCATAATTTAAAACAAAAAATTGTTGACAAGTGTATCCAAAGATAATACGGTGTATTATCTTTGAGTGTATCTTCCAAACACTGTAAAATTGCATTACAAAATCCGAGGCAAAATCAATTAAATACTGACGTTGATGAATTGTTTGTTTTCTTGGAAGAATTATTTTCCTTTTCCAAGTTATTTTGTGTTTTTCTTTTATTTCCTTAAATGCCAAATTATAAACATATCGCCTATTGACCACCCTCTCTCATAGACTCTGTATGTTAGTCACTCATTTGAACACAATAAATACATTAATAATTATACCTATATTAGTAATGACACCAGTGATGATTAAATAATTACAATACAAACAATAATTGACTTAATAAGCATAGAAAATCAGAAAAAAACAATTGGCTGACAAAAGTTATTATAGAATTAAATATATATTTCAATTTAGCAATAAAGCTTAGTTTGTTAATTTAACCGTGATAAAGTATCACACATGACCACAACTAATCAAAGTTGCATAAATATTTGTAGCAGTTAAAATTTAAGTTTATAAGAAACTAAAATAAATATTTGTGGTAACATAGGTAATACAAACAGTTTTTCATTATTTAAAATTAACATTTTCCTTATTTTACAACTCAAAAACCAAAATAAATTCTTATTGGTCCATTCTATGAATTGACAGACAAAACAACCAATAGGAAGCTCTCACAGCACACTTCAATTATTGTACCCTCATATTCCAAGTGAACAATCATGTTAATTGAATTTGAAATTCCATGCAACTGTAATTAAAATACGTGGGCATTTTTTGGTGACGTTTTTTAGGTCAATTATTATCGATTTCTGCCGGCGAGTTTACGTTGTTTATTCACATTATTACTTCCCCTATGTAAAAAAGAATTTTTGCTATGAAAATAACATTGCATGGATAACGATCTGTCATATTAAAATTAATAAAACCACTTTAAAAAGTTAAGATATTTGGCAGATCTGACTTTTCTGCAGTCAAGGAAAACAAGATTTACAGGTAACCAATACAAATGCCGGAAATTTAACTATGCTTAATTTGTAGCCATTTTATTGGTTGATTTTAAATTAAGATGGCTTTGACTTTGACAATTCATGAGAGAAATGTCAAATCTGTCAAAATGTATTTTACTTTTGATGTTGGCAGATATCACAAGCATTCTATAAATTGATTACTAATTCTTATTTGTTATTTTAAATGGTTACATCATTTATATTTGATAAGGATGGTCAAATTTTGGAGATAACAAAAATAAAACTAATAAATATAAAAATAGGCTAATATTCTAGTTAAAAAAAAACCTTGTTCTAGGTCAATATCATGTCATATCACCAATATAAAATTAGCATAAAATCTATGCAATTATTTTTTTTTCAATTATAACAAAAAAAGTATTACCTGTATACTACGTGTAGCAAATTCAACTCCTATAGTAGATTTAGATTCCAAATTAAATTCGTTCCTAGTAAATCTCGATAACAAGTTACTTTTTCCTACTCCAGAATCTCCAATAAGAACAACTACAAAACATAACAATAATTATATTTATACTCGTAAAATTGCTAAAATAAGGTTTCATTGTGTGCACTTAATTGATGAATAATTGAGCACTGAATAATGGCATTTAAAAAGTATAACAAGAATTCTTGACCTCTGACATTGCTGACTTGTCATTAAACGTCAAAGTGGCAATAAATTCAGTTTTAAGCGACGAAAGGGCAGCAAATCGGGGCCTCACCTTTAAATAAATAGTCGTATTCATCATCTTTTGTACCCATCTTTTTATCTTTCAGCTGATCGGACCCTTCCAAAATATTAAACCAACACAAAGAAAAACTTTTAGTGCATATCACAATAAAATACCGTTTCTGACACTCAACTGTTTATATCACAGACACATTTCTTTCGCAGATTTTTGAATAAATGCGGCGATGCTTTGTATAAATTGGGATTATTTTTATTTTAAAGCAACAAAATGGCGACTTATTTTATTGTTGTTGAACGAACGCCCCTAAATGACAAGTGCGTTGACACGCATGCGCGACACGTCAGAGGTGCCAACAAAACAGACGCAGATAAAGCAACGCATACACTACCTTTAAAGAGATCATACACGTATTAGGATTCTTTCGTTCCAAATTTACTGGTTTGGTTGGTAAATACGGAACCAAAATTGGTTGCATTGATTAAAACAAACTAAACTAGTTATAAATGTAATTATAATTAAATTATTGTAGGTTACATTGAACGGTTGTCAAACCAAATGGATGCTATTTTCAAAGACAGGAAAATTAACTACTAGATTTTTCACAGAAAGGTTGACCTAACAAATAATTTATATTTTTTGTTTTTTAATTTCCCCCTTCTTTTTTTAAATTTTAAATTTTTTTGATCTGCTTAGCTGAAAATAATGTGTGATTTAATATTTGTAAAACCAAAAACGTTACTTTTTTACTCCAAAAATGTCCATAAGGCAATGTACTTTTTCTGCCATTGAGGCATTTGGCATAACTTCATCAAAATGAAGTGTTGAAGTTATTTTACTCTACAATCAATAACAAATATTACTGTCAATTAGACTGTGTCAGTATTTAAATACTAAAAATACTAAATCAAACTTGCATAAGCTACCAACTTAATAAAAAAACACAAGTCCAGATAAAAAAAAATTAACTCTATAATTTGAAAACAAAAGCTCAAACAAAAATATTTAAAAAAGTGATGAAATCTACGAATTATCAATCTTTTATTGTTTATACATAAACTTCTTCATCTTGCTTGGTTTATAGATTTGATAAAAAAAATAAGAAAAAAATAGAAGATATGAAACTCACAGTTGCAAAAAACTTTAATTTTTTAAAACCTGGCCATAAATAACGCATTAAAAACAAAAAGAAGTCAATAATTTAAAAACAAAAGTTTAAATAAAAAATTGAATTGAATTAAAAAAACTATTTATGACTTACCTCTTGAGTAATAAATACAAATTTTGTTAATAAAATATTTGTATTTATTCAAGTTTTAAATTCCTAAAAATTCTTTAATCAGTTTTTGTGTGGGTAGGCATAAATAAAAAGCGAGGTTGTTTCAAAAATATATAATTATTTACACACATATAAACACTTCCAAACTAAGTAGGCACATAATTTCTAAATAAAATATACAAGATGCCTACAAATTTAAAAATTCTTTCGCGAAAATTAAGGAACAATGTCATTATATAAACAACATTAATGAATAATATTTAGATGATAAAAAATTCGATAGACTAGAAAAATTATAATCTAAATTAATCCTCACTTAAGCTAAATAGTGTTACTAATCAGATTACAATAGAAAATATAATAAATATCTTAACAGTAAGCATTAAATTATGAGCAAAATTTAATAGAACTATTTTTATCTAATCGTAACACAGCATTTTCAGAATAAGTTAATTTAATCTAGACATACAAAAAGTTTGTTAATTTTTGATTTATTCATTGTTAAATAATTTTAAAAGGCAGTGTTTTCCAATCCTAATTTTTTAGATACTTAAATTACATTAAAAAAATTACATTTTATAGGGTACTTACAAAACACACTCCTAAACCAAAAAAAGTTATCAGAATTCTCTGAATATAAAAGAAATTTCTTTTAATTTTGAATGATGCCTCCCTACTAATATTTACAATATCGGTGTAAATAGTATTAATACGGATTACATGTTTTTGTTGTTAACATAGCTTATGTACATTAAATGTCTAAAACTTTACATAATATACACAAAAATAGCAATAATAATTTATTATTGTTCAATACTTTGATATTCACATAAATTTTGTCGATTTGTGGCATCACTCACAAACAGACAGTTCAAAGGCACTTTTATCACATTTAAAATGAAAATTTTAACAGATTATTGTGCACCAAATTGGAAATTTATAAATTGGTACCATCAAATGAATAACTTTATTTTATTTTTATCCAAGTGCCGCTTCGGAAAAAAAACTAATTTTGACTTTATTTATGTGGATATTTAGTATATATCACATTAAAAATGTACGATTAAAATTAGCACCATCAATTATCTTTTTTTGATTTTTTTTTTCGTCAGACCAGGCGTCAAATTTTGATGTATCGTTTTTTCAGTTTTGTTGTTTTTAACGTTAAAAATTGATATAAACAAAATTATACCTCAATGAATTCTCTAAAAAAAAGTTATTTACATATTTTTAGATAAATATTAAACTTAATAATTTAAGTTTAAAAAATTTAAAGTTCATGGATGTAGATGAAGTATATTTTTTCTTTTTTAAACATTTTTAAATGTAAATCATGAATAAAATGTAAAAAATAAAATATAAATAAAATCCAAAAAACTAATTTAGTATTTTGCACTGGTCTGGCCTGGTCCATGTACAGTAGGGTGTAGCACTTTTACTAATGTATTTTTTAACGCTAAAGTGAAATTATGTATTTTACAAAAAAACATAATTTTTTTCAGATTCTTAAAAAAATAATTAGAGGTTGCTAAATCATTTTTTTAAGGCTCTATACACACTTTAAGCCTGTTATTTTTAAGACAAGGATTTACAAAAATCCAAAAATCATTCTAATATTTTATAAATACATAATTAGACTAAAAAAAATTAGACCAAATATACAAAATTAAGTCTAAAGTGATAAGCATTTTTTAGTAGGTTATTTTAACAATTAAGAATAAAAGTGACCTAAAAATTAAAAAAACAATAATGATACTACACAATTTTGTGTAACACAAAAAAATGCAGGTTAGTAAAAAAATCCAACTCTAAAAAGCCTTACTTATTTCTCAGTTTACGTGTTCAAGGGTTTTTCGAGAAAATATCCTTAAAGCCCTGTTATTTAATGATAAAAAACGCTCGAAAAAAAAGTAAATAAAAAATATGCTGTGAAAGACCGTATTTTTGTTAGTATACCCTGAAAATGTTGTACAAATCAAACGAACAATAACTAAAATACAAAATATTTACATAAAAAAATTCCCTAAAAGTTAGTTTTCGAACTTTTTTTTTTATTAAGAAAAGGGCTTTAAAAATATTTTCTCGAAAACCCCTCGAACACGTAAACTGAGATATAAGTTGAAGTATTTTTATACAAAATTTCATAAAGATCGGTAAAAGCGTTTTAGAGTTAATTTTTTTTACTTATGCGTTAACAATTTTCTAATGAAGTTTCAAAAATAAAAAGTTAAAAAAATGTATTTATTTTATTTTTTCAGCTCCACACATCAAAGTCACGTGGTGGGACCTTGATGTGTGGAGCTTAGTACTCAAAAAATAATTGTCAAAAAAAAATTGTAATTTTTTTATACTTAAAGTTACCCCCTGTTTTTATAATGTTTTTGTTACTTTTAAGGTATTTTTTATTAATAAAAATTAACCACATAAAAAATTTAAACAAAAATTGTCTATTTTTGCCATTTTTTACCACATTTTGTCTAAAACAATCTTTAACATTATTTTTTGGTGCAAGTGGGGTAAAATAGTCAAATAATGTTATGAAAGATTAAAATGATTTTTAAATCTATGAAAATACCTGTTTTAAAAATATCAGGCTTAAATCATAAAAAATGATTTAGAAACCTCTAAATATTTAAAAAAAAAACTGAAAAAATTCCTAGCGACTTAAAAAAATACCACATGAGTAAAAGTGGGACACCCTAATATACAGGGTGCACCAAGTATCTTTCTATGGGTATTTTTTTTTCAACATATTCTTTTCCAATTTTAAATGGCATTTTAATTTTTTTGTCTTGTAGATCTTTAAATAAAAAATACCCACACAAAAAATACTTGGTATGTTTTGAAACACACTGATTACTAAAATTGTACTATATGATCATTTTACTTATTTTCACTTAGCTTACTATTTTGAGCAGAAAAAGGCATTTATTTCTATACTTGTAAACATATAAGGCAGCTTTAGACTTTGGTTACATTTGATTATTTTTAGGCACTATTCTTTTACGAGAAAAAAAAATTAGATAAGTTAAGAATAGTGCGTTTATTTTATTTATTTGTGTATGTATAAATAAGGAGTAAATATGACGTATTATTTAGTTCAATATGTAATATAAGGCACATTATTTTTGTTTTTCAATAAAGGGGTTTCACTATTTCAATAAACATGGCAATTTACAGACTTGTTGGCACATACCATGTTATGTCTATTTTTTTCAGTCTATATAAAGTGTGATTTTCTCGGTAGGCGTGATAACCTCAAAATTTGACGTATACGTCCGATTTTTGGGGTTATCACGACTACTGCGACAATCACAATTTAATATGTTGTTCGTTTATAGAATTACCCCTTATCCATTGAGTCTGGAGCTTTAACAAAGCTTTTCGATATATAAATATTGTGTAGATTTTCAATGTTTCATTTTTCCAAATTTTCTTTATTTTTGGAAATTTGTAAAACAGTTTCACTAAAAATGCATTTTTACTATTTTCACGATAAAATTGCTTTTGTAGCAAAAAAATGCATTTTTATGAAAAGATATCGACCATTTTACAAATTCACAAAATTACAGGGAATTTGTGAGATAAATTGTATATAAAATTAGAGTGGTTAAATATCCAATTTTTTCCAGTTTTATTTGCATATACATGGTAGCAAAAATATTAATCTTTGAGCTGAAAAAAATTATTGGCTGTCACAGATTAATTTGTTGGAAATTTTAATTTTTTTTACAAAAAGGGTGAATTATGACGTAAATATAGTAATTTCAGAGAAAATCGCAATTTTACCGCAAAAAACTAACTAAAATTATGTTGGTAAATTTATTTTTTTACAATAAGGGTCCTTATCAGAATATATCAAAATATATGAAAACACAAATTTTCATTAGTAAAATAAGTAAATTTTACGTAAAATGTTTCAATGAATTTTTATTGATTTTTTGGAAAATAACGATAATTAGTAAGAATTCAAATAATAATAATAATTAAACAAAAAAACAAATTAAATAATTTTTCGAAATTTCGCACCGTTTTTAATATTTTTAGTACCATACAATTTAACAACCTTTAAAAAAAATTGATAGCTCAAGATGTAAAATATATTCTCTTCAAGATGAAAATATTCCAGAAATATTTGCAAAAAACGTGTTTATTGTTTGGTTATTATCCACAGATTTTAGTTTTCCAAAAATCAACAAAAACATATTTGACGTGGTTTGACTCATCTCCGAGATAAAGTTGTAAAAAAAAACATGTTTTCTAGAAAAAAACATAAACACGTTTTTAGTTTTAAACCGTTTAAAACGTTTAGTAACAAAAACATGTTTTAAACCAGTTTAAATTAGTAATGCTTTATACTTTATATTTAAATTTTACTAAAATTAAAATTATTTTAGACTATAAAACAAATGTTTAAACCAGTTTGTTTGTAAATTTTTAAGGTACTAAAAATATTAAAAACGGTGCGGAATTTCGAAAAATGATTTAATTTGTTTTTTGGTTTAAATTAAACCAAAAAAAAAAATTAAATCATTTTTCGAAATTATTATTTACAGATTTTTAGAATTACTTTCCAAAAACTCAATAAAAATTCACTGAAACATTTTACGTCGTTCATTACGTATTTTATTAGTAAATTTTTTTATATATATTTTGATAATATTATGTTCAGATAAGGACCTTTTTGTAAAAAATTAACAAAATTTATGAAATTAAATTTTTACTCACAAAATAGGTAAATTTCAGTAAAAAAAAAGACAATTTTGCGATAAAATCGCGATTTTCTCTGGAATTAGAATATTTACGTCATAATAAATGTTTTAACAAATTTTGTTACTTTTAATTTTAAGTTTCCTTTCCAAAAAATCAATATAAATTCATTGAAACATTTTACGCTGTTTGAATTGGTTATAAAATGTATTTATTATAATAGTAACATTTTTTTATTATATATTTTGACTTTTTTTGTAAAAAAATAATTTACCAACTAAATTTATGAAAACAAATTTTTACTCATAAAATATGTAAATTTTAGTAAAAAAATACAATTGTGTGGTAAAATAGCGATTTTTCTCTGAAATTACAATATTTACTTCATAAATTCAACCTTTTCTGGAATATTGGAATATTTTCGTTTTTAAGAGAATACATTTTAAGTTTCAAAAAAACCTATATTGAGCTATCAATTTTTCTTTTAAATGTTTTTATATATATTTTTATGTATTCTGGTAAATTTTAGTAAAAAAAGACAATTGTGCGGTAGAATCGCGATTTTCTGAAATTACAATATTTACGTCATAACTCACTTTTTTGTAAAAAGGTACCAAAAAAAAAAATAAAAACGGTGCGGAATTTCGAAAAATGATTTAATTTGTTTTTTGGTTTAATTATCATTTACATATTTTTACAATTATATAACTTTCCAAAAATCAATAAAATTTACTTATTTTATTAGTAAAAATTTGTTTTTTATATATTTTGATGTATTTTTTGTAAAAAATTAAATTTACCAACATAATCTATTAAAATAAATTTTTACTTATAAAATAGGTAAATTTTTGTAAAAATAAGATAATTTTTAACCTTTTTTGTGGAAAATAAAATTTCCAACATATTATTTTGTTACTGCAAATAATTTTTTCTACTACCTTACTAGAAAACTTAATTTTCCACCCCCGAGCGAGGGAGGAAAATGCCTCTTTTCCTCCCCGGGAGGAAAAAAAAATTCCTCCCTCTTTTTTTTTAAATTTATATTGGCAAGAGTTTTTGTACCTTGTCTAGCTTTATTTGATTTTGTAGGAAAAAGATTTACTCCGCGCTTGTCCAACCATTCTTTTAACATTCTTTTAACAAACTATATTCATATTCATTATTTTAGATTTTTAAGGAAGGAAATTAATTACAACTATTAAATTTATGATAAACATTATGACAGCTTATAAAAAGTGTTATGTTGGTATTACCAAAAATACCATAGCAACAAAGCGTTGTCAACATAACGTCGGCGACGCAAAACCTACTTAATATTTTGTCATAATTTTATAGCCCCATACCGGGTAAGTAAAAGGAACCGGAACGCTTAAAATGTCTTAAAACCGTTAAAAGGTAATAGAAAAAACTATATACATACCTCAGGAGAAAAATGCATTTCCTCCCTTGAATATTTAATGCCCTTCGCTTCGTGTCGGGCATCAAACTATTCGCGGGAGGAAATGCAATATTTTCCTCCCATGGTATGTAAATAGCTATTTTCACCTCAAAGATTAATATTTTTGCTACCGCGTATAAGCAAATAAAACCGCAAAAAATCGGATATTCGACCCACTCCAACGAATACGTACATACCCACATAAATTCCAGCATAATCTGCGCAGCTAAACGTAGACCGGCCCCCCCTGATTATCGTTGTCGTCGAGGTTGATCTTGCTGTTGAAGGTGGGCGCGCCGCCGTCGTCGAAGAACCGCCGGAACGTGAACTCGAAGAACCCGTGGAACAGCTTCGAGTCGTCGAACATGTCGTCCGGGTCGGACGGGTCGACCGAGGCGCCGTTGCGCAGCTTGTCCGGGTCGATCGGGTCGAAGTTGGAGGTGTCGGTGGGGTACTCGATGCGCGGCTTGTGCGGCGCCGGCTGCTTGCGCAGGCCCTTGTCGAAGTCGATGTCCGAGAAGAACGGGTGCGACTTCACCTCGCTGGCGTTCTTGCCCAGGCGCTTGTCCGAGCTGCAGCACAGCTTCAGGATCAGGTCGGTGCTCTCCTTAGACAGGTTCGCCTGCTTCGGGATCTGCAGGGTCGTCTCCCAGTTTATCACCTGAAAGTTTCGGGTTTTAGCGGCCTTCTCGCGCGGTAATGAACAGTAATTCAATTACTTACAAGTAATTGTAATTATTTATTTTTAATTCAATCACCCAATAATTTTGTAATAATATAAAAACGTTGAAATGAATAATTCTTAAAAGGTCTAAAATCTAGAAGAGTATTTTTGCGTTAAAAATATTTTAGGAGTGGGTATGATACATTTATGGGTTATATGTATATACAGGGTGTTATGTAATTAATGTTATATATTAAAATGGGTTGTTCCTTAGGGTCCATAAAGAAGCACCTGAAACTTTTTTTTTCTAAATTCCAAAGTCTAAAAATAATTTATAATAACCTTTATCCTACCAAATAGTTCGCCACTGATCGACTAGGAACTTTAGGTAAATCTGGTGGATTTATTATGTTATGGTTGGTAACAGTGTTTCCAAAATCTCTCAAAAAAGTTGACAAACATTGTTTAAATATAGCTTAATTACAAAAATGACAAAATTAATTGTCAATTTGGCGTTTTTATTAATTGTTGGTTGTTTCATTTTTGTACTGAAGGTAAATTCAAACAAAATCTGCCAACTTTTATGACAGGATCTAGTGCATTTCTTTTAAATTTTAGGTTATGTTTTCAAATTGTAAATATCTTAACTAAGGGAAGTGCTTTTGGATTTATTTACACAAATTAAATGTTTAAAGTTTAACCTGTGAACTGGTCCCAATTTCATCTGAGTAAACAGAGAAAAAAACTGATGAAAAAATTAATTTTGTGGTTATAGATTTCAAATTTCAAAGATACTAAATTTTCTAATCATTGCTTAAGCTAATAGCTGGATCAGTAAATAAATACAGAAGGGTATTAGAGCTTTAAGGGCATAAAACTTTTGTATTTATTGAGTTTTTATTTATTTTTTGCAAGAAAAATTTTTAGTAACAATTTTTTACATCTGGCAACGCATAGCCACTTTGTTGGTTGGTATCTATGTACTCACAAAATACAGGTGTGCAGAGATAAACAAGTGTGTAACCAGTGGCGTATCACAAAAAATATGAAAAACTTCTAATGCATATTTTTTCTTTATCTTTGGAAAAATGTTTTTTTAAATATTTTTCCTTTATTCCTTATGTCAAAAGGTATTCAGTATTTTAATATATAACATTAATTACATAACACCCTGTATAGACTTTACGTCGGCTTAAAAGCGAAAATAAATTTTATCCTTTTCCTTTGTTGGTTCACAACATGTTATAATTTTAACAATTCTTAGGTAATTCAAATTATTTATTTTTTATTTAATTACCCAATAATTTTGCTTGTCCAAAACAATTTTCTAATAATATAAAAAAAAAGTTGAAATGAATAATTCTTAAAAGGTCTAAAATCTAAAAGAGTATTTTTGCACGGACGTTATAAATATTTTACGAGTGGGTATGGTACATTTATGGGTTTATTGAGTTATGTACGAGGTGTGTTCAGAAAATAACAGGAATTGTTAAATTTCGCGAGTTCGGAGGGTCCGGTTGTCATAAAATTTTCTATATTATGTTGGTATACATGCCCCCAAAGTATGATAAAAAGCTGTTTTCATTGTTTACTTTGTCTGTGGCAGCCGCTAAGGTTAGACAGGTTTTATGAGCTCGGCGATTTTCGTTCGTTAAATGAAATGGATCAAAGAATTTGTATCCAATTTTGCTTAAAAAATTAAATAAATTCTGTGAAATGTTAACAAAGGCCTATAGTGAGTCTGCTATAAGTAAAACAAGAGTTTACAAGTGGTATAAGAGTTTCCAAGATGGCCGTGCTTACCTTGTACTGCGTCTCGGCGGGCGTGTTGGCCAGGAAGGGCGGCTGCCCCACCAGCATCTCGTAGAGGATGACGCCGACGCTCCACCAGTCGCACACGTGCGTGTAGCCGGTGCGCTGCAGCACCTCGGGCGCGATGTAGTTGGGCGTGCCGACCAGCGAGTGCGCCAGGCAGCGGTGCTCGCGCCTGCGCCGCCGCTCCAGCGGCTTCATGTTCTTGCACTTGCACTCCTCCGACCAGTCGTCGATCGGGTCCATCGAGTCCTGCCGGTTGTGGTCGCCTAAGTCGCGAAACGAAACCGTTTAGAAACACGAAAACACGCTCGGTATTTCTTACCGTTCGGTTGATAATACTTGGAGTTGTGCGTCCACCTGAAGCCGGTGCACAGCCCGAAGTCCGTCAGTTTTATGTGGCCGTCTTTGTCGATTAAAATGTTGTCGGGTTTGATGTCGCGATGGATGAAGCCCATCTTGTGCACGCTGTCCACTGCGCAAGTCAACTCTGCAATGTAAAACCTAAAACAAGTCGAAAACTTGTTTATTTACATTGTAATGGTTCAGTTCTTTAATACGTTTTAAATCTTGAAAAAAAAGATACTTACAAGTAACTTAGATACTTAATGTATTTAAGATACTTTTTATATTTGACAGAAAGTATCTTTAACTTAGTTGCTTTGGAAAAGTGTCTTGTAACTTTAATCCTAAAAAGTATCTAAGTTACTCGGTAAATTAACTAAGATACATTCAAGTAACTTAGATACTTTAAAGTAACTAAGATACTTTTTAAAGTAACTAAGATACTTTCTTGGAGAAAATTGGGAAAATTCCAGAATGATTCAAAGTAATGACCTAATGTACAACTTGTTGAATTTTTATAATTTTATAGTTTTTATTCATACTTAAAAGTAAGTTAGTTACTCAAAAGTATCTCAGTTACTTAAAAGTATCTTAGATACTTTTTAAAGTATCTTAGATACTTTTTAAAGTATCTTGTAACTAAAGATACTTTTTACTCAAAGTATCTAGTTACCAGAGGTAACTAAGTTATTTTGTTTAAAGTATCTTAGAAAATTAACTAGATACTATTACGAAGTCCCGTCCGTTACGCTTTAAATTATTAGTTTTTAATAGAACAATATTATTTTGTAAATAAAAACACGGTAACTGTCGTATCCGTTAAGCGTGGAATGGCTCCTATATATAACTAAAAATATTAAATTTTTCTCGTTTTTTAAAACAAACATTAGTATTTTTAAATGTATGCAACACCTCGCAACGGCATCCGGCCCACGTTTTATTAAACTTCAGGACATCTAGAATAACTGTGGCCATCAAAAACATACACAAGTTTTCACATAACGACAAAATTTACCCTTGAAAACACACTTTAGTGCGATTTTATAAGATTTTTAGGTAGATGGATGTATTTTTAATTTTTTAAAGGGAACAATGTACATTGGACATGCATGTATGTAGCTAACTTTGTAATTTTTTATAAATAAATTTTTGAATACTTATATTTTTTTATTTCTAGTAAAAATACCTACTATCAATTGTATACCTTTAGAAATATGTTTTTTAGTAATTTGCTAACCTTGATACAAAAAAGTGCCGTAATATTTTTGGCCACATCTTAGGTCAAAATACCTGTATGTGCGATGTAAAAGGGACACTATCGTTTCTTTGGAAAAATAATGGTCTATGCTGATGACACGGATTTTTTCTATGAAAACACAAATGACAAAGAAACAGAACACCAACTACAAAGAGACATAGATAAATTACAAAAAGGGACTAATACAAACAAATTATCACTAAATAGTGCAAAAATAGTGTAACGATTGGATATTATCTTCAATAAAAAAAATTAAGGAATATACAAAAAAATATATGATAGTTGCGGACGGTGGTTTATTTGTTTATCAAGTTATTTTTAGTATTTTTTTAATAGTACACTTCATTAAAAAAAGCTTATAATAATCCAATAAAAATCATTGCTTTTTTTTAAATCATGATTTTTTTGAACCCTGGTTAGAAATTAAAAGTTTTGCGTACATACCTGGCCAATCTCTCCTCGAAAATCCCCAGCTTGATGAGCAGCGACATCAGATCTCCCCCCGGTATGTAATCCATCACGAAGTAGAGAATATCGCTGTCCTGAAAGGAGTAATACAACTTGACCACCCACTCGTTGTCCGCCTCGGCCAAAATGTCCCTCTCGGCTTTGACGTGCGCCACCTGGTTTCTCTTCAGCACGTCCGCCTTGCGCAGCGTCTTCATGGCGTACAGGTGGTTCGTGTCGATTTTCCTCACCAACGTCACCTCCCCGAAAGCCCCCACCCCGATGGGCTTGATGCGCACGAACATGCTCTTGTCCATCTTGGCGCGCTTCAGCCTGATTACATAGGGATGTTAATATCATTAAAAAAAATGTATCGATACTTATCGATAATTTTTAAATAATTATCGATAAGTATCATTAACTTCCCCCACCACAAAATATTTTATGTGATTTTAAGAACTATTTTTAATAATCAAAAATTGTTCTTAAAACCAAATAAGTAATTATTATACAGGGTGTTATGTACTAAATGTTATATATTAAAATACTGAATAACTTTTGACATAAGGAATAACGGAAAAATATTTTAAAAAGCATTTTTCCAAAGATAAAGAAAAAATATGCATTAGAAGTTTTTTATATTTTTTGTGATACGCCACTGGTTACACACTTGTTTATCTCTGCACACATGGGGGGCCAGCTTTTTAAAGGAAATTGGCAACAAATTTTTGAGCGACATCTATGATCTATGATCAATACTTGCCATCTTGCTCATGCGCGTATCATTCTTGTCGGGGTGACTCATCGTAAAGTTTGACAGTTTATGTATGGACAGTTTTCAACAATGGCCGATGTTGTTGTTTGAAATTGTGTGTTGTTTTGGTTTTTTAAGGTAAGTTTAATTATTGTGGTAGGTGATAAACTTTTATAAAACTCCAGTTTTGTATTTCTAAACTAAATAAACCATTCAGTTAGTTATACAAACAAATTGTTGAATCGTAAATTAATGCTTTGTTTTTTGTTTTCATACCTATAGGTGTATATGCATGTACAGGGCCGAGCCTAGGGTATCTGCCGCCCGGGTGCAAGAATTAAATTTGCCGCCCCCATTACTGTAAAAAATTAGGTTGTCGGTAGGGAAGGAGTTCATAATTTATCATTCTCAATAAACATATAACAAATTTTATAGTAAAATAACAAAGTATTTATTAACAAATACATAAAAGAATAAAATAAAAATACATTCAGGAAAAAAAACAAAAATAATTAAACTAAACTAAAAAACTAAAATCTACTTTTCTCGCTTTTTTAATAGCAAATTCCCTAATCAAGTCGCCTACATCCAAGTTGTTAGAAATATCTTCTTCAATACTTATAATTGCTAAATTTGAAAGCCTGAATTGACTCCTTTTGGATCTTAAATAGGTCTTTTAATTTCGAAAATGACCGCTCTCCATGGGCAACAGTAACTGGCATCGTCAAAAATATTCTTAAAGCTACAAATAAATTCGGAAAGATGCCTTTTAAATTATTAACTAGTTTTTAACTTAAACGCATTAAAAGACAAAAAAAACTGTTATGTTTGCATCCTATTTGCCTCACTTTAATAGAAAAATTGCTGAAATACGCAGCCGTCAAATCGGAAGAAATTATGCATTAACTTAACAGTTCAGCTTGTAAACAATATCACGTGGTACACAGCGCGCGATTTGATTGGTTTCCGGTAGGCCCGCTTCCGTAAAACATGAAATTTGACGAACTCGAAGCGGACGGACGAAAAGCGAAGCGGGCGTGCGGCAATCTATAAACCGGGCTTTAAGAATATTGTCATCATAATTTTTTGTGGCTATCGCGGGTTCGGTTATGTCTTTTTTATCATTGCCGCCTGACAGCACAATTTTGGCATTGTTTTTATGTGTGGAATAAATACGATGATTCCTTGAAACGCCGACATCAATAAAACGCAAGTGATTTTTAGAAAGTTTTTTGCATATTGCAAGGTGGCTTTTTTATTGATAATATGATACAATTTTTTTGATGATATTTTGCCGCCCTGTGTTAGTGCCGCCCGGGTGCCATGCACCCCTTGCACCCCCGGCACGGCTCGGCCCTGTGCATGTATATTTATATAAGGGTAGTTTTGTCATATTTGCGTAAATCCGGCTTTGATTTCGACCCATGCAACGAAGACTATAGTAACTCAAAAAACGAGGGTTTTGACTTACTATATGGCATCAACAGATTTTTTTAAGCTCTATTTGGTGGAAGATTACAGTAACTCAGACATGAAACGATAGGCAACCAGTCAAAAACTTCCCTGTATAGTAAGTGTAATAATCCACATTCCTACAGGCGAAAACTATAATAAGTTGAGTTACTCTAGTCTACAATCAAAACTGAGTTACAATAGTCTTCGTTGCATGGGTCGATTTGAGCAACTTGTCCTCTCATCAACAGTTTTATCAGTATAATTTTTCTTTCATATCCATCTTATAATTTTGCAAATATGATTATTTGCTCAAATCGGAACCATACATTTGTTCCATGTTAATGAGTTCATATTTTAATATTTATGCCTGTTTTTATTTATTTATTAATATTATTTTACACTAGTGTTAACACTAGTGTTAACACTAGTGTTAACACTAGTGAATTCACATAATACAACAGGCTTTTGCTAAATTAGACCGCATTTGCTAAAAGTAATGTTTAGTTAAGTAGGTAGTTATTAAATGTATGTTAATTTTATTTGGAATTTATTGTTTAAGCGTTGAGTGAAGAAACACACCTTAATCAATGGTTTAAGGACTAACCAAGGAGAAACAGGATACAAGGATTGAGTAAACTCATCACTTAAAACATAAATAAGGTAAATTTTATTTTTAAAATTTAAAACTGTTTTTAAAATAAGATTTTTATAGGTTATATCCAATGAAATTATTCTGGAATGAAAACTATCTATATTTTGGTCAATGTTTTGCCAGAGGGGTCCTGCTTACTTTCTAACTTTTGATCCACAATATAGAAAAGCAGATGCTAATCAAATTTAATCATATATCATTATTCTTCATAATTGGTTTAAATAAATATAAATTTATATTAATAACTATTAATATATATTTTTATTTAATTTTACTTATTTTAGTTTTTAGCACATGTTATTCATAAAGTATGTCACATGTTTAGGGGAAAGGCAGACCTGCCACCAGGGTCAAGACTGAAAATATTATAACATCATTGATTAAGATAACATAATAATATAATTATGTGGGACATGAGGGGAGGGAGTCTGAAATTCCCCAAAAAGGTGTAATATACTTTATGGATGATCCCCAATTGTTTATTTTAAGTATATTTTTATGTAGTATTCTACTTTTTAGTCTGACAAAATACTTATTTATATATAACATATAACCTATGTTAATAGATTTAACTGTAATGTTGCTATTTTTGTGTAATATATACAAGGTATTAAAAATGTTTTAAATAAGATTTTTTGTCACTAAGAAAATTGACTGTTGTAAATGTTAATTAAGTATTTGTTTAGCATTATATCAGAGATTCTTGGATGAATGTGCACAAACGATGATCAAATTATATTACCTGATTTAATACTAATTAACTACCTATTTAAAAACTCATAATATCTTACAATGTATTTTCATTCAAAGGTTACTGAATGTCTTTATAATGTATAAAACAAATTGTTTTAAACAATTAATAGTTTTTGTGTTGAAATTTGGCTCTTTAGGTTTTATTGTATTAAAATATACTAATATAATACTTATCTTATCTTCAAGTAATTAGAAAATCTAAAAATAACTTAAAATGTATATAGTAAAATTATTTATTTTACTACAATAAAATCTAAACAGGCAAATTTATATAAAATATGTAATGTAGTTAATTAACTACATTATGTGTAATAAACCATTAATTTAGGTTATATTGCCCTTCTATTTATGTATATATGTACCAATAAATGTTTATTTTAAATAATTTTGTATTTTTTAAATCAAAAATAAGTATTTTTAAATAATAACCTATTCAAATTTCGCGGGCTACGGAACCGCACCGAAAAACTTAAGATCAAGTAGGCCAGAGCGTGACCACCTTCTGTAAAATCGTTGTTGCCAATATTAGAATAGGAACTTTTAGTTCTATTATGTTCTGTGTCTGCACACCTGTATTTTGTGAGTAAAAAAGTTGACAAACATTGTTTAAATTTAGCTTAATTACAAAAATGACAAAATTAACAATGCAAATTGTCAATTTGGCGTTTTTATTAATTGTTGGTTATTTCATTTTTGTACTAAAGGTAAATTCAAACAAAATCTGCCAACTTTTATGACAGAATCTAGTGCATTTCTTTTAAATTTTAGGTTATGTTTTCAAATTGTAAATATCTTAACTAAGGGAAGTGCTTTTGGATTTATTTACACAAATTAAATGTTTAAAGTTCAACCTGTGAACTGGTCCCAATTTCACCTGAGTAAACAGAGAAAAAAACTGATGAAAAAAATTAATTTTGTGGTTATGGATTTCAAATTTCAGAGGTACTAAATTTTCTAATCATTGCTTAAGCTAATAGCTGGATCAGTAAATAAATACAGAAGGGTATTAGAGCTTTAAGGGCATAAAACTTTTGTATTTATTGAGTTTTTATTTATTTTTTGCAAGAAAAATTTTTAGTAACAATTTTTTTCATCTGGCAACGCATAGCTACTTTGTTGGTTGGTACTATGTACAAAATACAGGTGTGCAGAGATAAACAAGTGTGTAACCAGTGGCGTATCACAAAAAATATAAAAAACTTCTAATGCATATTTTTTCTTTATCTTTGGAAAAATGTTTTTTTAAATATTTTTCCTTTATTCCTTATGTCGAAAGGTATTCAGTATTTTAATATATAACATTAATTACATAACACCCTGTATAGTACTATAGCATAGACTATGACTATAGGAAAAATAGAAAAATAAATAGAAATTCGAAGAATTTTTATCGATAACGGGGCAAATTTTCGTTAAATGTACATTTGCTGTCCCCAGCTAATTTTATTTTTATTTTTGACCTTTGTTGATAAGTTTTGTATTTATTATATTTAAATACCCCCTTCCTGTTAGGAACCATCGTATTTTTTTTTTGTAATTACTTTATGTTTCTATATATGGCAGAAAAACTAGGTGAAATGTCCTGTAACCTAACTGTCCCCAGAGGCGATTTTTTAATTTAAATTATTATATTCTTCTTCTTTGCAGCTTTCTTCTGAAAAAATAAATTATTTTTGAACAATGGAAAGTTCTTTTATTCGTATATAAAAATAAAATAGTTTTCTACAAAGTAATTTAAACAGAAAAAAATATTAAAGTTGACATTCAAAAATCTTGTCTTTTTCCTAACGTCGTCTTCTATGCCGACTGCTTCGAAATAGAGACACGAGATAGAGATACTATCTAGAGGGCATACATGTTTGATAGTTCGGCAACAACAAGTGAGCACGTGTAAAGTATGTGAATTTTTTTATAAATATTTTAAAGGTAAGATTTTTTTGCGTACACTTTTGGTGTCTTTTACATAACGCTATATAAAACTCTTGTTTTAGAAGTTAACTTTTTTATTTTCATTTTGTATTATAGCATAGTAGAAATTCCAAACAAATGGCGAAAGATATTTACATTTAACAGTATTTCTGAAAAATAACGTTTGAAAAAGTCAAAAGCAATGTGTCATAAAACGTTCAGGAAGATGCGTTAGGAGGAGGACAATGTTTAATTTCTTCCTTGTGTTCCTTCCCTATTTCAGATTAACCCTATAAGTTTTATTTCTTTAAAGTTTATTTTTGTTATTTATAAACTTATAGAATTTTTTTGCAGTATATTACACTGTTCTATCACAAAGGAAAAAAAATCGATCAAATTGACCTGCCTGGACAAAATATATATACAAAATGTACATTTAACGAAAATTCGCTCAACTATCATTAATTTAAAAAATTATTGATAAATGTCGATAGCAATTTTATCGATAACTATTGATACATTTAACATCCCTACCTGATGTAGTTGGACTCCTTCTGCGACAGCATCTTGCGCATTTGCTGCTGCGCGTCCGCACTTAACCCTATTTTGGTCATCTCCTTCTCCAGCTGTATCCTGCGGAACACCCTCTGCCTGTAGGACTTGATCACGTTCTCGATGTGCTGCTCCATGAAGAACTTGAACGCCTGCGGCGAGTAGTTCTTCACCTTGCCGTCCCTGCGCTCTTCTTCTTTCTCCTTGCTGATTTTTTTGCGCTCCGGGATCGGGGATTGGTGCTTGATTTTCGTGTAGGGCGGCAGCTGCGGCGGCGTGTCGCTGTTTTTGCTGTCGCCGTTCGTGTTCGCGTTGTGGTTGTTGTTGCTAGTCGCGTGGTTGTTGTTCAGGTTGTTGTTGTTCTTGACCGAGGACGATGCTGGGGATGATGAAGGAACAAACGTAAATTGTGTTTTTGACGTGGTAAAATGTACTTTTAACTTTCTAAAATGCGTTTTTTTATTCTAAATATATTTTTAGAATATTAAAATGTTTTTATATCAAAAATTTATTTTGAAATTATAAAATCTTTTATCAATATTTCAAAATATGTTAGATTACATAATGGTTTCTTCAATTTTCAAAATATCAAAATTTGAAGAAAACAAACAGGAAAAATACGTTTTAAAAATGTATACATAATAGGAATAATTGAAATTATAAATTACAAATATTATTACAGGCATTCCAGGGAAACCCTGTATAATTCGGGCCCTAGTAATTATTATGATTTTTTCAATTTTCAAAATATTAAAATTTGGAGAAAACAAACGTTTTAAAAATGTATACAAAGTAAGAATAATTGGAATCATAAATAACAAATTTCATTATAGGCATTTCAGGAAAACCCTGTATAATAATTATAATTTCTCCAACTTTCAAAATATCAAACAGGAAAAATACGTTTTAAAAATGTATACATAGTAAGAATAATTGGAATTATAAATAACAAATATTATTGCATGTATTTCAGGAAAACCCTGTATAATCCGGGCCCTAGTAATTATTACAATTTTATCAATTTTCAAAATATCAATATTTGGAAAAAACGAACAGAAAAAATATGTTTTAAAAATGTATACATAATATGAATAATTGGAATTATAAATTACAAATATTATTACAGGCATTTCAGAGAAACCCTGTATAATTCGGGCCCTAGTAAATATTATAATTTCTTAAATTTTCAAATCATTTGGAGAAAACAAACAGGAAAAATACGTTTTAAAAATGTATACATAGTAAGAATAATTGGAATTATAAATAACAAATTTTATTATAGGCATTTCAGGAAAACCCTGTATAATCCGGGCCCTAGTAATTATTATAATTTTATCAATTTTCAAAATATCAAAATTTGGAAAAAACAAACAGGAAAAATACGTTTTAAAAATTAATACCTAATAAGATTCATCAGAATTATAAATTATACATTTTATAACAGACTATTCATAGACACCTTGTATAATTGTTTCTTCAATTTTCAAAATATCAAAATTTGGAAAATATCAAAAGTTGGAGAAAACGAACAGGAAAAGTACGTTTTAAAAATGAATACATAATAAGAATCATCAGAATTATAAATTAGAATTTTTATAACAGGCTATTCAGGGACACCTTGTATAATGGTTTCTTCAATTTTTAAAATATCAAAATTTGAAAAATATCAAGAGTTGGAGAAAAAGAACAGGAAAAATAAGTTTTAAAAATGATTATTTCCCTCATTATAATATGAACCAATCAAAAGCCTTGAAGTTTCGAATAAATTTCGTTTAAATAAGCAATTAAATCACAAGAACTATTTAACAGCGATTAAATTTTAGCCTCCATATTGGATTTTTGTTTACGATTTTATGGTGTTATTTACAAGTTTTAACAAACATTTTTTAAAAAACAATAAAAAATAAGTTATCTAGTTTACGAAATATCAATTATTACTTATTACATACCTTAAATTAAAGGAATTTTCTTTAAAAAAATATTTATAAATTTTGACACATACGTCAGATTTTATGAACTGTCAAATAGTTTCCTTTAATTCGAGAAATAAATAGACATATATCACTCAACCTATAAATTTAATCTGTCAAACTATGCTCAGTAATTAAGTTTTTTTCATGCAAAATAATTAAAAATAAAACCTCTCGTGATTTTATTAAATTATTTTGCATTCAACATTTTCCAAGAAAAAAAAACAAAAAACTACTGAGCCTAGTTTAACCGATTAAATTCATAGTTCTCGTGATATAATATATGAATTTATTTGATTATAAATGTTAAAGTCCCAGAACTAGGGTTTTAAAGTGCCGGAAAAAAACAAAAATTGTATTTTTTAATAAACGTAAACGTGGTCGGTTGTTATTTTTGCAAAAGGGAGTCCATTTTTTAGATTTTTTATGTTTATCAGGCTACAAAATGGGATTCTTATTAAGACTTTATAAGAAAAATTGATTTTAAATAAAATTAAATAAAATAACATTTTTTAGATAAATCTTTTTTGTGCATTATGCTTTTTACTATATAAAAAAGTGATTTTTGGCTAACCCTGTATAAATCTAATGATGTGCTCAGTATGAAAACAGTATTCTCCAAGTCTCGTTAACAATATACTCCAATATTATAAAAATCGGTGTACAAAAATTTTAAAAAAATTAAGAATTTTCAAAAAATTTCGAAAAGAGGAGCAGTTAGGATTTTGGTAAATATCATTTTAAAGTTACCAAAGGGTCCTCAACAAGAAACTGCAATCAATAAAAATCGGTGTACAAATATGTACTCTGGCAAACAAATAATTGAAAAAAAATGATTTTTTAACAAATTTAAAAAAAATCAGTTAAAATTTTGGTAAATGTAGTTTTTAAATCTCCAAAGAGTGCCGATCAAAAAACTTCAACCAGTTTTTCGTTCAAAATTGAAAACTACAAAAAGCCTAAATTAAACAACATTTTAAATATATTTTAAATATATTTTGTAACCTGACAAACGTAGAAATATCTAAAAAAAATGGGGATAAATCTTTTTTGCGTGTTATACCAAAATCATGAATTTACGCTTTTGCTTTATTAAAAATAAGCGAATTTTGGCTCACCAGGTAAATATCAAATGATGTGAACAATATTAAAAAGTATTCTTTAAGTCTCCTAAATAATATACTCTAATTTTATAAAAATCGGTGTACAAATGTGTACTCTGTCAAAGGTAGACTTTGAAATAAACAAAAATTTAAAAAAAAAATCATGAATTTTCAAAAAAATTTGAAAAGAGGAGCGCTAGGATTTTGGTAAATACCATTTTTAAGCCACCAAAGGGTCCTGAACAAGAAACTGCAATTCAATCAGTTTTTTTATGTGACTTAAACTTTGTTCAGGCACACCATGTTAGTAAAGGCTTTTTTTTAAATAAAATAAGTTGTTGATTGCTACTTTTTTCAAATGTGTATATTTTCAAAAAAAAAAATTAAGTTTTTCCCAAAAAGCCAATTTTTCCAAGGCATGAGAAAAAACGGAAAAAAAGGATTTATCACAATTTTTTCGTTTTTTTTTCCAAAACTTTAAAACCCCACAGGCTATTCAGAGCCGCCACTGTTTAACACTTCGATTTATAAAATTATAATTTTGTAATTTAACTTTATAAATCATTTATTATTTTGTAGTAGGATATTTTTAATGGACTCCTTTTTGCAACAAAAACCCAACAGTATATTTCACGTTTAATTTTATATTCTTAAATTTAATTTAATTCAATGTTTAGTTTTTTTTTGTAATAAAGGCTTTTTTTCTAATTAAAATAAGTTGTTGATTGCTACTTTTTTCAAATGTGTATATTTTCCAAAAAAAATTAAGTTTTTTCCAAAAAAAAACAATTTTTCCATAAAAACCGAAAAAAGGATTTTTTTACAATTTAATCGGTTTTTTTCCAAAACTTTAAAACCCCATAGGCTATTCAGGGACACCTTGTATAATAGTTTCTTCAATTGTCAAAATATCAAAATTTGGAGAAAACAAAAAATACGTTTTAAAAATGTAATAAAACATATTTTTAAAATGGTTGTAAAAAAAAGAAAAACTCACCGGTAGGTGGCAAGGGCGGCGCCCCGTTGTCCGTGGAGTAGGCCAACCGGCCGTCCGCCGACGACGCCGACTGCGGACTGTCCGACCGGCAATCGCCCTGCGGCACGCCCGGCGAGTACTTCCTCTGCAGCGGCGGATGCACGAGCGCGGCGCTGCGCGGCGACATGGCGCTCTCCACCGTGTACACCTGCGCCGCCGGATGGCTCTCGTCCGGGTACGGCGGCGGCAGCATCCCCCTCGCCTTCACCTTATGTACAGAATGTATTTGTGTTTTAATAATTAATAGGTGACAATATTTTTATTGTATTTATATTTAATTAGAGTTCCCTCTGTAAACCGCATTGTGTTTTTTGGGTTAATAATAGTATATTAAAGAACTAAATTAGTTCTTTAATATACTATTATTAACCCAAAAAACACAATGCGGTTTACAGAGGGAACTCTAATTAAATATAAATACAATAAAAATATTGTCACCTATTAATTATTAAAACACAAGTGGGTAAAATGCATAAGGGGATAAGTCAAAAAAAGCAATTTTTTGGTAGAGACTTAAACATGTTCGCATTAATTCAGGAAATATATTTATGTTTAGCGAGCATATGACATGTGCTGGCAACAGGATATACCCGCTAACCATAAATGTATTTCCTAAATTAATGCGAACACGTTTAAGGCACTACTAAAAAATTGATTGTTTTGACTTATCCCCTTATGCCTTTTACCCACAGTAATGTCATAAGATGTCATTTTGTCGCACGCGGACAATTTATAAAACGAGCGACGAAGGAGTGAGTTTTATAATGGACAAGTGCGACAAAAGGTCTTATGACATGAGTTCTTTATGCTATTTTATCTATTTTGCAAACATTTCATAAAACAAATTAATTTTATACCTTATATTTAATTGGTATCTCAGTTTGAAGTTTGAAAGGTCATTAACCTTTCAAACATTATCACATTCTTCGCTATGGCGTCGTTAATTTACAATAAGTATTTACAATAAGCGGCTGTTAAAGAAGAAAAAAGGATTTTCTTTGGTGTTAAACAAAATTTATTGCACGAAAAGTCTCGTAGGTACTAGAAAACAAATCATAAAAATATTATAACCTATAGGTATTCAAAATTGTATTTTACCAGTAGCCAACCTATAAAATCAAAATTTTGGGTGGAATAAAGTACCTCATTAAAGAACCAAAAGCGGTTTTATAATGAAGTCATTATGAAACCAAAATAGATAAAATTAATTTGTTTTATGAAATGTTTGCAAAATAGATAAAATAGCATAAAGAACTCATGTCATAAGACCTTTTGTCGCACTTGTCCATTATAAAACTCGCTCCTTCGTCGCTCGTTTTATAAATTGTCCGCGTGCGACAAAATGATGTCTTATGACATTAGTTCTTTAATATACTATTATACCTTATATTTAATTTGGTCGAATTTTACTTTAGATAGTTGGTATCACAGTCATGTCACAGTTAATGTCAAAATCAATTCGCCATGGCGTCCTTAATTTACTTATTTACAATAAGCGGCTGTTAATGTTAAAGAAGAAAAAAGGATTTTCTTTGGTGTTAAACAAAATTTATTGCACGAAAAGTCTCGTAAGTACTAGAAAACAAATCATAAAAATATCATAACCTATAGGTATTCAATATTTCAGGGCTCCCACGGTTAAATTACAAATTTTATTTAGGAATTTAGGAGGTTTTTAGGAGAATTTTAGGAGAAAAAAGTATGCAAATGAATTTATTTAAAAAACAACTCTACACTATACTTAAAAAATAAGAAAAAAATAAGTAATTCTTTTTAACAAAAATATAAATAAATATCACTAGTTTTTTAGCCAAATCGCTCGACAATTTTTTTTTTAAATAAAATGAAAAGTGAGGTAAAATTACTACTTTTGTATATATCTACAAGAAGAAATTTCACCACACTTTTAATTTTATTTAAAAAAAAGCGTCGATAGATATGGCTAAAAAAGTAGGCCAAAGTTTAATGATGTTATATTTATATTTTGAAAAAAAAATTAACAGTTTAGTTAATAACTAACAATAATTGTAATGTTATTGTTACTAAAAAAATATAAAGTGCATGATACAGCAAAACATTCTTTAGATTGTTTAGTATTTTAGCTATCATTTAAAAGAAAATTAAAAATCCTTTTGTTTGACATATAACACGGTATATTTTTGTCGAAAATTAACGAAATATGGCTAAAAATGACAATTTTGTAGAAGTCTAGAAGCTACTACATGGATTTTGTTTTATGGTATATTTTGTTGTTTTTTTTAAGAAAAATGTAGGTTGTGATACCTATATCATTTTAAAAAGAATTTAATAAACTAGAACCCAAAAATATATTTTTTAAATTACTTTTTAAAAAGAAATTTTTTAGCACAACTACCTTAATTAAACGCAGTCAAGTTGGGCTACTTATATTTAATTTTTAGGAGTTTAAGGAGATTGATGGCAATTTTAGGAGAATTTTAGGAGCTTTTAAGATTTAAGCCAAATTTTTATGAATTTTATGAATTTTAGGAGGTGTGGGAGCCCTGATATTTTATTTTACTAGTAGCCAACCTATAAAATCAAAATTTTGGGTGGAATAAAGTACCTCATTAAAGAACCAAAAGCGGTGTTATAATGAAGTCATTATGAACGCGAAATAGATAAATGTATTTTATTATTATTATTATCTCTGCGGAATGTTATAAAATATTCGGTCTTCAACGCAAGGTAATAAGGATCATCGCCTCTCTTGGTTACAGGGACGACTGTAGGGCTATGTTTAGTAATCTTGGAATTCTAACACTACCCTCCTTATATATTTTTCAAAATTTACTTTATGTTAAAAATAATTTGAATTTGTACCAAAGCCATGATAGTTTTCATGACTACAATACAAGGAATAAAAATCAGCTTATGAGTAAATTTTCCAGGCTCAATAAATGCCAAAGTGGACCAGATTTTAACGGAATAAAATTTTACAACAAACTTCCAATCAACATAAAAAATATGGCTTTTAAAGAATTTAAGTTATATCTAAAATCTTTATTTGTAAAAAACGGGTTTTATTCTGTAAACGAGTATTTTGAGTATCAATTTTAATGTTTTAATTATATATTTACCTATATTATGTAAGTTTGTACTTTTTAATGATTTTGTGATTAGTCTTTTCTTTCTACTTTTTCTTTTTTTGACGTTGTTAACAATTTGTATTGTATTAGCACTAATAAAGATTATTATTATATATTATTATTATTATTACCTTGGCCTGCATGGTGGACGCGTAGCTCGGCGGCTCGGTGGTGGGCACGGCCGCCGGCGCCGCCGTCTGCGGAGGCGGCGGCGCGGCCGGCTTCGCGCCCTTCTGCTGCTGGATCGACGCGGTGTACGACGGCGGCGGCGGCGGCGTCGTGCTGGTCGGCGAGGCGGGGATCTGCGGCGCGGTGGCGGTCTGCAGCACCGGCTTCTGCACCTGCGTGCTCTTCACCGACTGCATGATTATCGGCGGCTGCGAGACGGCCTGGCGGGCGCTCCACGCCTGCAGCGGCTGCGGCCGCGCCACGGCGGCGGGGGCGGCGACCGTCGACGCGGGCACGGGACTGGGAGAGCCGGCGGAGGTGCTGCCCGAGTAGATGCCCGACGACGGGCTCTTCCTGAAGTCCTGCGTGGGACTTTGGCGGTTCTGTATGGAGGCGGAGTAGGACGGCGGGGGCGGCGCGTTCGACGGACTTATCAGCGGGTAAGGAGGGGGCGGTTCCGCCGTCGAGTTGCTGCTCGATTGGTACAGACTCAACGCTTGCATTTGCTGCGACAGCTGCTGTTGCACCTGGGCGAATTTAATGGAAATACATTTTTAGATGCATCAATTTTTAACTTCTCAATCAGAATCCTTTTTGATTGTAACAAGTTGAAATACCTACTTTCTGAAAAAGTGATTTTGGACTACTTTTTATAATGTCTATGCATAAAAAAACAATAAATAAAAATTGTCATGCTAGGAGAATGATTAACGCACATAATGTTGTGTCTTTTACGAAAAAAACAATATTTTATTCGTTGTGACTATCCTCCTGGCTGACGTCATATACAGCGGATGACACTTGCTGTTTTAAATGTAATGTGAGAATGTTTGTATTAAAAATTTAACTTCATTAAAATAACTTTAAACCGAAAATTTTGTAAAATAAAATATTTGAACCAAAATTTCAGTCAATATTTTTAAGCTTAAAGTTTTACAGTTGTATTTTATATTTAAAATATTTTGGATGATCAATTGTTAAGAAATTTAAAAAAATTTACTTTTTAAACTATTTTGGTGAAAAATGTTTTATATTTGTTTTTATTTTAAATGTCTCGATACTATTTAACTTTATAATAGTTTTGCAAAAATTCATAGGAAATAAAATTGTTTAATACAGTAATGAACTGTCTTTCAATACATGATAAAATATTTTAAATTTATAAATGAAAACTTAAAACTTTTAGTTAGGAACATATTAAACCAATAAAATTTTAAATAAAAAATTATTTAATAAACATACAAAATAATAATTTAAAAATATATAAACAAAATGAAAAACTAATAAACTTTTTTTCTTAGCTTACAAACATGATTAGTCATGAACCAAAAATTTTAAAATAAAATTATAACTTTTTACAGTTTTCTACCGAAAACCGTATTTTTTCTTTTTGCTTAAATTTGTTTTGTTCACCTGTAGGAAATTTTTGAAAAATGAACAGAAACATCGATTTATCTCTTTTTACGAGTAACAATTTTTATGAGATAACTTGGCCAAATGTTTTGATCGTGAATTTTTTTTTAAATTGTAGGTACCTATATGTTTTCTACATACCAAAAAAATTAAGAAAATTCACTAAATTTTTTTTATTGTTTTTTTTAAATTGAGGTCATAATGTTGACATTTTTTTCGTTTAAAGTTAATAATATGAACAACTTTCACCAAAAGTCTTGAGTTGGCTAAATTCGTCGTTTCGGGATTATTATTTTTTTAATGAAAATGCCATATTTCTACAACCAAGCAAAAAGTACAAATTTGCTTCCAAAAGAAACTGCAAAGTTGCACTTTTCCAAAGAGCTAGCGTTCTTTTACTTTGTCGCTCGCTTAGTTACCATGGAAACCATAATAAAGAAACGTTTAGTGTATTTGACACAAACGTCAAATTTGAGGTTATCAATAATTATTAATTTTTACCAAACATTCTCGGTTGTTTAAAAAAACCTGTGTGTAATTCGAGCGCAAAGTGACATTGCTGCTCTCGCTAGATAGCCGCGCTCCGCTACGCGTCGCGCGTCTCGCTCAGAGCGGCAATGTATCACTTTGCGCTCTTAATACACAAGTAGCTATTTCGTGGTCTATCGCAAAAATTTGGTATTTTATCTAGGGTCATGAAACTGGGGTGACCTTTATAAAGTGTAATTTAGACCTTTTTGACATATTTAACATATTTTTGTCACTTCCGGTTTGGCCAAGTTATCGCATTTTCAAGTAAAAAGAGAAAAATTGATGTTTCTATCCATTTTTCAAGAATGAACAAAACAAATTTAAGAATTAATTAAAGAAAAAATACCGATCCCATCGATTTCAGTAGAGAAACTGTAAAAAATAATTCGTTGAAAAATAATGTCCTACCCCTTTTTTTGCCTGGTCGATTTGAAATGGAAAGGCCCATAAACAATTTTTTTATATGTTATGAATAGGATTTTGGTGTTATTACCTATTTGTCTATGCTAATCATAACTTTAGGTGCAATAGAATAATATCGATATATCCGCTTTGAAGAAAATGATTTCATTTGAGCCTAATTTTATTTTACCTATTTTACCTTAATTTTCATTTTCAAAAGAAACGGACCTAACTTTTACATTTTACTACCTAAACCGGTGTATTTTGACCTATTTCACATAAATCCTTATTTTTAACAGAAATAGGTTGTCGTATTATTAGTATATTATTTTTGCTGTACATAATTGGTAATCTGGCTTGGTTGGTACTGGCAATCCCGAACAGTGAGGAGAATATGACATTAATGTATTTTGCATGAGACTTCAAGTTTTTCCAATCAACATGTTTTATTTAAAACTCTCATGTATTTTTACAAATTCTAGCAAATTTGTGCTTTTTTAAGAGAAATTATTTTTTTAAACATTTCTATCATAATGAAAGTGAATTTGTTATTTTTAGCAATTGTATGTTTATTAACAAAAACATTTTAAATGTGCCGCCGCATTAAAAAATTATAAAATTTATGATGGAATTATAATATTTTTACAAGATATATTCGTCAGTTATTTTTAAATTTTTCAAATAATAAAAATCTTGTTGAATACAATTTCATACAGTAATAAATTAACGATGTGGCTCCCGTCCCGAGGCGGGACTTAAGTTCAGTCCCGATTGACGTCACACACTGTAAATCCGTTTTTATTCCCCGAGATTTTATAATTTGTGTCAAGCTCGATGGCTTAGATGGTAGGGCGGTCGCTTGGCATGCGAGAGGTACCGGGTTCGATCCCACTAGAAGTTGTCAAACTTTTTTTATTTTTTTTATTTTATAAATTTGTTGTTTCTTTGTTAAAAAGTGTTTTATTTTTATCGTAACATAAATTTGCCCATTTTAGTTGGGTTTTTTGCTCAATGGGGCGGGGGGGGCCCAATGGGGCGGGGTCGGTTGGGTTGTGTTGTTGAGTTTGGGTTGGTTTGGTTTTATGACGTAACTAAAGTGCCCTTAACATGTATACAGGTACAATTTATTATTATTATTATTATTTTATTATAACATAACAAATCTTAAAATTATGACGTCAATCGGGACTGAACTTAAGTCCCGCCTCGGGACGGGAGCCACAGCGATAAATTAAATTATTTTACCACCTAAAAGTTGCATTCCAGTACTTATTTTCGTAAAGTACGTACCTAATTTAAGAAAATTTTTTCTAACCTAAAACAAGAAAAAACTTTACCTACTTAGGTACCTATTTTTATTAGTTTGGCAACCTAAAATTCCATGTCTATTGTCTAGGACTTAAAAAATGGATATGTCCCCGACTGATGTTGCCAGAGCCATTAATTTAATCCAGGATGGACGGTCACAGTATTACGTGGCAAGTGTTTTAAACGTCACAAGAAGTAAAGTACAAAGGGCAACATCAGTCGGAGACATTTTTAAAAGTAAGAAGACACCTCAAAATTAAACATTAATTTACAAAAAACAATTTGATAGCTTTTGAAAGCTGTATATGACATGTCCAAGTATGGGATGATTCAACAAAACTGTCACTGTCATCCTCCGTAGGCTATGGATGGACCATAACAACCTCAGTTCTTCATACAGGAAAAATATTGGAAATTGCAATGTTTTTTAAAAAAATCTTTATTTTCCACAAAAATAAATATATCAAGGTGAATAAAAAACAAAACAGTTAAAAATAGATGTGACTTGATAATTAAAACTTAAAGCTCATTCACATCCACTTAATACGCGTAACTTAACTTAACGTACGAGAGAGACGTAAGTTAAAATACATTGAAACCAATGCAGCTGTTTACATTCGTAGAAAACTTATCACACGTAACTTAACGTATCCAAAAGTTGGGTCCGGCTCAATACGTTTCTTACGTGAGCCAATCACATGCCCAGTAAAACGATATAGTGCTATCTTGTTGTTTCACTTTTATAGATAGAGGCAATCACATGCCCAGTAAAACGATATAGCGCTATCTTGTTGTTTCACTTTTATAGATAGATAGGCAACCCAGTCTACATCGATGTCTACATTGCACGTGCTTGTATATTACGTTCTTTGCGTGTATTAAGTTAATGTAAACAGACAACTTAACAGACGTATGTTTCTTAAGTTATGTTAAGTTAAGTTACGCCTATTAAGTGGATGTGAATGAGCTTTTAATTTAGAACAATATATGGTTTTGCCACTCTACGGAGTGTCTTAAACTTATGGTAAAAAATATCTTTTTGTTTAAACCTGTATATTGTAAACGTACGTCCATTTTTAGTAATTTTTTAAAATGCGAGCCATTCTCCATTAATGTATCTACAATATTCTTTAATATTTGTTTAAATCCGAAATCAAATAAAAAAGTTATTTGCGATTGAAATTCATCGAAAATTTGTGTGGATCGATTATTTTGCCTGGTTAAAAAAAAGCATATTTTTTATGGTAAAATTTGAAAATTTAGTTAATTTCTGTTAAAAATAAGAATTTAGGTGAAATACGTAAAATTACAATAGTTTAGGTAGTAAAATGTTAAAAATAGGTCCATTCCTCTTAAAAATGAAAATTTAGGTAAAATAGGTAAAATAAAATCAGGCTCAAATGAAATTATTTTCTTTAAAGCGGATTTTAAAGTTATGATTAGCGTAGATAAATAGGTAATAACACTAAAATCCCATCTTTAGTTATGAACAAACAGGATAAACTTATTTTTTTGAAATTCACTCACCTGCGGACCGTTCTGCACCACCATGGGCTGCCTGCCGGCGCCGCCGCCGCCGCTCACGGGACTGTTCCCTCGCTGCGCGCCGCCGTAGGCGGGCGCCGCCGCCGGCGCCCTGCTCGGCAGGCCCGGCGCCGGCGACATCCGCTTGAAGTACTGCTGCACGTTGGAGGGCACGTGCGGCGGCGGCGGGGGCGGCGTGTTCCTCGGGGGCGGCGGCGGCGGCGGCTCGTTGAAGGAGGGCGAGTAGCGCGAGACGGAGTGCAGGTCGGCGAGGCGCGGGCTGTCCGAGCGCGACGAGCCGGCGCCGCTGTCGAGGGCGGGGCTGCCGCGCGGCAGGGCGAGCTCGCGCTCGATGCTCGGCTTGCGCATCAGCTTCGTGTAGCCGCCGCCGCCGCCGCCGTTCGGCTTCTGCCCGTCCATCGGCTGCTTCAGGCAGTCGAGTTGCATGTCGAAGCGGCCGTTCGACATCTGCGTTTATACGAAGACAAAATAGATAACCATTAATTTTTTTGGGAAGATAACAAAATACAAGAAGTACGAAGGCGTACAAGGGACAATTACACAAAATTTATTTTTAATACACTCACAAAAATATTGGAAATTGCAATGTTTTTTTAACGAAATCCATATTTTCCATATCGAGGTGAACCAAAAACAAAACTGTTAAGAATAGATCACGGTGCTGTTCTGAGAGGTGATTTTTGGACTTTCTGTGAAACCTATAGGTCAATTCTGCGCACATCTGTAAGCATCTATAGGCAAATCTGTAACTTTCTATAAGCTTATAGACAATTTGCAATTCTGCGCTTCCTGTAGCTTACAGAAAATCTTATAGAATCGTAAATATTTACGATCGGGTGTTTCCCAATCGTTGCTAGTTACAGTTTGTTTTTGTTAGGTTATGTAAAGCTATTTTAAAGATTAAAAACATGAATATTTTTAATAATGTCAATGTGGATATGATTATGGTAATATTTATCAATTGGGACAAGCAGCCTGGGCCAACTACATTAGAAATAATTTCAATTTTGACTAAATAAAACAATAATTGTATTAATACAAAAACTTTATATTTTTATTTTACACATGAAAATAAAATAAAATAATATTCTTAAAAAAATAAACCACAGCCTACTCGGTCAAAAAAAAAATAAACAACAAAATAAATAAATATTCTAATTAGTCAAAAATTAATAGGTCAAATATCAAAATTTCAGCTTTATATAATTTTCTAAATATTTTTTAATAAGCTAAAAATGTTTTTTTTTGATTTTCTGCTCTTTGTTCAAATTTATCCTGCCAAGGTTGGCCCAATGGATAATCTCCATCCATTGCATCCAAATATACCTAGTTCAACTGTTGAGAAGTGGTGTTTTTTTTATCTTTTTCTCTTTGTTGCTTTTGCGTTACCACTAACCATTGATTGACTTCTTCATTCAACGCACTAACAATTTTATTCATTTTATATTATATGTTCTTTTAAATGTAAAATTATCTTACCTCATTTTATTCCTCAACCAGTTTAAATTTCTTACTTTTTGTATTATATTATATGCTGATAAACTGTGGATAAACCAAATAATACTTATAAAAATATAGGTTATGTTTGATGGTAAGTAAATAGGCGTGAAGTTGCAGTAGTTCGTTTATACTACTTTACATTTACTGTAAATGATTTACAGATAACATCCCAGAATTGCCACTTTTACGATTCTATAAGCATTATAGTTACAGATCATCGTTAGTTATAGATTTACGAATTTACAGAAATTCCCTAACCAACAAAGAATTAATTCAATTAATTTTGTGTTCGTTAACACGGAATTAAATAATAAAAATAATTGTTGTGTAATTTTTCCTTTTACGCCATCGTACAAGAAGATATATCGAAAAAAACTAAACAATTCACAATAATAACACAGTGCAACACTAAAAATGTAAACACCGTTTTGAGTGGTGTTCTTCAAAGTATTTTATAACAGTAGCAAAACCCCAGTTGGGTTTTGCTAGTTTGTTTCCAATAAGGATTTTATTGCATTTTGAAAATTTTGACTCAGGCTTGTGTATGTTGTAGGATATATTGGCCCATTGATAACCGATTTTAATATATATTTTTTTAATTTGTAGGGTTTTTGTTAGGGATGATCCCATAAAAATTATATAAAAAAATACCACCCCTAAGGGTGAAAAATTGGCGATTAAACTACAAATAGGTCTGTTTTGAAGCTATGACGAGATATCTTCGCCAACTGTAAACTGTTTTTTTTTTAATTCTTTTCGATTTTCGAGAATTGAAACACTGTGCGTTCTACAAAAAAGATATTTTGCGTTTTTCCCTAAAACCATCCAAATAATCATATCGGATATCGAAGTTTTGAAATAAATAAAAATGAAAATGATTGTTTTTAATAATAAAGTGAAACCGCACACTCACCTCCGGATATCCCAGCTGCCTGAGGGAGAGGTCCTTGTCGTTGCCCCCGCCGCCGGAGGTGGAGCTCAGCGAGCTCACCCCGCTGGTGGCGGAGAAGGTGCTGATGGTGCTGGCCGCGTCGCTGCCCGACTTGGCGAACGGCCGCAGGGAGTTCTGGATCTCCTCCATGGCCTTCTGGTGGTAGCCCGGCGACCGGGCGGGCGCTTGGTTCTGGTTGCTCTGGTTCATCGCGGCGGTGTGCTGAGGCCTGGGCTGCTGGCCCATGCTGGGCCCGAGCCGAGCCCCCCGAGCCTTAGGCGGCGGCGGGCGGGGCGGTCATCTCAAAGCGGCGGAGGGGGACCGAGGCTGGGTCGCGTCCGGCCAGCTGCATGCCAAGAGCTCAGCGCATCGGACGTTGATGTGACGCGTTTAGGGTTCCACGACGCTTTTGCGAAACAAAATGAAAAAAAGACTATTATTTTGCGAAATTAGAGTGTTTTATAGGTATAGGGTTTTAAAGTGTTTTTTTTTGTTTTTTAGGCCCTGGGAAAATTGGCTAATTTGGGAAAAATTGATTTTTTTTTTAAATATGTAGGTATACTACATAGACTGGGCCAAAAAAATCGACTATTTTTTTTTGAAAGTATATCGAAAATATTGTTTGGGGTGACAAAAAAAATTATGGTGAAAGTTTGAGTCCATAATATTAATATTAAGAGGTCTATCATCGCAATTTTAGATTTTTTTTTCCTGCGCGAGTTTTTGTCTCAGAACTCCCAAATCATTGAGTTAAACAAAATTGACTTAAGAATATTTTTTGAAGAAAATTGAATGCTCTACAAAAAAGGTTTGATTGGAATTTCCCGTCAGATGAACCGTTTTCTTACAATCATGCCTTAAAAATTCAATTTTTAAGGCATGATTGTAAGAAAACGGAAAATTGTAAAACTATACCAATTTAATTGGTATAGTTTTACAATTTGATCTTTTAACTTTGGAATTTTGTAATTCAAGTAAAAATCAGTACCCTGAAATAGTATATTAAAGTACAAGTTGCAGAAGGCCACATATTCTCGCACGAATTCGAAATTTGGCCTCGAGCGACGAAGGAGCGAGTGGACGAACGAATGAGTGCGAGAATAGCCTTCTGCAACGTGTGATTTATACTATTTTCTCGATTTTAACTTTTATTTAGGTTTTTTTAATTGTTTTGTGGTCGTTGTTAGTTGGGGGATTTTTCTCGCAAAATGTCAGTTGGCAACACAAAATGACAATATTTGTTAAGTACAACCTGAACTGCACTTTTTCACATTAAACTTAAAATTTTGCATTAAAATGCATTGTTGGAGCAAACTTAATATTACAAAACAATAATAAAGGCTTTATTTTCAATAAAAGTGTACTTCAGGTTGCACTAGTGCAGGATAACAAAAAAAGCTATTATAAATAATCCTAAAAGTAATGAATTTGAGGTTATTAAACAGTTTGACATTTTGGGGGTACCAATACTTAAAAACTAAATGTTACCAAAAATCGTTTAAGAATGAGCTTCATTCTTCCACGATTTTGCGTGCGAGAATATGACATTCTTACATAAAAATCGAGAAAAATATATATATATATATTCTTATGGGAAATCAAATGCTCTACAAAAAAAGTCATCATTTTTGGCTAAATTCACTCCATCAAAAGATATTCAAGGTTAAATTTGAAGTCAAAACGAAATTTTAACCTTGAATAACTTTTGATTGAGTGAATTTAGCCAAAAATGTTAAGAGGCTTTTTTTGTAAAGCATTTGATTTTCCATAAGAATATTTATCAGTTTTTTATGGGTACTGATTTTTACATAAATTACAAAATTTCAATTTAAAAGATCAAAATGTAAAACTATACCAATTTTTAAGGCATCATTTTAAGGAAACGGTTCATCTGACGGAAAATTTCACTTTAATCTTTTTTGTAGAGCATTTAATTTTCTTAAAAAAATATTTTTAAGTCAATTTTGTTAAACTTAATAGTTTGGGAGTTCTGAGCCTAAAACTTGTTGAGGAAAAAAAATTAAAATTGCGATGATAGACCTCTTAATATTAATATTATGGACTCAAACTTTCACCATCATTTTTTTTTGTCACCCCAAACAATATTTTCGATATACTTTACAAAAAAAAATAGTCAATTTTTTTTGGCCCAGTCTAATCAACAACTTTACATTATTTTAATTTAAAAATTACAAAATAATTAACGATTTATAAAATTAAATTACAAAATTATAATTTTATAATAAAGTGTCAAATAAAAGGAAAGTTATGGCAATACATCAACGAATATTTTTTTGCGATCCGGTAGTATGTTCTTACTGAATTAAAATAAAAGGAATAATTATTATAATCATAATAATATTATTATATTATATTATTCAGCGTCGAAAATTCACTTTTTTCTTAATAGCAGTGTACAGATATTATCCGAAAAAATTTATAAATTTTTAGAAAAATTGACTTTTGCATTTTTTCGGTATTACCCTTTGAATAAAATGAAAAAATGCAAATGTCAATTTTTCTGAAAATTTCACAATATTCCGTTTTATTTCGGAAAAAAACGTTTTTCCGGAAATTTTAAAACCCCAGTTTTAAATATGTTTATTTATTTTTCAGTATTTTAGTATTTAAATTAACGAGGGCCGATCGAAAAGTTCTCATTAAATCTAGAGTCTGGTCAACTGTAGCACAAATCATATTGGTGCATTAAAATTGGACCTAAAAATGGCGCAAGTCTTTAAACACAAACACCTAGAAAATAATTAAAATAGGAAAATTATGCTCAATTGTTTGAGATGTAAAAAACGGTTTTTTTCAGATGTGGAAAAAAACATGAAAAAAAAACTAGAAAAAAACGTTTTTTTTTTGTTTTTTTTTTCAAATCTGCTACAATAAAGCATATTCTGTCAATAAATAACATCAATCTTAAAAAATGGAGTAATTTTTCAAAATGAAATTTTTAGAAAATGTATATTAAAGTGAAATGTAGAATATATTACACATTCATTATTGAAAATTTTGACCGAGACTAAAAAATCTGATTTCTTATTATTTGGTAGTTTCCATATAAGAAACCAATAGCAATGTAAAACTTCTACACACTAATAGAAAAAATTAAAGGATAAAAAAAAATTCCAAATTTTTTGCGATTTTTCGGATAGCTGTATCTTCGTTAAAAATGGTCGTATTGGAGCCGTAAAAAAAGCAATTTGAAGCTTGAAGTTTCTAGTTTTTAGATTTTTAGATGAAAAACGTGCAACGCTCAATCCTATTTTTTTATTTTAACGAGTGACATTTATTTTGAAAATGCGATAAGTTGGCCAAAAATGTTTCGATCGTTACAATTTTTTTTAAACTGTTTACTTCATACAAAAAAAAATATAAAAAATTAGTAAGTAAATCCCGGTAAATCCACTCAATTTATTTTTAAATGCCTTAATATTTAGCATCAAATTTAAAAAACTGGATTTCTTTTATAAAGTAGGAGTGGCTTTTCAATTTTTAAAAGCTCCTAAAACCAGCATTGCAAAAAAAGAATAAAATTGTATTTTTTCCAGACTACTTGGCCCAACATCAAGCAGAAAAGCCAAGGCACTCTAGATATAGAAATAAAATTTAATCAAAAATTTATTTGACCTGTCAAAAATTGACAAATGACATATTTATACATATATATATGTATTCAGAATTTTATTTTGAATCGAAATATGTAAAAATGCATAGGGTGTTTAATTAAAAAATAAAAAGTTAAGACTATTTCCGGTAAAACCGGAAGGGACTAAAATATGTTAAATAAGTCAAAAAGTTCTAAATTACACTTTATAAAGGTCACCCCAGTTTCATGACCCTAGATAAAATGCCAAATTTTTGCGATGAACCACGTAGAAAATGGCATTTTCATTAAAAAAAATAAAATTCCGTAACGACGAATTTAGCCTCGAATTTTGGTGAAAGTTGTTCATATTATTAACTTCAAACGAAAAAAATATTAAGTACAAAAAAATGTGGCAATGTCAAAATTTTGACCTTAATTTTGTTTTGCCTTTTTTAGAAAAAAACAATTTAAAAAAAAATTGAGCAAATTCACTTAAATTTTTATATATGTAAATATCCTGATCTAGTTTAGTAGGTAATTGTATTTTTCAAAAATTTTACTATAGAACTTCTCAAACGACCCTTGTATAATCAATTATATTATTTACAAATTATGACTTTAATTAGGTAGGTACCCTAAAATTCGCTAAAATTGTTTTTAATCTTTTTAGGTAGGTAATATTATTAGCCAAAATTTTAGATAATAAAATAAATTTAATTTTTAAATAAAAAGTAGGTACCTAAAACATTTTTAAAAATACGATTCAATTTATTTTTACAATATTTATTTCATGTTGGTAATCCTATTGGCTACTGAAATTCCATTCCCATTCATAATCACAGATCATAAAGGTTCATAGTTTACAACATTAATAAAAAACACCATTGCTTCATATCTAATCCATGATTCATTTATTTATTTTTTTGACAAGCACAAACCTGATTGATTTATTAAATTTAATCACTAGAAAATTTGGTTAAATTTTGAAATTAAAATTGGAATACCATGGTTAAATTGTATTGCTTTAAATAATTTAAAGCAATTTTGACATGTGAGGTAGGTCAGTGGTTACTAAATTACGTTGGGTAATTATAATTAAATGGGCAATTAAACAGCATTTTATTTTAAATTAATTAATTAGATTTAATTTTAAGTGAATAAATTTCAATATGTTTGGGATGTTTGAATCACAAATAACTGAGAATAAAAGTGTTTCAAGTTGTTTGAAATAAAATCTAAATAAAAAGAGAATTTTAATGAATGTTAATTTATGGTTCAAAACTAATTGCTCAAGATTCAGGTTGGATGATTAAAAATTAAAAGGATAAAAAAAAAGCCAGTGTGTGGATTGGAAAGAAATCAAGGTGGAATTTGAAAAAAGCATTAGAGAATTTTATTCATGAAACGTGCGGTAGCCGAGGATTCATTGCTCCAGGCGGTGCTAGAATTATGTGCCAAATTACTATCAAATGTCTCACTCGCTCCGCATACCATTTACACATTCTTTGGCATTGTGCATGACATACAGTTTGTTTCTCTTAACAGAAACTCGTCTCATCACATCTAAATATATTTTCGCTACTACTAAAATAGTTACCTTGACGATTTGCAAAATAGAAGTAGGCTTAAACGAAACAATTGACAGATTTTAAAGTGTCAATCTATCTCGTTCTATGTAGAGGAATTTAACAACACTTAACACATTAATTCCGTTTACACGACAACTAGGCGGATTGCTGCACTCTCAACCGTTTATATCCCAATTATATTGTTGAATTTAACCACTGGCCACTCTACAAACACTTTTAAACAACTTAAAACTTTAATGAAAACAAAGAAAATTCTACAAGATTTAGATATCAGCCATTTTAACACAGTGTCAAATTCCAGAAACTACCAACCTAACGAACCGAAATGCGACAATTACATTTTTACAATTTGTAATATGCAGGCTTTATATCAAACACAATTTAATTAAAACTATAACTATTTAATATTTAACATTTTTAAATCATGCCCATTTAATCTAACTATTATTTTAAGGCAAATTTAATCATATAAACTTTGAAAAATTGTCTGTGTTATGTTGGCAGCATGTGCTCACAAAACAAGCAACATTAAATACATAGGCGGGTATAAATATTTTTAAAAGGGAATTAAGAATAATTACAGGCCAAAAACAAATTTATAAATTTGCTAATAAGAACTACAGTTCATTTTTTTATCTGGACTCCTGTTTTTTTGTTAGGTTGGTGGCTTATGGCAGTTTGACTTGGTATTTTTAGTATTTAAAAATGGTACTTCTGCTAAATAATTTAATTAAATACTTTGACACTGTCAAATTGACAATAATATTTATTATTGATAATTCACTTGTCAATTATAAATAAAAAGATAATTTTGCCAAAAATAATAGCAACGAATTCGTAAAAACTTCATTTTGATGAAATTATGCAAATGCCACAATGGAAGAAAAAGTACATCGCCTTATGGACATTTTTGGAGTAAAAAAGTAACGAATTTGGTTTTATAAATAGTACATCACACATTATTTTCACATTATTCACCATTGGACAACATTTACGTTCACAAAAAAATTTTAATTTCTTTTATATAAATTCTTTTCAAAGCGAAGATTATTATCCGCTAGGAATACTTTCTCTTCTGGGCCGTAAAGCAACCTATATTTAACTACTTTTTTATATGATTTTACTCATCCAAGCACCACCAAAGCCAAATGAATTGCATTTTTAACTACGAATTTCGACAACTCAACTTGACAACTGCACAATGTAACCTACAATAATTTATACATAACCACAATTAGATTTATAACTAGCTTAGTTAGTTTGTTTTAATCAATGCGACCAACTTGACAACTGTATTTACCAACCAAAACCCTAAATTTGCAACGTTGCCGCAGTCCAGATAAAAAAATTAACTTTAGTACTATAATATACAGGTTTTCAGAAAAAAGAAAATTGTAAATTCGCTATAGACAATATATAGCAATAACTTTTATCAGGAATGAGATATTCCAAGAAATATTTTTTTAACCCCATACCAAATGTATAATAATTGTAAGAAAAAATTATATTAAAAAAAATTAATTGTTAACTTGTAATGAAACAAATTTTACAAAACAAATTTCCAACATTTTAACATTCCTAATATATACAAAAACTTTGTACCATACATATAACAAAATGTAATTATTTTTTAATTTGCATACCCTCGAAAAAACTTTTGGCACGCCCATGCATCTAAAGTATTTGAACAAAGAGGGTTATGCACAAAGATGGTTATGCAGTTTTTCTTCTCATTAATTTATTAATTTTTACATGAATTCCTCGAAGATTATTCCACGAGACCGAATCGTTTTTTAAAATATGTATTTCTAAACTAAAATAACGACTGTCAACCGAACCTAACCTCAAAATTTGAACATGGGGAAAGCGCTGTCAGTGGTGAAAAACCCTTTCAAAAACTTTAATGTAGAAAGTAGGGCGCACAAAGTTATTTCGCAGGCGAAACCCAAACCGGCGCCTAAATATAAAGCCGATGAAGCTACTTTAGATAAATTAATTAAAGGTATTTACTTTATTGTAGAAAGATTATGAATTTCGATTTTTTTTATTTTAGAATATCCAGAGGTTTATGAGGAGAGTCAGAAGAAGAATCCAGAGTTAAATAAGTATTTAAAGAATGTTTATGTTACCTCACAAAATGTACTGTAATAATTCTAAAATATTTGTATAGTTGGTAAAAATTGAATTCGTAGGAAAATCCAAAAGTTCCCGAAAACCCCAACAGGCCTTTGCCAGCCAATAGAAGTGCGGTGGATATTTACGAATTCGGGTTTCAAGACCCAGAAAATGTACCCTTAGGCAAAATATCTCTAAGAAATGCTTTGCAATTTATTACAAACCATCAAGCCGATCCCATAGCTGCTACATCACAGTCTATAGCTAAGGAACATTCAATTCCTGAGGAGACAGTTAGTAAGTGTTAATCTGCATTTTTGTTCAACACACATAAATCTTTTTTTTTTCAGAGAATGTTTTAAATTATTTTAAAGTCTACGAAGTTTATGTTCCTGTAAACAGAACAGCAAAAGCGAAATTTGCTGGTCCCAGTCAACCAAAAGTAGAGATTATCAAGGAGGTTAGAAAGGCTATAGACTCTGGCCAAAAAGAACCTGGCAGTTAATTATGTACTTAGTTTAAATAGTTGTTGTAAATAAAACGTTTTAGTTATTAAAAAAAATATTTATTGATAAGTAAATACGTAAAAACAATACATAAAATTAGATGATTTTGTCCCATCTCCAAATGGTACCATCATCACAAACGCAAAGTAAAATGTTGGAGTTTCGGCTCAAACTGGTTTGTCTGATGGCTGTGGTACAACGATGGTGTTGTAAAGTGTAAGAACGAGCTTGAGCAGGGTCTGAAACGTCCAAATCCCAGACAAATACTTTACCTGTTTGATTTCCCAAGGCAAGAATCTAAAAAAAATTGACAACCTTTAAATAAGCCTTGACCTTAAAATTTGACATTAGAAATTGTGTTTTAGACATTTTAGAATGGATTTTGGACTATCTAAATTGTGTTTTTGACCTTAAATCAGTCTTAAAATCTGTTTTCAACATTTTAAAATGTGTTTTTATAATCTAAATTGTGGTTTTGACCATCTAAAATCAGTCATGAAAATGACATTGAAAAACTTGTTTTTAACATTTAAAAATGTGTTTTTGACATTCTAAAATGTGCTTTTATGATCTAAATTGTGGTTTTGACCATCTAAAATCATTCATGAAAATGTGTTTTGACAATCTAAATTATGTTTTGGACCTTTTCAAATTAGTCTTGAAATTTGGTATTAGGAAAATATGTTTTTGACTTTCCTAAAATGTATTCTTAACAATCCAAATTGTAGTTTTGCCCATCTTAAGTCAGTCATGAAAATGGCATTAAAAAATTTATTTATTCTCACATTCTATATTGTGATTTTTAACCTTATTAAATCAGTATTGAAATTTGGCATTAGGAAATCTGTTTTGACATTTTAAAATGGGATTTTGGCATTCTAAAATGTGTTTTTCTACTTTAAATTTTGGTTTTGACCATCTAAAATCATTTATTAAAGTGGCATTGGAAAGTTTGTTTTAACATTTAAAAATGTGTTTCTCTACGACTACTTAAGAACAGTAACATTCTAGTGTAATTTTTGATCATAGAAAGGATGTTTTTCTGCAATACTGTGCGAGAATATTCCTACTCTTGTTTAAGAATGGTCACAAGTAACGACATCTCCTGGCGGTTTACTAAACGTAAAAAATTTTAAAATATTTAAATATTACTGTATTATTTATTAATTAAAAAATAATAGCAGTTGTATAATTAAGGTTGAGGCACAAAAAATTAGTTATATTTATTGTTTTTCAAATATAGGTACAAATCAAAATTATAATAAATTTAATATTAAAATGATAAACCAGTTACCTACTATACCGGCTTTGAAGTTTTGACAGATTCAAAAAGTTTAAAAAAAGACCTTTAAAATGTAAAAAAAGAATACTGCCCTACTATGGAGAACGGCAGTAACTGCTAAACAAGACATTTGTGAAAAATTAGCATAAACTACATTTTTATAAAAAGCAGTACGTATTTAATTTATGTTTTAACTTATGAGATATTTGACTGCATTTCTGTATTGAATTTGGTTACAAAATGTCCATAGCTTTCCATTAGTTTTGTATTTGTTACAATGTTATTTTTTTTTATTAGTTAGTGTAAATAACTATTTTTAATTATAATAAAGATTTAGGCATACCATTTGTTTAAATTTATTATAATTTACATTATAAAATTGTGACGGCACAAAATGGTTTGACAATACAAAAAGCTTAAATGTCAAAAACTGCTTGGTTTCTTTTCTCTGTTTAAAATTATATAAGCGTTACTATTCTTACGTAGTCGTAGAGAAAATAATGTCTGAAACACGTTTGGAATAGCATATTCCACTCTCGTAAAACCGTCACACTCGCCTTCGGCTCGTGTGTCAAATTTTTCCTCGAGCGGAATATGCTGTATTCCAAACTTGTTACAGAATGTACTATTTTGACATTCTTAAAATGTGTTTTGACAATCTAAATTATGTTTTGGACCTATTCAAATCAGTCTTGAAATTAGGCATTAGGAAAATATGTTTTTGACTTTCTTAAAATGTATTCTTGACCTTGAACCTGGCAGTTAATTATTTACTTAGTTTAAATCGTTGTTGTAAATAAAACGTTTTAGTTATTAAAAAAAATATTTATTGATAAGTAAATACGTAAAAACAATACATAAAATTAGATGATTTTGTCCCATCTCCAAATTGTACCATCATCACAAACGCAAAGTAAAATGTTGGAGTTTCGGCTCAAACTGGTTTGTCTGATGGCTGTGGTACAACGATGGTGTTGTAAAGTGTAAGAACGAGCTTGAGCAGGATCTGAAACGTCCAAATCCCAGACAAATACTTTACCTGTTTGATTTCCCAATGCAAGAATCTAAAAAAAATGACAACCTTTAAATATGCCTTGACCTTAAAATTTGACATTACAAAATGTGTTTTAGACATTTTAGAATGGATTTTGGACTATCTAAATTGTGTTTTTGACCTTAAATCAGTCTTAAAATCTGTTTTTAACATTTTAAAATGTGTTTTTATAATCTAAATTGTGGTTTTGACCATCTAAAATCAGTCATGAAAATGGCATTGAAAAACTTGTTTTTAACATTTAAAAATGTGTTTTTGACATTCTAAAATGTGCTTTTATGATCTAAATTGTGGTTTTGACCATCTAAAATCATTCATGAAAATGTGTTTTGACAATCTAAATTATGTTTTGGACCTTTTCAAATCAGTATTGAAATTTGGCATTAGGAAATCTGTTTTGACATTTTAAAATGGGATTTTCGCATTCTAAAATGTGTTTTTCTACTTTAAATTTTGGTTTTGACCATCTAAAATCATTTATTAAAGTGGCATTGGAAAGTTTGTTTTAACATTTAAAAATGTGTTTTTGACATTCTTAAAATGTGTTTTGACAATCTAAATTATGTTTTGGACCTATTCAAATCAGTCTTGAAATTTGGCATTAGGAAAATATGTTTTTGACTTTCTTAAAATGTATTCTTGACAATCTAAATTGTAGTTTTGGACATCTTAAGTCCGTCATGAAAATGGCATTGAAAAATTTATTTATTCTCACATCCTAAAATGTGTTTTTATGATCTAAATTGTGGTTTTGACCTTCTTAAGTCACTCTTGAAATTTGGCATTAGGAAATCTGTTTTAACATTATAAAATGAGATTTTGACATTCTAAAATGGGTTTTTATACTCTAAATTATGTTTTTGACCATCTAAAATCAGTAATGAAAAAGGCATTGGAAAATTTGTTTTTAACACTTTAAAATGTTTTAAAAATTTAATTTGTGTTTGACCTTCTTAAATCAGTCTTAAAAGTTGTGATTAGGAAATCTGTTTTGACATTCTAAAACGTATTTTTATCATAAACCATAAAGTCATCATAAAGATGGCATTGTTTTTTACATTTTAAATTGTAATTGGCATACATTCTAAAATGTATTCTTTAGAATCTTAAATCAGCCACAAAAATTTGTTTTTTACATTTTAAAATATGTTTTTGATATTCCAAAATGTGGTTTAACAATCTAAATTGTGTTTTTGACCTTCTTATATCAGTCTTGAAATTTGGCACTAGAAAATCTGTTCTTGACATTCTAAAATGTATTCTTGACAATCTAAATTAAGAATTTAACCATCTTAAATCATGGCATTGTGTTTTTGACCTTCTTGAATCAGTATTGAGATTTGGCATTAGAAAGTCTATTTTTGACATTCTAAAATGTATTCTTGACAATCTAAATTGAGGTTTTGACCATCTAAATTCCGTCATGAAAATTGCATTGTTTTTTACATTTTAAATTTTGTTTTTGACCTTCTTGAATCAGTATTGAAATTTGCCATTAGAAACTCTATTTTTGACATTCTAAAATGTTTTCTTGACAATCTAAATTGTAGTTTTGACCATCTTAAGCCAGTCATAAAAATGGCATTGGCAAATTTATTTTTTACATTTTAAAATGTGTTAAACAATTTATATTGTGTTTGACCAAATCAGTCTTAAATGTTGGGATTAGGGAGTTTTGAAATTCTAAAATGTATTTTTGATCTTAATCAGTCATGAAAATGGCATTGTTTTTTACATTTTAAATTGTGTTTTTAACCTTTTTGAATCAGTTTTGAGATTTAGCATTAGAAAGTCTAAAATGTATTCTTGACAATCTAAATTGTGGTCTTGACCATCTTAAATCAGTCGTAAAAATTTGTTTTTTACATTTTAAAATGTGTTTTGACATTCTAAAATGTGTTTTAACAATCTAAATTGTGTTTTTGACTTCCTTAAATCACTCTTGAAATTTGGCAATAGGAAATCTGTTTTTGACATTCTAAAATGTATTACTTGATAATCTAAATTGTAGTTTTGACCATCTTGGGCTTCTCAGGTTTGAAAATCTAAGTAAAAAATTTGTTTTTACATTTTAATTGGCGCGTTCTGATTGGCTTACCAGAAAGGATTTTTTCTGAATTTTAAAATTGGTAGGGAAAAAATCTTCTGCTAAATGTAGTAAAAATAAAAATAAATATTCCAAAAACAAGTCACAATTTTATGTATTTAGAAAATTTGATTATAAAATAAAAAAAATAGTCTAATTCCTCATTTTTTTAGAAAAAAGACTATTTATACCAACAATTAACATTTTAAAATATGTTTTTGACATTCTAAATTGTGGTTTTGACCACCTTAAATCAGCCATAAAAATTTGTTTTTTTACAATGTGTTTTGACATTCTAAAATGTGATTTTATGATCTAAATTGTGTTTTTGACTTTCTTAAATCACTCTTGAAATTTGGCATTAGGAAATCTGTTTTTGACATTCTAAAATGGATTCTTGACAATCTAAATTGTAGTTTTGACCATCTTAGGCTTCTCAGACTTGATTAGAAAATTTGTTTTTACATTTTAATAAGCGCGCTCTGATTGGCTTAATGAAAAGGATTTTTTTCTGAATTTTAAAAATTTTTAGAGAAAAAATCTTTTGCTAAATCGTCACCCTAATATAACAAGGTTGTATGTTAAAAAACCGAAAAATTTGAGTTTATGCTTCTACAGTTTTATGTAATCCACCCTTGACATACAACTTGAAAATAACTCTATATAGGTACGAGCCCTGTCTCAGTGAAGTTGGCCAAACCACTCAAAATATAAAATTTGTAATTTTATGCGATGAAAAGCCAACAATTTTTTATCATATGTAATAATTACAAGAATTATTCTTGGTCAATCTTCATGTTGTAAATTTTTTTTTAAATATGGTGTTGTTTGGTTATAATACAAAAAAATCGACAAAAATGCATTAACTTGAATGG